ATGTATTGCTTTTTGGATGTGGATTTGAATTTTTTTAGTTCAGCGTAATTAAAAAAGACAAAGAAATTCTGAATAATGAAAAGGTGCGGCGTTTTAAGTTGCCATTCAAAATCTTGCCAGCAGAATATAATCGAATTCAAAACAACAATCAAACGGTGTTTTTATTATGCTTATTTTCTTTTTATTCCGCGGCCTCTTTCTTCCTCTTTCTCTCCACGACTTTTGCATAGCGTCGATTTATGCATTAGATTGTTCTCCGGCTCGAGAGTGGCGCGATCCAAGCGACACTGCGAAAACTGGCAACGTGGGTCGCTGGCAACCTTTGAATCGTACCTGACCGAGAGTGAATCAGGCTCTTGCTCAAGCGACCGACGGAGTAAAAAAAAAAAAAAAAAAAAAGAAACGTAATGCAAAAGCAGCCAACTAGTCGCGCCGCCTGCACGAAAATAACACTGACTGAGCTCTGGATTTTGAAAGGAAAAGCGAACGAGACACTAAAAAATGTACATATTAAATAAATAGAGGACCCGAATCTCGGTTTGCCGATCTCAAATGGAATTTTTCACGCCCGCTGAGCGACGCCGAGAATTTCGTGCGTTTCACTCTTGATATCAAATAAAATTACCATTAAGAGGCTTTTCATATTATTTTCATCTCACAATCGTGTCATGTTTTGGAATTGAACTAGTTTGACTTTTGACCCCAAATTTGTACTCTTTCCAATAGTTGAATAAGAAAACGGTTGAATTTAATTAATTTTACATGGGATTTTATTTATCTGTTTAATTTTCTTTATAATTATATTATTGATATTAAAATTTTGTTAAAAAAAAAAAAACAAGTTACACATTTTTATTCCTCTCATGCCGTATTTAAAATTAGTTTTTTTTTAATTTTGAATACATTTCGAAATTTATTCAAATAATCAATCTTTGCGAAATTTTTCAGTATCATTTTAAATTTCTAACACTAAAAACAATTAAATTTAATAAAAATATTATTTTTCCCTAATTTTCTTCTATTTTATTTGAATAAAAGTGCGAACCCCTAAACAGACCTTCAAGGGATTTCGGCTCATTCTCATCGCAACTTTTACGTGGAACTTTCAACCGAAATTTGAACTATTTTAATTATATACATAATTAAGGTGTTTTTTAAATGACAATTGACCTCATGTTTAACTATATCAATGGATAAATATTCTAAGATACATTTATTGAGTTACTAATTGTTATATAAAATTAAAAATTAGTATTTATAAATTGTTCAAAAGTTAATAAAAATTAAAAACATAAATTACATAGAAAGGCGACTAATAAAAAATTTCATTAAAATACAAAAAAATTTTGTATATTATGTAAAAGAAATAATAAATTGTAATAAATTAAAATAAAATTAATTTGTTTAATAACTATTGTTTATTTTTAACAAATTTCTTATAAAAATAAAGAAACTGTTTAAAGAAAACGGCAGCACCTCTGATGAACAAGTCGCCAAAATGCGAAGCCTCAAAAGAGGTCCGCGCTAAAATGGGCCGCAAGTTAATTATCAATCTAAACAAGAAAAATTTATTCTGTTTCACTTTTTCAAGGGATTTAAAAACAAAATTTTATTAAGCTTGAAAATAGCTTCAGTTCATTATTTAAATACTTTTTTCAACAATTAATTTAAACTTGAAAAAAGATAACAATTAAAATTTTTCTCTTGCCTATTGGAATTGTGGAGAGCTACCATCAATAGGTTTTTTTCCTAATTGACATTTGCGAATATAAGTCTCCTTTCTGATCTGAACCCTTCCGTAAGCTCAATAAAAGATTTGCGTTCAATCTCTGACTGCACGTAAGCTTTGCCCTCGCCGGATTATTTTGCATCATCATCCCATACATCCAATCTGTCCATTTATCCTCCACCACGTAATTGAAGTGACGCAGCTCGGAATAACTTCCACGCACGTTACGTACTTTTTGCTCTTTCGCAGCAGCTTGATTAACTAACGCGTCGCTGCGGCGTAATTTCCGCATAACTAATTAAACTGCTGCACTCGAGCGACCGCAACTTTGGTAATTCATCAAAAATTCACCTCCGCTGTTTTGTATTAAAACCATTTTGCGAAACACACTGTTTGATAAATTAATTAAACGCCAAAAAAAAAATGTGTTCTCAGAAGAGTGAACGAAATTGAAATCTCACTCGGCGGTGCGGCTTTTGTTTGGAGTCGGTGGACCCGAAAGCGAAAATTGAATTACGGGTGATTCGCACCGGCTGCAAATAACGCGGAAACACCGAGTGAGATCAAAAGGTTTTTCAACTCATTAGTGGCTTTTTATTTTATTTCGAGTTGTTTTGCTCAGTCAAGTGTGGTGCATTTTGCGCGCAACCACTGCGAAATTTCGCACTGCTGAGGTTGTAAAACGCAGGCTTATAATAAACAAACACACACGCCAAGGCTAACTGAGATTATACAACGCCCTTTTGTCTGCCAGATACAAACAAACAACCGCAGTGTGTAATTTTTAATTTAATTCCATTCCTTTACCTGGAAAGGAGTTCAATTAATAAAAAAAACGACTCCTATCTGCTAAAAAAATGTTTTTTATAATTAAAATTTTACAAATGAAACTTTTTGTATAGTTTAATTAGCGAAGTTTATTTTCTTTTAGACTCAGTATCGGAAAGAAACTGTCGTTAAATTAAAATCATCAGCTTTTCAGCAAGGCAGACTTTTTTTAAGTGCTGGAAGCTTCTGGGCCGTAAAACGCCATTTTTACGCATCCCGGATCTATTTCTTTACATTCTGTCGTAAGAGTTTTATTTTTCTCCCGAGCAAATTACGTGTGAATCCATTAGAGGTAATTACACTGCCGGCTGAAAGTTGCATTCATTGTTATCGCAGTGCAGCTGGAGCGCCTGCATTGTTAGGCAACCGGCGGGGCGCGCGAGACTCGCGGGCAGTCTGCATTTGGAAAAAAAAGGAATTGCACATTCATAAGCTGTCTGAGAGCAGCGGCTTTGAACTGGTTCTTTTTTCCGCAAGCTGCTTTTGTCCGATGTGGAACACGGCCGAGATGTTTGCATCCAACTGGTGCACGGGTTGCATCTTTTGCTCTTTTCCAGCCGCGGCCAAAACCGGATGTGCACTTTTCCTTTAAGCCTTCTTACGCTTGTCCTACTTTTTAAAAGAATGAAATTTAAAGAAAAGAAAAAAACAAAAACTTTATAATGAGTGGCATTACATTCTAATTTAGCAGTTTTCAATATAATAATGTATTTTTAATATAAATTTTAGTCAAAAATAATAATATAAAATTATAAATAAGATTGTTTTTAAAAAATATTTACTTATTGTTAAATTATTATTATTTTAATGTTTTATATAATATTTGATAATTTACAAATTTACGCAATATATTAAGATAGTTCTGTTGTAACTGAAAATCTAAGTAGTATTGTAATTAAATAATAATATACTATTTATTCAACGAGTCATTCGTCATTTTAAGGTTGTTGATTTAAAATTCACTGAATTTGCTCGACACATCATCACATCAATATTTATAAATTATATATTTGTACTTTAAAAACAACTTATTTCCCTTATTATATTTTATTTTTAAATGAAATTAATCCAAATTGCAGAGTAAATATATTTCATGATTTCACGAAATTATATGATTCTAAGTTGAGTAATTATTAAAATTAATTTCTATTCAAAGGTAAAAAAACCTTTTCTTATGGAAGAAATTATTAAAAACTTTTTATCTGAAAACTGTAATTTCCTGGCAATCTTTATTTGTGTCCTTAAAAAATGCTGCTTCCTTCACAGCTTTTATTATTAAATTTGATGGCTCCGCAGGCCCAAAGTGTCTCTTTCAAAGTCTCAATAATCCGTAAAACTCGACTCCGAACGAGCTAGTAAACGTCTTAAAACTCATAACAGCCCCGTCGGCGCTCTTCCTTCGTTGACGTGACGCGGTGCAGAATGAAGCGTGTTTATTTTTAGACGGAAAGCAAAAAAAAACACAAACACACAGATCAGCTGCTTGCATTTGGCAAAATGAGCGACTTGCTGCGAGCGTGCGTGTGCGGGGGGCCGCCGGACCCCGAGCCGCCCCCCGCAGAGCGCCAACCCCCGCCCGTGCTGCTGGAACAGGGAGTGATGCTGTGCCGCAGTGCTAACTGCCCCAATAACTCGATCGGGCGCGTGCGTTGTGCCGCCGCCGACCGAAAGGCAACAGCAGCCGTGCCGAGGACCACTAGGGACAAAAGCACTCTCACCCCGAAAAACTGGAGCCTACCCTCGCCGCCGCCCCACCCTGGTTGCGTTCAAATCCCAAATAATCTGGCTTAATTTTAATCTAATGTTCATGCATTGGCAAATTATGGCGGTCTTAAATTCTCGTGGGAAAGGAATAAATTAGCCCTTTAAATTTTTTTAATTTTTCCCATTCGAGGTCATTTTGGTTTTAATTTTTTGATAAATGTAAGCATTAATTAATCTGAAAACAGACTTTTTTTGCTTTTCTTTACAAGTTTCACAAATCAAGTAAAATGAGAATAAAAACAATTTTTGTGATATTTTCACAGAAATATATTATTTGATTTTGGTCAGATTTTTTTCTATTTTTATGAAATATGTTTACAAGAAATTGCCTATGAAATAAAGACCAATGTTGTCATAAATATCAGACAGAAAACATAACTTTTCTTCTTTTTGCACTTCAAAATGACCTTTCAATTAAAATTCGAGCCTAATTATTCGTTTTTCTTTCAAAAATAAGATTTATTATTCCATTGTATTTGCTTTGGTTCTCGATTTACATTCTATTCACCTTTTTTTTATTATTTTTAATAAAATAAATAAACGCAAGCATATAAAAACGTGCTCAGGGAAAACTTCGTAAAAAAAAAAACATATCATCAAAACAGACTTTTTATAGCGATAGATTTTAAAATAATAACAGAGAATATTTTACTAACGACGAATTTTTTTCTGTTTGCAGCACTCGATCTCGCCCAGAACAGCAATGTGCAGGATGCGTTCGTCATCGCCGTGGAACAGCAGGCCCGGGAGAGGCTCGAGAGGCTCTCGGCCCTCAAGCGCATCAAGCCTGTGGATATGACCAAACTCTCTCAACAGGTAAATAATGCAAAGAATAAAACGTGCAGACAAACACGAGAATGGAATGAATGGCGAGTGCGTTGATTGTGTTGCCTGCTATTCTGCTGCCGGAGGGAATAACAAATCCTGGCCGTTTCCTCTTTAAATTACCTCGAGGAAATGCAAATTCACGAGGCACAAAAACTTTTTTGTCATAAATGTATTATTACAAAAAAAGCATAGTTATTATATTAAATTTTAAAAGTTTTCTGTATAATTTATCTTTTCAAATATAATTTAAATATTTTATACAAATTTTATAAATAAATATATATACTTTTTTATTATTTAATTAATAATGGTTACAAACAATAGAAATAGAAATTTTTTACTTTATTTTTAATATTTTAATAATAAAAAAATTTTCAAACAATATAAGTTAGTCTGGCTTTCCATAATAATGTTAAAGCATTATTAACATTAACTCATTTGATCTTGACCCGTGATGAATGTTATATTGACGTAGGTTTTCTTTAATTTGCTTAAAATTAGTGAAATTAAGTCCTTTCAACACTAAAAGCTGTTTTCTGCTATTGTTGGAAGACTCGCCCATTTTTTTAAGCTGAAGACTTGATTTGGCTTTGCCAGAAAAGAGGATGGAGACTTAAAAATTGTATATAGTTTGCAATCTTTGTGGTCAACAATTGGAAAATTTACCTCCATTGTTGAAAAAACACTGTCATTGTAACCTGACGTCAACAATAGCTGACCAGATAATTCATTTTTTTTATCAAATCGCATTAAATTTTCTTAAAAGATAATTAATAAAAAAAAAAGAAACGGAAAAAACGGTCTCACTTTAATTTGGTTATTCTGATGTAATCGATGTAATTTGATTATCTATGATCGTGTTAGGAAATCAAAACAGCAATTTATTTATGCTCGTGTCCAAGAGCTGAGATCCAGTTATAAAAAGACCAATTCGAGAGCTCCGTACAAAATTCAAATTTTAATTACACGCCTCAGTGTGCGTGGCACTTATTTTCAACAAAAAATATACACTCTCGTTCCTTGAATAATCCGACCGACGAAAATAAATGCACACAACTACATAGGAAAAAGCAAAGAATGCACCAAAGAAGCGTGCAAGAGATTCACAAATAAAATAGAAAAATTTTCCCACGCTCCTTCCGGGCTCGCTCGCTCTGTTCGGGAATCATCCCGGCCTTCCCAAACGCACCTGTCTATATATAGCCCTAGCTGCAGAGATTTTATCTTCAAGTGCGTCTGATTTTCATTCTCAGAATTGAATTTAATTACCGTTCTCTAATCTTCTAATGCCAAATCGAACGGAACCCTACGCCGCTACTTTTTGTTCGAACCAATTTAGGCACAGGATGAAATTATCTAATTAATTCTTCTGAGCTGTGTGGTTGGTCGGAAGCATCTTTGGTGCTGCTTTTCGTGGGGGAGGATGATAATGATATGAGGCTTTTTATGCCTGCTGGCAGACGTTTTACAACTCGCTGCGCTCCTTATTCTGCTTTTTATTATACACACGTCAGGTTCGATCTTCGGCGCCGAGGATTATTTCTTCACCTGCAAAAAATATTAAAAAAGCAGTGAAAACTCCCTCGGGTTACAAGAAAAGTGACAAATTTCAGGAAATAAAGCTGTTATTTAAATTTATAATTTATAAAAATATCTTAAATAGATAATATTCTTTGTCAAAATCTAAATTACTACTTTTTAACAGATTAAAACGGCTTAAATACGTTTTAATAAAAAAAAATAATTATTATTTACAGGTAAAAAATCAAATTTTTAACAAAAAAAATCAAAATCTTAAAACTAGCATATTTGAGTACCTATTTCATGAGCAAACGCGCTGCAATAATAATAAAAATTCTATACAACAAGGAAAATGCCCAAGTTCTTCACTTCCAAAAAAATACGTTTTAATCTTATATATAATTTCATGGTGATTTGAATTTAAAATCGGCTTTTCCTCGATGGGTTTTTGTGAGTTGTTTATTGTTTCAGAAAAAACAATATTTTTTCTGAAACAATAAACAACTCACAAAAACTCATCGAGGAAAAGCCGATTTTAAATTCAAATCACCATGAATCAACCCTCGATCGTGAAATTCTACCACAAAAATATAATTTCATGTTTAATTTATAAAATTTTGATTTTTTTTCTTGTATGATGAATCTCAAAATGGGTAGAGGTTGCCTCGTTTTACATCACTAAATTTATTTTGTAAATTAAAAAAAGCACACAAAAAAATATTAATATTTTATAAATTTTTTAAAAAAAGTGTTAATTTGATTGTTTTTATATTGAACGTCTGAAAGGTATTTTAAATCTTTGAATGCTATTTTCGTCTCAGCTACTCTAAAAGCGGTCTTTTAATTAAGTGATCACTAATTGAAATGTGTGCAAAAGCAGCCGCAAGTAGCGCACGAGCCACTAATTAACGCATGTGCCGGCGGGTCAAAAACTTATACTTTCACACCTCGCCAGTGTAATCCTCTCCTTGGCGAGTGGTTCATATTTTCGCTAACATGAATGCGTGCGTGTTGTGTCCGCAGCTGAATCAAATTCCGACCACCTCGAGTCAGCAAGAACTGAACGGCTTCATCGAGAGCAGTCCGATCTACGTGACCTCTCTGCCGCAGCAGCAAAACACCTCGATCGCGCCGTCCGACCCGGAGAGCGCGACCTGCACGGCCAAAGTCAACGGCCACCATCTGGTCAGCGAGGATTCGCGTGGCGAGGAGATCGAGTTGAAGCAGGAGCTCGGAGGCACCTCGACCCCGAGGTCAGTGTCGCGCAGCCCCTACCACAACGGCCGCACCGAGAAGCTCATCGGCTCGCAAGATGTCTCGCCCACCCCGTCCTGTGACCTGAACAAGGTGCGCACCACCGCCATCGTCGAGAGAACCAGTGTCAACAGGTCACCCATCCCAGACACCGCAAGGTAGGAAGAACTATTTAATTATTTATTAATTTAAAAATTGTGATTGCAAAGTTTGTCATGAAAATCTCAGTTATTTTAATTGGATCAAACTGATTAGAATGACATTTTTTAATAATTTTTTTCTAATTTAATAGAAAAATACAAATGAACCTAAATTTTTTACTCAATTGTACAAGATAAACGAAATTAAGCTGAATTTTTACACATTAAATAAACCCAAAACAGCCTTAAACTATCTTTGGCTTTTCTTTTCACTTGGAAAAATATTCTTACTTCATCAAAATCGTACAATTCATATTAGATCGTTTTTATTCATTAATTTAATTTATTTAATGAAAAACGCAGTAGTTGAAATAAATTTAATTATTGTTCCTTTTTTTAATTCCATAATATGTTACTGGATAAACTATTAATTTCCTTTAATAGTTTAAATGAATTTATTTTAAAATATTTTAAATTCCTTTAAAATTGATCAAAAATTCTAATTTCATTCCGCTCTGTAAAATTTAATGCATTCCGCAGAGTGGAAATCGAAAATTAAAGTAATAAATATGAAGGTTGACAAGCGCAAAGATAGGTCGACTAAAAACGTTTAATTCAAATTTATTTCTCCTGCATTTTCCCGCGGCTATGTGAATGCAAACACGCGCACCTCCCGTTGTCCTGTTTGTTTACTGATAAGAGTCTCACCGTGGTTGGGATGCGCGGCTGATTTAGCCTCATCTCTCTCTCTTTTAACAGGGAACAAAATCCGAGCAGTCAGCTTTTTGTTGTACAAATACACACTCCGCGATTGATTTCCGTTTTAAAGCGGAAGAGCCAGAAAAGGCTTTTGTACGTTTTGTCAATATTAGCTCCAGAAAAAAATTCCTTCTGCGCCGGAAGAATTTTTGAGCGACGATTTTGGGCACGCGTGAGTGCGAAGCCGGCAAATTGCACTCCAATTAAGGGGCACCGACACTCGCCACGAAAGCCTTCTATACTCATTTTGTTGCATAAGCGACCGAGCGCAGACCCATTTGTGCGGTCGGCGCTAATAATGCAAGAGTCGTGTACAAAACCTATGGTCAGGGTCAGCGATTGTTTTCATTTGGCGCTATGGCTTCGTCCCCGCGTCGATATCAGCGAGAGAGAATTATATATTAATAATTTTTGCGTGATTCCGCTGATAGGCGCGCAACTCGACGCGCACGATTTGCTAATTTGGAGGTTCCCAGCAGAGGAGGAAAAATCTCAACGGTCGTGAAAGATGAAATCAAACATCTCGAATTCTAATATTATTTTATCCTTTTTCTCAACTTAAAAAAAAAAACGAAGCCATTTTTCTATTTAATTTAACGCATAATTTACAAAAGACAAAAGAAATTGCACGTTTGGCTCCACAACGGATAAAAATGCAACCTGCACAACGTGGTTGTAAAGAAATTGCATAAGCTCTCATTCTTTAAAGCGATTATTTAAAAATTTTTAACATTTAAAGCAGATAGCAAATGATAAAAAAGACAGTGTATATTATTTTGATTATTACGTTAAAATTAAGTAAAGGAATAATAAAAATTTGAAATGTTCAATGTAATTTAATTTAATTCCTAACCCATATTTACCTAAATTCATTTATTACAAAGAATTTTTGTCTACAAAAATTCTTAATAACATACACATTTATATTAAAAAAAAAACTGGAACAACATTAAGATGAGGTTTTCTGTCTATATATGACAAAGTCAAATAATGAAATTCTTTACTTTTTCGCTCATTGATGTATTTGAGGAGTCAAAACTGGTCAAAACTACCCTTTAATTAATGGCTGCAATATTTCAAAATAGAGCAAACCCCTAAATTTCTCCTCGTTTTGTATGCAGTTTATGCTGTTTTGCTAGGATCATTACTGAAAATCTGTATCAAATTACAAGATTTCGCTAGAAATCGCTTGTAAAGAAAAACTTCGCATTAATTTCCTTATAATTATAAAATAATCTTATCTTGAAGCGTGTCTATTTGGTGCTTAAAACAAACTTATTTTTTCATCAAACAATTTCTCTCTTGAAATATTATAAAATTGAATTAAATTTATTGAACCAATTTTCCTCTGAAATAGTTATTTTCCTCCTCTAAAGCTCTCTTCTATTTTTGTTACTTAATTAATCGTTCGACTCTGCTGGAGATTTATTTTTTAATTCTCAATCATTTACTTTCGGACGTAAATTAAAACACTCTTAAATATCCGTTCCGTAATGAGCGAGAGACTCGCCCGACTCGCCTGCTGATTAATTAGGCAAAACAGTCTCTCTCGGCGGGAGTTTGAGCGAAAGAGTTGAGTTTACTCGCCATCATCGCACGCAACGGAACGGAGAGAGAGACGACGACGGGAAAGCGGCGAGAAAGATCGGAGGAGGATGGGGTGACCTTGTTGACGGAGGAATGCCAGGTACGGAGATTACACCTGAGCGAGAAGTGGCAACGCCGGTCGGTCTCTCTCTCTCGGCCGAGACGCGCCGCGAGAAAGAAAAAAACCACCTTTGCCTCTGCGCCCATGCAATCGAGAGGAAAAAACCCCGCCCTGGCAAACTGCAATCCATAAAGCTCACAACAAACTGCATTCCTCGCTGTTGTTTGCTCTCGCCGAGGATGTCTGTCCATTGTGCGGGAGGAAGTTGACCGACCTTTGGGAAAGATCGTGCGTGTGTCTAATATTTTGTACCAAACGCCGCGTGCGAAAATATATTCGACGATAAAAGTCAAAAGCCGCGTTTTCTCGAGGGAAAATCATCCTCTGGAAATATATCATCGCGTTTGGAATTTAAAAAAAAAGACGTGTAGTTTGGCAGCTTCTCTCGCTCAAACGACGCTTATCGTGAGACAATAGAAACAGGAAAGAGAAAATTAATTTGAAGTGTATTTTAGTAATTTAGGACTAATTAAAAATGCTTAAAATTTTATAAAAGTTTTATTTAAATCAATTTTAAAAACGACTATTTAAAGATTTTAAGTTAAAATTGTTTAAATGAATTAAGCTGTTATTTATATATTATTGTTAATATTTTTATTTTTATTGATACTTCATTATTACTTTGATAATGATTTGCTGTTGATACCGGCTTTGGGAGTACCACACAATGTTATTTAATGATAGTTGAATATAATTAAATATTTTCCCTTTCTCCATAGTTCCATAGAAGAAGGGCTATAAAATAGCATTATGTTTGACTTAGAGAGCATGTTTACAATTATTAAAAATCACCTAATATAAATGAATCAAGAATAATATTTTAATTGAAATATAACCAATAAACGCAAAGAGTGGCTGCAAATGCACGTTTTGAAAAATCAATTCAATATCAACCAGAAATCAAAATCTAATAAGCTAATCGTCTAGTATTTAAATTTTCACACAATTTTTTAAAAGCTCTCTCCGCTTAATCCGATCCTGGCATTTTTTAATTAATTTCAGTCAACTCTTGCATTTTTCAAGGGTTGGTTGTTGAGTGAGTGCGTCTCACCCTCATCAGGGAGCCCCATATTTTTCCTCATTGATTGATCGATCATGCAACTGGCTGACTGGATGGAATTTCGCCGTGACAACTCGAGAGGCCTCAAAAGTGTCGAAGCCAAATTTTCCAGTGTTTCGCAAGACGTGCCGTTGGCGCTGCTCTTGCCATCTTCTTGCCTGCGGAATATTAATTAATTGCGAACGCCTAACGAAGGTTGACACTTTCCTTTTTAGTAAATGATTTAATTTTTAATTCTCCCGCAAAAATCATCAATTCGCGATTACGAAAGAACGAAAATTAGCGCGGAGTTTTACGCGCGCGCTTCCGGCTCGAAACTGGTTGCTTCAATGAATGCAAACAAATAAACAAACAATGGCATAGAAGGGCTGCGGAGATAAACAAAAAAGGAGCGCGCGTTGGTCTCGATCCACCCTCCCTTGGGCCGACGAACCATTGTTGTTAGCAGCGAGTCGTCGAGATAAAGCAGGCAGGTATTTGCGACGTTGCCACCCCAACGCGGCGGGCACGTGGGTTGTAACCCGCGAGTGTACCTGTCGGGCAGTGACACAAGCCTATATAAAAAAAACTCAAGTTGCTCAAGTCCGTAATATGTAAAATACTAATTTAACTGCAGCACATTTAAAATAAATATAAAAAATGTTTAATTTAAACTCTATTTTTATTTTATAATTATAATATTATTTTTAATTATTGTAATTATTTGTTTTAAGATATTTTAAACGGATTTTATTTTTATTTTTGAGGTCACATTTTGCAAGAAAATCAAAGACTTCTCACCAAGAGAATATCTAAAAGATAATTCAAATTTAGAAATTTAAAATATACCTCTCAAATACATCTCTTTAATCGAAAAGTACAAAATAAACCTCAACATAGCCCTTCCAATGCCATGGTATAAGTGCGTTTTAAATTTATGTTTAATTTTAAATAATTAAATTCTTGATTACGAAAAATCCTTGGAAGATTTGTAATGTAAAGTAAATTTCTATTTAAACGATAATTGCAATTTTGAATAAAGTGGCCGTTTTTATTTTTGTGCACTGCCCCGCGAGTACCTCGCGCGTAGCCACGTCAGGTGCAGCAGTTTGATTTTTAGAGGGGAGGGCGGGCAAGTCTACCAGTCAAGGCGCCACGGACTCTTTCGGTTCGTGTGCGCGGTGCAGTCAGTGAGGCCGCGACTCCGATCAGCCTCGCACTATCGCCAGTGCGCGCTCGCCAGTTTTTTTTATTTTGCCCAAAGTTTGGAGCGATTGGGGCCGTTTTTCGCCATGCCCGAGTGTCGTGTGCTGTGCTGAACGCCGACCTATGGTTTGTGCCGTTTATTGACTGTCCAGTGCAATAATCCGGCCACAAGATGACCACGTTTCTCGTGTCCACGCTTTTTGCCAAGTGCAAGAGGAGGCCGCCGCAGGTGCACGGGTAAATCAATTCAAAATTCAATCAATTTAAAAAAAATTTATATTTAAAAAAAAATATTTTTTCGAATAAATAAATTTTTAACTTCGTGTCATTCTGAAGAACTCTCGAGAGTGGTTATTGAATTTTCCATTGATTTTCGTGAATCGGAATGGGGAGTGTTTGGAAACATTTGTATCATTTTCTCCGAGGGTTCGCGACTCCTTCTTTTCCATGTCGAGTGGATCGAATTACTGAAGAATTAATCATCGCAGCCGCGAGCACTGTAGGCGCCGACTGCACTTTTCAAAACGATTAATAAATCTCTTGAGAAATTCTCCTTTTTCTTACGAAACACAAATTCTCTTGAATTAAAATTCCAAATACATGCATCGTCGGAAATTAAATCCATAAATAAACCGCAGTGCGGCTTCCGTTTTGAAATTAATACCGAGATTGAAGGGCTTTTTTTTCATTTCCTCACCTTCGGGAGGAAAAATCCGACGCTGGAAATCTTAATGGCTCTGGCGTTCCCCGAAAATAATATAATGCGCGCCTCCCAAACAAGGTGCGTTTCGGACGAGTTTGGAAATGGAAAGACGAAAGGCCGTTGTCAGGTTCATTGGCTCCTCGCATGGAAAACAAATCCTAATTTTCGTTTTTTTTCCTTTGAGAAAATTTTGGTACCGTTTGAAATTTTTCCACGATTTATTTTTCGCACTAGGAAAAAGTCGCGGCTCGGAATGTGGACTTTTTATTGTGATTCCGCTCGACGGACGGTTGACTGACTGGCGGCGGCGAGGAATTTTAAACAGTTGTAACGAGGTCTGCTCGAGAAGTGAGAGCTCTAGCAACATAATTAGCTCTAGCACTTTGCATTCGTACGCAACACGTAATTATTACTGGACGCCAATAAACCAACTCCCTCTTATTGTTGGAGATATTTATACTTACACATGTTTGTCCGACGAGCATTAAATTATCCGGAGTAAATCACTCGAGCAAGCCGAAGAAAGCGACTCTGCGTCATTCCGCTGTGATTAATTGAGAAATCCATTTTCTTTGCATCAATTTTATTAATTAATATCTGGAAATCGCTAATTTTATTAACCATCAATTCTATTGAAAGAGCGAATAGAATTTTTTTTCACCTTGAAAGTTATATTGAAATTTAAAAAAAAACTTGAAAATAAAAATTATAAAATTTTAAAATTTATGCCCTGATATTTTGTTTGTATTTTTTAGCCCACAATTGTAATTGTTATTTTAATTTTTATTTTTAAACTTATTTCATTTTAAGCACTTAATATTTATTTTAATTTTAGCTCAGCTTATAGTTTATTTTTATACAATATTCTGTCTGATTTCCTCTTGCGGTTTTACACTCAAACGCCATTTTCGCAAAACTGATACATTTTTTTATTGCTCTTGAGCACATCACGCCTCTGCTGCCTCCAAACCACCGACAACTATTATGATTTTTTTATTATTCTTCCTTGGCTTCTGAAAGTTTCGTGGCTACAGCAGTTTTTTTCTCTTTATTTTCTTCGTCAGATTCCTCAGATCTATTTCTCGAGGGGAGGCGAAACGCTTTGTTGTCACGAATATCCACCCCCTCCCTATATTCGTGTGAATCACAAAACGCCAGGTGTTCGCAGCGATAAAACCCACGTGCAATTGATTTTTGCCGTGCACCGCCCTTAATTTGAACCTTGCAGAGCTCAAATTTACAGAAGCGTGTGTGTAAATAAAACTTTATTGAGGTAGGGACAAAACGGAAATTAATGCACGGGCACGGCTCGGAAATGAAATTGCAAACGGCCAACGTGTTTGTTCACTCAAATTGATTTCTTTTTCTCTCAAACTAAAACTGCTGCTGTTCAAAGAACTGAATTTCAGCACAGAAACTCAAATTCTAAGCTTCTAACACGAATCCTCAACATATTGACATAGATTGGGTTCACACCCTCTTGTTATTAATAATTTACGTCAGCAGTTAGTGTATTTTTTATAGATTACATTCAAATTTTATTTATAATATAATACAATTTTGAACACATAACCAAAGCTTACTTACTATTTAAATTTATTCAATATTCTGTGGCTTTGACAGGAAAATAGGAATTTATATTAATTAAAATTTTTCAACTTACATATTAGTATAGTTTAATTAATGAACCACATTTAAAGGGTCAATATTCCAAATATTGTTAATATTCAACGTTAATGTTATAATAAATAAAAAAATAAATTTAAAAAAAAATAACATAAAAACAAATTAAATTATAATGTATTCATATGTTTGTATTTTATTAAGATATTTACTAATTATGTTTTATTTACTTTTTGTATTTTAAAATCGTCTAAACTAACATTATAGAAAAGTAGCACATATTCAGCACAATTACATACTTTTTTTACTGATTTGCAACAACTGGCGCCTCTCGTATAACGCGAGCGCTCTCCGCAATTAACTCTGGTCGCCGCCGCCGGTTTCTGACAGATGACTGGTGCCGCATTAATTTTATTTATCTGCGTGCCGTGGCGAGAAAGCGATAGCGGCTCGATATCGCCGCTCATGAGTGTGTGCACATCTAATATTTTCCTTATCACCTGTTCTGCTGACTAAAGAGAGAATTCCACACTCGCTCCATTGTGGCCAGTGTTATTTGCTGACGCGCGCAGTGACATGCTCTTCTCGCGCCGCTGACTTTGGCCGATTTCGGCCGCGAATCAATTATCGTCCGATGATGCGCAACGTCAAGGAGGTCGTCCTGGCCAGGACCAAACTCTTGAGGTCTGATTTGCAAACAAAATATTTACTTTTAATAACGCAATGCGAAAGTAAGGAAATTAATTGAAATTTGGGTCAAGCAGAATCTTTTTTTTATATTTTATTTAATAACTTGATATCAATTAATTCGTTCTTTTATATTTTAGGGCTAAAAATTTTACTCTTATTGAAAAGTCGTCCATTTAAAATTGATTTTATTCCCATATTTTTTATTTTTTTATATGGGTTTCTGTAAAATAGTGTAAAAATTTCCAATTCCTTGAGAGCTCTGAAATTGAAATAAATTATGTATAGGGAGATTTTTTACAAAATTAATTTTTTAAATTCATTTTATAACGGATATTAACTTTTATTCGGGTTTTTAAAAGTCCATCTTTGAGGAAAATCTACTTCAAACTAAATCCTGATCATTTTTCTTACTTCCTCCGCCAGATTACTGGACCCAACCAATCAATCACGATTTAACTGATTAAATATTTCAAATATTTGTTAAATCTTATCATGCATCCTATGAGCTCCACAAAAGTGTTTCTTTTTTATACTTTATAGTAAAAAATATCAAAGTAAGGCTTTCGTGAACTAATGAAATGATAAAATTGCCTTTGGTTGATGCTGAAAAGTTTTCCTCGTCTGCATTCCAAGAACCCTTGCCAAATCCCGTGGGTGAAAATGCTCTCTCGAGCCTCACCAATTTATTCCGACCTGGGCCCTGCCGGTGGAAAATAATTATATTATTGTACAACGAGAGTGAGAGAATAATCAGGCGCGGAGAGAAAACGCGGGCGCGCATTAATGACAAAGAGCAATAATTAGAGGCGTAGCCGTCGCAAGTGGAAAGACCGCGCGTCTGTTTTGTGTTTTGTGGCGAGAGAGTCGTTTCTCGGCCCGAGATCTCTATTTGATTGTTGCCCCTGCGACGACCTCGCGTTTGTATTCAAATTTTGAGAGCCTTTGTTTCCAGCTGGATTATCATTCGGCTGTGGTGTCCGATGATTTTGACTTGTTGTTACACGCGTTTGTGCTTCGTCACCGCTTTTTATCGGCTTACTTAGCCGCCAGTCAGTAGAGCTGCTTATGTGGTTCGTTAGGGGTTGATGAAATGGTTTTGCGAAAAGTCATCAAATGGATTATATGAATGCTTGACAGATTTAGGGCACTTTTTCTATTATTTATTTTAAAGAAAAAGATTTGCGGAGCTAAAAAAATCAGTACAGACACCGGTTTTCTTATATTGTTGTAAAAAATACTGCCAATTTATTTAGTAGAACGAAAAAGAATAATGTTTGAGAATAAATAGCATTCACGCTTTATTTTTTTATTTGTTTACCTTAATGAATGTGAATTATAATTACAAAAACCGTGGGAGATTTGCTTTCAAATTTAAAAGACAATTAAATTTAACTTAATTTGTGAATGGAAAATTATTTAAGTTCACTTAACACAAAAATATTGATATCATACTAAGAAACGAACTTGAGGAAAAAATGTTAATTTTATATTTTAGTCTTATCTGGTGGGCTCATTGCTTGAATTATTTGTAGATTATTTCTACTTTTGTATTATAGTTATTATTATTATTATTACCGTGGTAATCCTGATATTTCCCATAAGAATAAAAAAATATGCAAATAAAATATATAAAAAACTAAAAACAATTGAATTAAAATTAAGTTTAAAAGTGAGAAAATTATAACATTTACTCATAATTTTATATTGGTTTTTTATTAACTTTAAGTTTGCAAAATATTTAGACTTATTTATTTTATCATTATGCGTTTAAAAAAAAATCAAAAACAAAAATGATTTGATACCTTTTAAATGTTTAATTGTTAAATATTTACTCACTTAAAAAAATTCATATTATAGAATGCAGTTTTTTTTTTAAATAAATGTAACTTTAAAAAAAAATGAAGTCTCCAAACTTAGATGGCTAAAATTTATTATTGATTTTCTTCAGTCTGAAGACACATGATGATATTATATCTTTTGTAAAGAAAGCAAGGAAATAATTTTTAAGTAGAAATCTGAATTAACTCAAATTATTTTTGAAAAATGTATCAAAAAATTAAAATGTGTCCATTGCGTTGTGATTGCAGAAGGAGAAGCGTGACGGAGCAGCAGCAGGCGAGCCAGGAAGAGTCTTTCGCGGCGCGGCAGGCCCTGCAGGCGCAGACCATAATGATGAACATGGTGGCCGAGTACGAGCTCGAGTTGCAGCAGCACGGCGGGCCGCACCGCGAGATGGCCGTCGACGTGCCGGACACGTTCATCGCGCGCACCAAAACGCCGCCCCGCTATCCGCCCCCGAAGCACCTGCAAGCGCCCAACACGAACGGCACGGCCGCCCCCGCCGCCTCCGCGGTCCCCGGCAAGCCGGTGCCGCCGCCGCGGGACCACCTTCGAATCGAGAAGGACGGCCGCCTGGTGAACCGCGCGCCCCCGCCTCAAGTGCCCGCCAGAGCTGTGCCTGTTCCGCCTCCAGTGATTGCCGCCTCCGCCGCCGAGCACAATTCCTCGGACAGAACACCAACGAGAGAGCAGATGGAGAGCATTCGCAAGTACCAGGTCAGATGCAACCCCTTTTTTCATTTAAAAATTCAGAATTTTCTACCAAAAATGACAAAGTTTTTGAAACACACACAAAATATCTCCTTCAAACTTTATTTGCAGTTCTTTGTTTCGCTCCACAAAAGAAATTCCCTAAAAATTAGTTCGAATATTAATGAAATTAGATTTAAATTGTAGCTTCATATAAAAAAGGAATCTTCAAAACAATCTAAGTGATTTCATATGAGTTGAAGACTTTCATGAAGGAGTAGAAAAAATCAAATAATCTATCATCAAATTCATTACAAGACGCAGTGAAAATTTGAATAATTTTGACCAATTAAAACGTAAAAAGTTATTAATATATTTCATCAGTTTTCCGACATAAATTTAAATTGAAAATTGAAACCACTCTCTCAAACCCCGAAATCTGAGAGTTTGAAAAAAGCTGCCAGGGAAATTTAAAAAAGGAGGCCTACAATTTTTACAATTTTACAGAAAGTTCACTAAATTTATCCATGATTTAATAATGAATCTACCATTGCATGGAGGAGAATAAATAAATATATACAATAAATAAATGAAGGTTTAAATGCATAAAATAATTATTTTATAATTTATTATATAAGAAGTGGTATGTAAAATTTTATTTATCGATTTTATCATTTTAACTTATTTTGAATGCATTTTTATATTTTAAATATAATTAAAGATTTATATTTTATTTCATTAATTTCCAAATTATGTCAAGCAAGTGGTTTATATTTAGAAATTTACTTTATATTAATAATTAATTTTATATAATTATTATACTCCATGACGAGCTTTTAAATATAATAAAAAATATGTTCAATTGAACAATAGATTTTCCCTTCAACTTTTACTACTTGTAAATTGTAATGCTTTTAAAATTCAACACAAATTAAGAAACAAAGAAAATTACATGTTTTGGAAATCTCATTCACATTCCTATTGAAAAATTCTCAATTATTATTGTTATTTTTTTTTTTTTTCATTTTAGGGCTTTTACCGGTTTAATTTAATTTTGTTGCATCCTTCCTGCTCGGATCAAAAGACAAATGGATTGCGTGAACCGTTTCAAACGTGAAGGAAATCGTAATTCACATCTGATGCCGCTGGCCGATTACAATTTCAAATTCGGAAACAATGCGGAGGATAGAATATTAACGCTCAATATTCAAAACAAACCATTCGGTTTCCATGCTGGACGCAAACTCCATTTGCATAAATATCTGATTTCAATACAAACAAACTTTTTGTTCCCATCGAGCAAACATGGGTTGTAGTCGACGCACCCGACAATGAGCAGCGTTTTGAAAATTAATTCGAATGCATTGCAAATTAGCAAATATTATTCAACTCTGAATTTTTCACATGGCACCGGCAAAGTAGGAACATTCTTCAGCGAAACCATACACGAGTCGTGCGACGCCGATTATAAAAAAAGAATGAGCGGTGGTTCGATGCTTTTTTTTCTCGGTCTTTCCTCCTGTTGCCGCGCGCGATATTCGGCTGTCCGCGCGCAGTGTGTCATGTCCACGTTGGTGTTCTAAAAACGGCGGGGCAGAAAGGATTTGCGCGACGACCCACCCGCGCGGCGCCGCCAGAGTCACGTGGAGTGACGCCGCAATTCAATTAGACGCGGAGAAAAAAGAAGTTTTTCACACCGTGCAATTAGAGAATAAAAAACCTAACTAACGTTTCAAACCTTGAACTAGAATTTCATAAATTTTATTGATTTTTATGAATGGGGGGAAAATACAAAATTACAATCAATTTGTTTAACATTGCAGTTTTGCAGCTTCATACGTAAACTCAGTTTCTTTACAACGCAGTCCTTGATATGATAAAAATTACATCTTTCCCCGCAGAATTTTCTAAATCAACCTTCCCTCTGCTCCTGTTATTAAAAAACAAATAATGGAATCCGTGGGAAGCAAAATGAGAAAAAAACATGTCAATGTATATGAATACCGCATTTTCTTTATTTGTTTATTTATGATTTTTTTTTTAATTTATGTTCAAATATTTTTTTGATAAATATTTTATTGCTACACATATAATTATGTTTTTATGTTTTTCAAATTTAAATAATAATAAACTTATTTAGAAAATATAAATTAATTTATTGTATTAAAGATTTTCTCTTCTTCATAAAATTTCAATTTTTTTATAGCAAATGAGAAGAATAAAAATAAATAATAATAATAATTTTGTTCTTTCATTGTAATAAATAAGGTTTACATGACTAAATTGCATAAATAATAATTACAAGATTGATAAAATATTTGCAGTTGTTTTCCACTTCAAAGATCATTAATAAAAAAATTTGACAAAAACAAAATTGTAAATCAATCTATTTTGAAACTTTTTTTGGGCACAGCTTTAGCTTTGATGCTTTGGTTCTCCTAATTCATTTTGATTCGTTTCATCTCTCCCACAAGAATTATATCGCTGATCTTGACGTGCGTGCGTGGACAAATTTTTCCTAAAAAGTTGCGTGATCGGCGCTTGATCTCATCTGGAAACGGTCGGTGCGTGGGAAGAAGACGTTTCCGTGGACATTTTCACACAGGCTCTTTCTTTTGTTGCCGGTCAGCGTGCCATCGCTGCGTCGCTTTGCACACATAGTTCTCGCTGCGAGCCTAATTAGCGGTGCATGAAAGGATGAAACGCTTTTTTGGGAATGCAAATCTGTTAGCCACAGGATTATCTCCAATTCCTCCAAGTTGACCGTGTTTACAGAAAGAAAAAATCGTGGAATAAAAATTAGGAAAAAATAATTGCTAATTAAATGTATTAAAATTAAAATGGTAGGTAACAGATTTTCTTTCTTTAGATTTGCTACAATTTTTTTAAACAATTTTCAAGACGTCCATTTTTAAATTTCAATAATCATTAATTTATTCATGAAAATAATTTAAATAAATCCTGTTTTTATTTCAATTTTTAATGGTCAGCTATTCTATTTAGGATATGACGAGTATTTATTTTGAGCGGACAATGAACGCGAGCGACGGTTGTGGGTCGTCGAAAGGGGAAACGAAAGTGCATTGTGGATGTCAAATCAGCGGCGCCTTTGAAGCGTGCACAATTAAAACGTGCATGTTATGCTACGGCATTTGGTGGCGCGGCGGAAGTGAACGCCAGTAATGGCCATTTCCTCCGCTCAGGGCCGGCGGGATGGACAGGATGCGCCCTGGACCGCGTCAGTCCTTGGCGATCATCGGCCAGATGAGCACCAAGAATGGCCCAGCAGATCCACTGGATCCAGCTGCAGGCGCTGCCGCCCATCCCCGTCTCGCCCGTGTTCATTAAGAGATTTTCGCGCGTCTCCCAATTTGCTGTGAATTTTTTTTAATACTATGTGATTTTTTTAATTTCCTCCAAAGACGATTGATCTACGGGAATGAATTTAATTCTGATTCATATTTGACAATTAAAAACGGCTTTTCAAACTTTTTATACAAATTTTCATTTTTTATTTTTTGATGATTTATTTAAAGTTCTTGGACCATTTTGAGATCTTTTCAAATATGTAAATTATTTATCAAAATAATTAAAATTATTGATTTTTGATTTCAGGAGGACCTGAGGAGAAGAAAAGAAAATGAGGACCGCGTTGCACAAGAAAAAGAGTTCCTTCGCTCGTCTATGCGCGACTCGCGAAAGCTGCAAGCGCTCGAGAGTCGACCCCCACCCAAGCTGCCTTCTGGAATTGTCAATGACGGCTACTCGTCCACCGAGGACAATGACGGAGTGGTCGCCACCACAGACATCACCTCTGACTCATTGCATAAGATCGTCAGTAAGTACCTTTGAAATAAGCATCAAGATTGGGAAAAAAATGATATTACGTCTGCACCCTTTCTATTGTCAAACAAATTACATTTTTTTTTGATGAGGACAAAGCTCAATTTCTTAATCACTTATATTCTTATCAAAGGAAAAAAATTTAAATCGCTACAAAATTTAACTGGATTTTTGAAAATGACGGAAAGAAATTCAGCATTTTTTTTTATATTTAACTTTATTTTTATTTTAGATTTATTTATTATCTTAATATTTTTATTCAGCTACTTAAATTTATTGAGAATTTCCCGTTGTTGATTCATGCCCGAGGAATCCCAAGATCTACAATAGATTTGGGCGGAAGTGCGTGATTTGAATCGCAATGAACCCTTCTCTTATTTTTCCGTCCCTTTGTCTCCTTCATCCCGAAACGAACAGTCTCGAATCAGACTTCGACTCTCATTGTCAGGCTCGATCTCATACATAACCTTTGCCTCCCGTTTTTTTTCCAGCTTTCAGCGAACTTGCAGCCGCATTGCAAAGGTTAGGCGCCCTTCTGCGCAAGCATGGTCGCGGCATGGAGGCGCAGGTGGCGGCGGTGCAGACGCTGCTGCTGAGCGCCGAGTTCGGCCGCGCGCTCGCCCTCCACAACAAGGTCTGCGCCACCCACAAAACCCCAACGCCTTTGCCCACACCCACCTGTGCTGATTCGCAAACCGTCGTTAGAGATGTAAGTGTTAAATTATTCCAAGTAATTAATTTGAACTGTAATTTTGAAAATTAATCGAGTATTTACATATCTAAAAATTGACAGGAATTTTTGGACCAAAATTCATTCCAAGCATCTATACACTATCAATTTCATGCCTGAAAGAAAAATTAAAGCGTATATTGAAATTATTCACAATTAGAGCACAATATAGAGATAAAGTTTTTTATAATCTTTTGGAGACTTGATTAAATCTTTGATAATAAATGCAAATTTTATTGCATATTTAAACAACAGCGATAACGCTCTGTATATGAAAATGAAATTTGGCAGTTTTTATGTTTTTAAAATAAAAATTTCTGCAGTGTTTGGAAGCACTCCAGCCGTGCGCAGCCCCGGGCGCGGCTGAGCTCGCCGAGATCCTGACCAGATACGAGCTGGAAGGACTTCTGACTGCCCACGACATTCTAGCCAAGCGCCTGCCAGGTCCAACGCCACCCCGGATGCCTTCGCCGCCAGCAGAGGAAACCATCCCTGTAGCTCCACCCTACACAGACGACAATATAAAAATTGTAAAAATCGAGAAAACCAACGAACCTTTAGTGAGTGTTTCGAAATTTGCTCAAAGTTCATTTTACTGAGATGATAAAATCTTCACCAGGGTGCTACGGTGAGAAACGAAGGCGACTCGGTAGTGATCGGCAGGATCGTCAAAGGCGGTGCTGCGGAGAAAAGCGGACTGCTGAGGGAGGGCGACGAGGTGCTCGAGGTCAACGGCGTCGAAATGAGGGGCAAGTCTGTCAACGAGGTGTGCGACCTTTTGGCCAGTATGACTGGCACGCTCACCTTCCTAGTAGTGCCTAACAGAGAACCAAGAGCCCCTCAGCCGCCGGCAAGAGAAACTCTGGTAGGGAAATTGCCTGTGGTTTTATTACTTTATTGCTCAATGCAATAATTATTTGGTTACAGTTGCACATGAAGGCTCACTTTGACTACGACCCTGAGGACGATCCCTACATTCCGTGCAGGGAGCTCGGAATCAGCTTCCAGAAGGGTGACATTCTGCACATCATTAGCCAGGAAGATCCTAACTGGTGGCAGGCCTACAGAGAAGGAGAGGAGGACCAGACCCTGGCCGGTTTGGTGCCAAGCAGAGCCTTCCAACATCAGTAAGATTAAACTTTTTTTTATGTAATTTTTTTCCTATAAAATTAACACATAAGTTAAAACTATTTATATTAAATAAATCAATAAATATCAAATACTATATTTTCTTATATTAAATAATAACATTATTTTAAAATTTAATTTTACGTATATAAAAGAATTAAAATTGTATTTATCAAGATTAAATAAATTATCAATTTATTGTTATGAATAAAAAAAAAATAAGATACTAATTATAAAATAAAATTATTTAATAAAATTGTAAAAAAATTATTAATAAATTATTTTAAATAAAAAATTTAAATACGATTATAACTAATAATCTTATTTTTAAATTTATTTTTTCTTTTAATTAAAAATTTTCTATATTTGAATTATAATATGCATGATAAATTAAATTAAAAGATAAAAAATGAACCTCTTTTAATTGCACCTTTTTTATTAATTTATTTTACTTTGCAGAAGGGAGGCAATGAAGCAGAACATCATCGAGGACAAGGGAACCAAGGACAAAAACAAAAAGGGCGGGACTTTGTTATGTGCCAAAAAGAACACAAAGAAGAAAAAGAAGAAAATGCCCTATAGTGCGAATTACAATGATGGTGGGTACTTGTTGTACAGTACCAATACCAATGACGGTGCGTAATCTCCTGATTTTATTCTCGCTCAACTAACCAAAATTGTGGATTATGAGGCGCTTCATAATCTGCACAAATATAACGCTGAACTGGAGATGGGCACCTGTATATATTGTATTTTAAACACATTTTGCACACAAACACTCTGAATATAAACACAAATTACACAATTTGCTAGATAGGTTTTCTCCAATTTTGTTGATTAAAAAATCAAAAGTACAAAATTTCTAAAAAAAAGTGGAGATCTCCTTCTTTTTATAGTTGAATTGGATTTTATTTATAAACATTTATAAATGGCATTGCAGATTATGAGGCAGACGAGATTCTAACCTACGAAGACGTAGCGCTCTATTATCCTAAAGCAAACCACAAACGGCCTATTGTCTTGATCGGACCTCCAAACATTGGGCGGCACGAGTTGAGGCAGAGACTTATGGAGGATTCTGAGCGGTTTGCTGCAGCCATTCCCCGTTAGTTCTGATTTCACCCTATTTTAATAGAATCACTAACGCAATTTTCTTTCTCATCAGACACAAGCAGGCCGAAGAAGGACGGCGAGGCGGACGGCCAGGACTACCACTTCATCAGCAGGGCGCAATTTGAGGCGGACATCGTGTCGAGGAAATTTGTGGAGCACGGCGAGTACGAGCGCGCCTACTACGGCACAAGTCTCGAGGCCATCAGAGGCGTCGTCAGCTCGAGCAAGATCTGCGTCCTCAATTTACATCCCCAGTCCTTGAAGATCTTGCGGACGTCCGACTTGAAGCCGTACGTCGTGTTCGTGGCGCCGCCGTCACTTGAGAAGCTCAGGCAGAAGAAACTGCGCAATGGGGAGACGTTTAGAGTAAGTTCCATATAAAATAATTTTAAATTTTAAGAATAGTATTAAATTATTTTAAGTAAATTTTTATAGGGTCAGGCCAAGACAAAATCTTGTTGGCCTGCAAAAATTCTTGTAAAAAAAATTAATTTATTTAATTATTATTTTTTAATTATTATTGTATTTATTAATTTCTTTTTTAATTTGCTGTAATATTATTTCAAATTTAAATTTTTTTAATTATTATTATAGTTACTTTTTTAATTTTTTAATATAAAACTTATTTATTTATTATTGTTTATTAATCTTATTAAATATAAAATTAAAAAAAAAATTGGAGCCTTAGACATTACTTAATTATTGCAACAACCTTTCTAACTAAAAAAAATCATGCAAATTTTATCTCCAGCAAAAGTTCTTTTTAAAATAAGCAGTGTTTAAATTTTCAAAATAAAATTGTTACAGGAGGAGGAGTTGAAGGAGATAATTGAAAAGGCGCGTGAGATGGAGGACCGGTACGGCCACTTCTTCGACATGGTCATCATCAACAATGACACCGAGCGGGCGTATCAGCAGCTTCTCAACGAGATCAACGAGCTGGAGCGTGAACCCCAGTGGGTACCTGCAACCTGGGTCAAGGCTGTGTAAACTGTATAAAAAAAAGACAAAAACTACTACAAAACACTCAAACCCCCCAAAAGTGGACTTCTTTTTGCAAAAGGAAAGGGCGCTGCCCGTCAGTGCTACGGGTCTTGAATGACAAGAAGAAGAAGAAGTGCGTGCGCCGCTCGAAGAAAATTTAAGGAGCAAACAAGGTTTTTCACTAAGAGTAAAAATCAGTTGTATGTTACAAACTTGATGATGAGGCGATTTATTAGCAGTGAATGTTGTGATATTTTCAAGAACATCAAATATTCCAAGAGTCACGTACGGGAAAAGAAACATGTAAAATGTAAATGTACTTTATCAACAAAATCTAGGTTCATTTGCCGCCAACAACTCTCAGTGAAAGCAAAAAAAAGTAGAGAGCCAAACACAAATTAATTCCAAAACTGCCATCGGCCAAATTTTTATTCCACGGACTATATCGATCGTCGTTTAAATATGATAAAAATTATATATACGAAAAATTTCAAACTCTCAATGACGTATCAAACTTGAACTAAAACTTATAGGGTGGCTCCTCTTTTTTCAGTGGGCCCGAAAGCCTTCTATAAAAGTAAATTTGCACATTATTACTCGAACTACTAAAATTAAAACAAAAAAGCCACCCGGAGAAAGAGACGGTCATTTTTCACAGTGACGCCGAGACAAAGCAAGAACATTATTAAAACCTGCTCTGTGTTCAAATGAATCCACTTGAGAAAAAAACCTAATAAAAATCGTCGACGGGAAAAATAAGGTGAACGTGGGACGCAGAACACACTCTACGGTAGACTTAACTGAAAACTTGTCCAACTTCCACTCTGTAACGATATATTATACATACGCAAGGAAACTAACGTGTACATTTCTCTATTTTTTATGAGGCCAAAATAATATCATGTTTTTGATATAGACGAGCGCTGTTTAGCCAGACACACACGTGGAAATTCTGCACTTTTCTTTACAAGTCGAGCACCTTAATATATAAAAATGCAAGTCCTTTCATCGAATATTGCCTAGTAAAAATTAATTACTCGAAAATTGATTGGTATTTTCCCACTTAAACTGCTGAACACGCTATGTTTCATGCGAGTAAATTTCAAAATTTGGCAGTCAAGCTTTTTTAAATTCTGAATTAATGAACTGAAAACACAATGGTAATCTGATCTCGTCAAGATTGCATCGTTTCTTGTTCTTGTGTTGTCAGATCTGGGATACAATAGCGTCTTCCTATGCATATATTTGTGTTTTTTTATTCACACACACATACACAAAGGAACAAACAAACACACACACTTGTAGTCGAAAGCATAAAAAAACTACTTGATGGTTCTAGGAGAAAGAATGCAATTTTTGCAAACCAAGATGAAGTTGATCGATGAAGAAGAGTTTTTAAAAACGCAGTGTTATTGAATTTTACGGAAATTCCCTATCATGTCAATTTTAAGTAGATGAAAGTCAAATTTCAAGCACGAAGGAGAGTGACTATCAGACAAGTTGAGAATCCCATTCTTAAGAACTTTGAGAGATCGAAAGAGAGAAAGCAAAGCAATTTGCTGATCAAATGTATTCGGTTGTCGATCGTCCCCGTTTTTTTCGCTCGCCGCCAGAAATTTTCAAAGAAATCCTTGTTTTTCGTTTTAATTAATCGTGTCTCGTCTCAGGTGTCGTTTATTTCCGATAGAGTTGACTCTTTTTTTATAGCAGCAGCGTTACATTTTTTGATAGGGTGCATACATATTATGTAAAATATATATAATTTTTGTCCAAAGCGAAAAAAAAATGTAATGAAAAAAGGTCTCTCCGCAAAACCACCTTGAAAAATAGCCGCGAGAGCGATACGTGCTTCTGTTTCAATGAAAAAGTTTCCAGAAATAATTAATAACATAATGTGAGTGTCTCTCTGCTGATCAAAAACGAAAATTAGCCATTTATTGCCAATCGTTTGATAAAAATAAATAAATCCGTTCTTGATTCCCTAGCCAATAAAAACTTGCAGCATTTATATCTCTGAAAAAGAAGAACAAAAAGAAAGAAAGAAAACCTTGAAAAAAAATATATGAATTTTCGCAATGTCCGATGATAATAAATTTATGTGTGTGTTTCTCGCGTAATTAAACAGATTGACTTATTAATTATTCATCATAATTATATATCGATTTACATGTGTACGGATAGCGATTTTCATCATCCAACGGTTATTTTCCAAAATACAAACTATATGATAATTAAATTATATAAAGGTGAAACAAGAGGGGAATTTTGCAATTGATATTATAACGTGTCTGTGAGTGTTGGAAAATTACTTAAAACGACAGAAAAAGCTAAAAAATCAAACTTGTTAAAAAGGAAACTATTAAAAACCACTAGCATGAAATACGAGAGAATTTGACAGGTTGACCCGTGACCCTTGACCTAGCTCAACGCGTGCCCCCAGAAAAATATGTTTTGTTTCTGCCAAGTGTTCCATTCCGAAGAATAATGACTACAAATTTAACTGGTGCTGTTATAATTTAAATTAATTAAAACGTACCGCGACGACTCTATTTATATAATAGTTAAATGAAAAACGATCAGGTTAATAATAATAATGTGAAGAGCAGATTTGCGTTCGATGTAAACATGTTAAGCTGGTCACTGGCAATGAACTAAAAACCCCAAATGTGCGTCCCTCAATTAACAGGGTGCACCGTTTCAACAACTAAAATAACTGCCAGGTTATATAAAAACATTATTATTTTATTCCAACTTAATGGTGTTTCCGTCAGATAAAATTATTTTTGGTTCGGCTTTCGCGCTCTGCTTTCATTTTCGTGCAGTACGTACATTTATAAAAACGCAGTATGTAAAACACAAAAACATGTCCATTTAGTTTTTAAGACGCATTGCGATGATTGTTATTTATGATTATTAATTAATATATTGCCGCGATTATATTGAAATCTTGTTGTCGTGTTTATTGAAGGTATTTTTAAAAGAAACAAAAATCGAACCTGCTCAAAATTTAGTACCAATGTAAGTTATTAAAAAACGACGATGATGATGATATGATAAAAAAAATCAACGGTGAGAAGGAGAACTACACACTACGAGATGATTATTAAAAACAAAACGTGGATGCTTGAACAAGAATATACGAGAATGTATTTTGAATTGACTGTGTAAATAGTTGAGACATAAACGCTGATAATAATAAATATTAATGATAATTGACTGTTTAAATAATAAAAGGCGAATGAGATGTGCATGTGTAGGTTTTGAAAGGAAGGTCACCAGTGAATTTCATTAAAAATGTGCAGAGACAAAAATAACGGGTGAAAGAAAAAATATATCGAACAAGTGAGTTATATCCAACTTTTAACGCGAGTGAATAAGATTGATTGATTGTGAGAAAAAAAGATCATTTTTTATCATATTGGTTGTATAATTCTAATTACATACAATGCAAACACACTGAAATATTTCTGTTATTGTGTATTCTTAGTAAATGGAACTGATGTATTAAATCCAAAACTATAAAAAAAAACTCTTGTTTTTCTCATCTCACAGTTGCATCAAAAACAGAATCAATTCCTAGGCTCGTGTATGGTAATCAAAATTTTTTTAAACGTTGCTCGGAGTTAATGAAAATGCAATTTCTGCGATTGGCACCCATATAATTTCGACTACTCCCAGAGAAATACTCACTCTTATTCTTCCCTTATCTGAGCAAGTATTAAAGTCGCATTATGGGAAAAGTAACCTTATTTTAATTTTTAGCCCCTTTGCAAACACCAGAGGCTGTTGGTAACTCGCTGCTGCTACCTTCTTTTTCTCTGCTTGCAAAACTCAAATTATACAAAATATTTTGTGTGATTAAGATGATAAAAATTATTTTGGTCATACATTATTAAACAGAAGTCCATAGGTTAATTTAGAAATTCATTTATTTGAAAACTTTAGGCACATATGATCTGCCACTATGTTTTTGACAATTTAAATTTATTTTATTCCACTTGGTGTTTCATTAAATGCTTTATACACATTACAGTTTAGTAAAAATTTTGATCACAATATTCAAGTAAAATTTTATTTTAGTTACATTCATAAAATTAGAGGTGCTTAAGTCTGCCGAGCAGAGCCAGCCAAACATTTTGTCCAAGTTATCTTGAAAGGGGTTGTCTAGATGCACTTACAGTCAAAAAGAGCACCTCATCAAACGTCAGTCACAAACTGGTAGCCTTTGAAGTGCCATGACTCAAACATTCGATGTAGCACATCAGGGACGTCATCAGGGGTTCTGGTTAAAAAAAAAAGCAGAGTTAGTATATAATAATATATAAAAAATATTGACTTACAATCTGTTCTTTGTAAAAGCCTTAGCAGATTGACAAAGCTCAAGAAGAAAGTTCTCGCCTTGTGTAAAGGACAGGGGCTCCCCCTTCCAGCGACTGTAGTATACAGCGGAGCCTATAGAAAATAGACAAAAAATAAAATTTCAAAGGCAACTTCTTTCATTATTTTCTTTCTTACCGATGACTGCATAGGCAGCCCTCTGGTTGAGCAGCAGGGGTTTTCCACGGCCAGTCATGTTACTCTTCGCGAGTACATCTGTTCCAAATGTCACACAACCAAGACCCTTGATGTACGTCTCCGGAGAGTCGTCCTGAGCTTCTAAAAGCATTTTGTGCATTCTATCAATATCCTTTTTCTGGACGCACACTTCCGTCGTGATCATGAGAACCTGGAGAAATGTGTAGAAATAATTGCATAATAAGCCAAAGTGTGTATGTTACTTACCCAGGAGTCTCTAACCAACTTGTAAAAGGGCTGAAGGAGTTATTCACTGTGAGTAGAAAATTATCGTTATTTTTGAGATATGATTATAATAGAGCAAAATAAGATAATTTAGTTAACACTAATTTTGACGCTTTTTGTGGGAATTCAATTGTATATATCGAATCAATACTACTAAATTTTGTAGATTAGGGTTTTTTTTAATTGAGAAAAATATAAGTGCTGAAGGATTTATTCAATGTGAGTTGAAAATTTACGTAATTTTCTTAGATATGATTAAAATAGAGCAAAATAAGATGTTTTAGCTAACACTAACTTTTGACGCTTTTTGCGGGAATTAAATTGCATATATCGAGATCAATAATGCTAAATTTTGTAGATTAGGGTTTGAAATAGAGAAAAATATAACTGCTGCAGGAGTTATTCACTGTGAGTAGAAATTTTTCGAAATTTTCTGAGATATGATTATAATAGAGTAAAATAAGATGTTTTAGCCAACACTAACTTTTGACGCTTTTTGTGGGGTTTCAATTGTATAAATCGAGATCAATAGCACTAAATTTTGTAGATTAGGGTTTGAAATTGAGAATAATATAAGTGCTGAAGGAGTAATTCACTGTGAGTAGAAAATTTTCGTTATTTTCTGAGATATGATTATAATAGAGCAAAGTAAGATGATTTAGTTAACACTAACTTTTGACGCTTTTTGCAGAATTTTTGTTGTATAAATCGAGATCAATACTACTAAATTTTATAGATTAGGGTTTTTAATTGAGAAAAATATAAGTGCTGAAGGAGTTATTCAATCTGAGTAGAAAATTTTCATTATTTACTGAGATATGATTATAATAGAGCAAAGTAAGATGATTTAGTTAACGCTAAAGTTTGACGCTTTTTGCGGGCCTGTAATTGTATAAATCAAGATCAATACTACTAAATTTTGTAGATTAGGGTTTGAAATAGAGAAAAATATAACTGCTGAAGGAGTTATTCACTGTGAGTAGAAATTTTTCGAAATTTTCTGAGATATGATTATAATAGAGCAAAATAAGATGATATAGTTAACACTAACTTTTGACGCTTTTTTTGGGAATTCAATTGTATATATCGAGATCAATACTACTAAATTTTGTAGATTAGGGTTTGAAATTGAGAAAAATATAAGTGCTGAAGGAGTAATTCACTGTGAGTAGAAAATTTTCGTTATTTTCTGAGATATGATTATAATAGAGCAAAGTAAGATGATTTAGTTAACACTAACTTTTGACGCTTTTTGTTGGAATTCAATTGTATATATCGAGATCAATACTACTAAATTTTGTAGATTAGGGTTTGAAATTGAGAAAAATATAAGTGCTGAAGGAGTAATTCACTGTGAGTAGAAAATTTTCGTTATTTTCAGAGATATGATTATAATAGAACTAACCATTTTTAAAATTAAAATTAAAAACTATTTTTTTCCACCTGAGCGTTTAGATGTGGGTTGTTGCGACGTTCACACCCATCCTGGTGCGAATGTCGTCCTCGCAGCGGATTCGGACAAGCGCACCAAGCTGTTCACTGTGCCGGGCGAAAATTTTTCCGTCCCGCACCCACACAAAACGGAAACCTTTTTGAGCAGCGGCAGTGCGAGTCAGGAACAAGAGTCTTTTGTTGTAGGGCGTCAGCTGCTCGTAGATGCGGACAGGTGGAAGGCCTCGGCGACGAGGGCGATCGGCAGCAACGGCGGCAGCGGTGGTGGGCGCCTCCTCGCTGACGTCATCTGCCTGCTGCGGCTGCTGCAGTCTTCGCCTCCCCGCCAGCCAAGCCATCTTGACACTGGCGGCCTTGACCTTCACAACAATCGGCGGTGCTCGAGGTGATTCACCCGCTACCCGGGGAGCAGGACGGCCGGGCAGGCGGTATGCGTCCACAACCGTGTCAGACACGCGTGGCGCTCCGACTTGATCTGCAAGGCTTTGCACGACCTCGAGCACATTCTCTTTCTCCTTCATCGGAACATTGTAGAATTCCATATTTAGCACCAGATTGAACTGCTCCACTTGGTTCAAACGCGCGGAGAGCTGATTCAACGCGGCGTCCTTTTCCCTGACCTTCTCTTGGACGCCTTCGAGGGCCTTCTTCAGGTCGACGATGAGGGCCTTTTCCTCGGCGGACTGTTTCAGCAACTCCTCGTACTTGCCTTCGAAGAAGTTGAGCGACTTTTCCATCTCGACGAATTTTTGCATCATGGTCTCAAAACGCGCGGTCAGGTTAGTTTCCATTGATGTAATTTGGTCCATCAGGGTAGTAGTGTCGGGGCCTTCGGAGCCTTGAGAGCTGGACTCCTGTCTGCAGTTGCAGATGATTATTCATTTCGGTGCACTGAAAACAAATTCCTCTAGCGTACGTTTAAATCTTAGCTAAGCGCCGGGCTAGATCGAGCAGAGCTGCGGAGCGATTCGAAAAAGCGTCTGCTCGCCCCTAGCGCACTAGCCAGACTGATTGATTCGTGGCGCTCGACCGAGAAAGACAAGGTCGAGAGCTAGGATTCGCTCCTTCGCTGCTTGGGACGATAGTGGCTGGTAATTCTGGTAAAATTGCAGACGAAACTCGCACCGAGCTTAAGCAACCCAGAAAGGCAAGTTGAAAAATGTGCGATTTATTTTTTTAATTAAATTTCTTGTTATTCAGATGCCTGTCCAGAGTGTCCAGCCGTGATCCTGGTCTCTTGCGGTGCGTTCGGAAAATGCTGCTGATGGTCATCGGCCAGGAGGAACAAAGTCTTGGTCAGGACGTCCGTAGAGAGCGCGAGAGGAGGAATGAGCAGGGGTGGAGTTTTGGGGAGTATCTTGCCCTGCAGGAGAAGTTGGCCGCCCTACGCCCTACTGGGAGCTTTGAAGGGCGTTGAGGACGAGGCATATTGGTTCTGTACGACGAGCTTGACGCCTTTTTCACCCAGTTTGTGAGAAACGCAAGTCTCGTTGGTACGTATAGCAAAAGTTTATTAAGATTTGAAAGTTTTTATTTAAACGCAAAAAGTTCAGAACCTCCTCCTTGGCTGAGTTCATTCAGTGCACCATTGAAGGAGTGGCGAGGTCTGGGATTAGATTCAAACACAAGATTTGCGATCTCGTCAATGGTGGTTCGTCACTCCTGCAGCTCCGATCGTATCTCTTTACCAGACAACTGAATCTCCTGCCCAGAATGAACCAACCCCAACAGGTGGTATTTTTTACGTTTCTAAAATTTAGAAAACATTTTGAACTCGGCAAAAAAAATTTATTCTTATTTTGTATGGAGTAAAATTTTATGTATCAACATTTAAAACAAATTTTAATTTTTTTCCAATTGACAGATTGCTGAAAGCTGTCTCCCCGTGTACTGCAAATCTGCTTCAACGAGATCCGCATCCTTGAGGTGGATTTTCCTGAGGGTGCAGCCTCCTGCTGGGCTGTCCAAGTAGCGCTTCAAGTGCTTCACGTTTGCCGAAAATTGACTGCTGACCAAGTGCATTCGCTGCCAGCTGCTTCACTCTGTGACTTCGCTTGTCAAAAACTCTTCCAGCTGGGAGAGCTACTCGGCCTCATGCCAGGAGGAGAAGGTCCAACTAGCACTCGGCTAGATGCAGCCGGCCGTCTGGTTAGGGAGCAGGTTTGGGTCCCGAGGCTGCTTTTGGAGGCGAACAGTTGAAGGAGGCTCTCGGCTCACCTTCCAAAAGTTATACCTAGTGCTAGCCGAGTTTGCCCTGCGGGCACTTTCAAACACCTTGGACGCAGCAGGTCAGCAAGACTGCTTATTGGACGATCTTGATGCTGATGGCAAAACAATTCATATTTACAACATTTTTAAAATAATCAAATTAATTTCTCCTCAGAATGTGTCGTGCCTCTTGAGGAATTAAATATTTGATTTGGTTTCCGTGCAGGCCATAAGTGGACACAAGCAGCGCAGGCCAAAGTGAAACTGAATTCGCTGCTGCCAGAGCCAGTAATGCCACAAATCAAATAAAATATAGATGAATTAATCTAGATAATTGCAACATTGAGGTGTGTGTTTTATTAAAATTTAAAAAGCAGGGATCTTCAAATATTGTCTTGCTTTTATTTAATACAATTTTCATCTTGGCTACATCGTATCAAAGTTTGTTACACTTAAGATTAATTTAATGAACGATTGCAGTTCTGTTTTAGTTCATAAATTTTTTTTTAATAATTCACAAAATAAATTAATGACAATTCAAGTCTTTCTCCTGCAAAAATCAAACCCATTGCTTTGCTGTTCATAACGAAATGATGCATTTGCACTCTGCTGCTGTTTAGTCCGTCTCAGGTACCTCGTCTCAGAATAAAGCCTTTGTTAGGGTATTTGTGAAGCAGCTGTTGGATGAAGTTGTTTCCCTCCGCGTCGAAGACATGACGCCTAAAGAAAATCACAGTAAATGCAAATTTTAATAAAAATATTTAACTGTTTTACCTGCCCATTCTGTTTCCAGCCATCCTCTTGGCTTGTGAGCAGAGGTCGGTGAGAAGTCTCTGGCCACGTTTGTAGGTAAGCACATTGCCTCCCAGTTCGATTGAATATTGGACGCAGCAATCTATTTAAGTGTTGTAAATAAAGCGGAAATATTCTCATATTCTTTTCTCACCTATAAGAGCGAATGCGACTCTGGTGTCCAACGAGTCAACTCCCGGAGCACGTCCAAGGTACACCGAGTTCGAAAGGATTCTGGCTCCGTAGGCCACGCATCCGAGCCCCTTCAGCAATTTTTCGGGGTTTCCTTGCACCGAAGCCAGGCTTATTAGAAAATCGATGTCAGAATTTCTCAAGAACAAGTGCAGAGACAAGACGGTCTGCGAAAAAATAGTTTAAATTAAATATTAACAAGGGACATACGAGTTCACTTTTTTGCTTACCCACTCCTCATCATGGCGTTTCAACATCATAAAATTGAGCAATGTGACTGTGCTTTTTGGATTTTCTTGGACTGCTCCTGTAAACAAAATAAATGAAATTTTATATAATGTAACACATCCCTTTTTTGTAAAAAAAAAAAAAAAACTATAATAAAGTTATACATTGAAAAAAAAATTAAAGAACATATAAATATTTTTATACCTTCAGACTGCTCCTCCTCCGCCTCTTCATCTTCGCTGAGTTCTTGTTTGGTAGTGTCTTCCACTGTCAACTCTTGTATCAACAGGTGATCTAAACTTCCTTCTACTGCATCTGCGACAAAGACTGTTAGTTATAATCTGCACTTATAGATTTTTATTCACTTTTTTTGACCCACCTCCGAAGGGACTGAACATTGCTGGGGCAGAATAGAGAGTCGTTCTACTGCCTGGACCTTGGGATCCAGCCCATGATGCCCCAGCAGCTGGTAGGCCTTGGGCTCCTGCCCATGAGGCTCCAGCAGCTGCTGGGCCTTGGGCTCCAGCAGCTGCTAGGCCTTGGGCTCCTGCCCAAGAGGCTCCAGCAGCTGCTGGGCCTTGGGCTGCTGCCCATGAGGGGGCACTTGGGCATGCAGCTGCACTGGGACCTGGAGCAGGTGTCCAGGGGGTAGAGTAGCTGCCACTTATTACGCCACTCATCCGCTGCATCTGCTTTTTCTCCAACTCATCGGCCTCCTTCAAGAGTTTTTCAGCATCTTGGCGTTATGAGTGCTTTTGAATTGGTCAAGAAGCAACTCCTGCTCCTCCCTGAAATTTATTTACAAAAGTGTTACATTTTCCATACAATAATATGTAATATATGAATATTTACAGATATTTCCCTTTCATCTCGGGGGTCACTATAATGGGTCTGCTTGAGGTGGCTGGCTGTAGCAAGTCTGAAACAAAAGTTAAGTATTGCTTAAGTATGTTATATAAATAAGAAAATGAATTAATTTTCATGGCAATATTGCTTTAAAAAATTAATTTTCATGCTTAAAACAGGTATACATTTTTTATTAATCTAATAATTTAACATGCCGGGTTCATTTATAAAAGCCAAACAGCCAAATTTAAGCCTGGGAAGCTATTTTTATTTTTAAATGTTGAATTAAATTTTTATATGAAACTGTTTAATCAAATATTAATAATAATATTATGCTTTTTCAAAGAAGAATTTCACGACCAATGATTGATTGATTTGCTGCAGGTGAACGTCTTTACCGGCTTTGATATTAAAGTTGCCAAGTTTTTGCGTATAAAATTTTACGTCAATCTTGTGGAAAATAAATTTGATAAAATTTGATCCAAAGTTTGAAAAAAATTAGATAGAAATGCGGTTTATGATGTTTCTGCATAAGTATGTTTTGTTTTCAATGGAAACCTTTTTTGAAAGAATTAGATAAAGATGAAATAGTTGATAGAAACTTTTTTTATTTAGATTTTCTTTTTTAAGTTTCATAGCATATCTTCCACGCGCCAATATTCATGAAAATATGCATTATTTTAAATAAAAATAATTGATTACGTGTCGACACTTTGATGTGAAAAGAAATTCCCCAATTCGCCTACCTTTCGGAGAGAGATTATTCAAAAATAGGGATACGAAGAAAGGCGGAGCCTCCCCATGCCCACAATGTTCAGCTGGTACAATGTAATCAAATCCAAATGGGAGCTGGTACCTAAGCCCCGCCCTTATTCACATCCCATAGTTCTACTATCTGTATTCAAAAATGTCTGCTGCAGCTTCAAACCCACCCACAAATCCCCATGTATTACTTATGAGACTCTCCAGAAGGTTCCCTCCCAGTGGCCTACGTGTGAGAATTTCATTATAATTCACAGTAAAATTCTCAACATTTGAAAAGAAATTCCCCAATGTAGAAAAGAATTTACAATTGAGTCAGCAATTTTAACAAGATGAAATTGGCGGAAATTAAGCAAAAGTTTGGTATAATTTGAATAAAGTTGGAGCAATTTATAGATTTCAAATCTTATTTATATTATTGTTCTCACAATTGCTTTGTTGATACATTTGTAAATTCTTTTCTACATTGCGGAATTTTTTTTCAAAAGTTGAGAATTTGACTGTGAATTACAATGAAATTCTCACACGTAGGCCTGGCCAACATACATTATCAATTCTTACAGTTTTATCTAATATATATATCTAATTTTTCAAACTTTTCTCAATTTATCTCATTATTCACATTTAATAAATTTTTCTACTTTTCATCAAATTTTTAATTTTTAATTTTATCAAAACCACGTTGGTTCTGATTGGTCTCGTGTATGAATTTAAAATAACTCACCAGTCATTCTGCCAGACTGTTGCGTGTTCACCTCCCCAATGATCAAGGCCCGGACAGGATTCTGGCCGGGAATTAGTGAAATGACGCCGACCTGCATTCCCACTGCCACCAATCTGTTTGCGCTATACGCAGGATAGATGATCTCAAAACCATGCACCTCTCGTGGTTCAGCTTCAGCTTCACACTGAACGATGAATTTTTTTGAAGCCATGATGGACGTCACACGGCCACACGCCGGGCGACGGACACTTCTCAGATTTAACGACACAGCTCTCTAGCTGGACGGTCAAACTTCTTGTAAATGCGATGCGGTTCGGTGTCAGCGAACGGAATTTTGGCGGCCAGCCTCCGTGCGGGACCAAAGCTCACCTCGAGCTCACCTCCGATCGACGGCTCCGACTCTAGAGCTGCGGCGACTCGCCTCAGTCGACTGACACTGACAACAACTTGACTGTCCTCTTTGCCTGCGCTCGGTGAGCCATCTACATTTTAATCAAGGTTTAGGGGGTGGGTGAGGGTTGACTTTATATTTTTACTACTTTTAGTTGAGAATAAAAATGAGCTACCTATTCTTCAATTATTACTTGTGTCCCCCGATTTAAATTTTCTTCTCAATTTTGGATTCATAAAATCAAGTCCATAATTCGGCGTCTAATTAATATATTATTTTTTTAATTAATGGAATTAATTCAATCCAATTTTCTTCTGCACTGTTGAGCCAACGCTCGAAGGGTTACAATGAACGTCGGACCGCTTTGTAATTAATTCTTATTTGCAGAATATAATTTTTTCCTTATCTGTTCTGAAATTCTCATTTATATAGCTGAAAGCTGAAACCGCAACCGGCATAAATATTTTTCTTTTAATGTGTTTTGGTAAAACACGGTTAAAGAATAAGAAACTTAATCCCGAGTTATTTTTAATGTCTTCAAGATTAATTTTTTCTCAATTTATGCTGCATAAAATCAAGACCATAATGCGGCGTCTTATTAAAAGTTTTATTCATTTGGTAATTAATTCATTAAAATTATTGCTTTGTTTTTCTTCTAACTTTTTGAACCACTTTTTTCACATTTTTACTCATATTCTAAATCGCAACAAACTTGATTTATTTAATCCTTGTCACTTCTGAAATTCTTAATGTCCTTAAACTGGCACACTTTTGTTTTTAAGTAGTGGAAAATTAAATTAAAAAACCTAATCACGAGTAATTTGTAATGTCTCGGAGAATTTATTTCCTATTTTTACTGCATAATATCAATTTAGCCGGCGTCTAATTACTCTAATTTGAGCGAAAACCGGCCATTTCGGTTGTTCTGTTGACAATCGCCCATTGATACCACGTTTTTCCGTCGCTTTTTCCCCGCGAAGCATTGCTTTTTCGGTGCGCCCCATACTTGCCGTGCTTTGCACGTGTTCTTTCGGGCCGCGCCTCGCGAATTCAATGGCGGCTGCGATCGCCTCTCATTGGCGGCACAAACGATGACGTCGTCACCCGGTGTCACGTGATGTGTGACGTTCTACAGGCTTCTGCCTGCTGGGCCAAGTGCCTTTGCACGCAGTTATCTCTGCTTTGCTTGCAGTCCGAAATAGGGCCGCAGACGGACTGAAAATGCGGTAGAGCCGTTTTGTTTTTTAATAAAATCCAATTTTTCAAGAAAGAAAAGTCCGATCTCTGCAAACAATGGGCGAATTTGGCCAACAAAATTAAAAAATGTGAAAAACATTACTCAATTCAAATTTGAAAACGGAAAACTGACAAAGATGAAAATATTGCACGTCAGCGAAATTGTAAAATTTTGATTTATAAAAAAAAGAACAAAGAACAATTATATCGCAAATTGTACTCATCTGAGTTTTTATTTCATGGAAACAAATGTCCAAATGACTTTATAAGGAAAATAGTCCTTTAAAAGAAAACGTTCAACATTTTACTGCATTTTTTAATGCTGGTTGTTGAAATTAAGTTTTATGGGTTAACTCACATATGCGGCAGCGAGAGATTTACAAATTATAAATTTTTTATAAAAAAAAAAATTAAAATTAAATAAAAAAAAAATGGTAGTTTGAAAATATAATTAATGTCCAAAAGATAACGTTCCGACCAAGAAGATCAACGTTTATATTTTTTTATGTTTGGTCCAAAAATAAAGACACATTGTATAAAATATATAATGTCGTCCAAATTCTTCAGTTGCAAAGGATATTTTTTTCTTTGCCAAGTGCGAGAAATACAAATGGATGGTCGTCGACCAAAATTCGATGAAATAATGCTATAGTACGCGCTTGAATATTTCGATACGTTTCGTATTTCGTGGCAGGCAAATAATCTTTTAGCGTTCTCAGGATGCTTCGATCGCGTTGCATTTCAAGAAATGCTTGAAATGCAGCGCAGCGGAATTTCAAACATGGAAACGGAGAATGCGCTGAGATAAAATACGCGAGAAATTTGACATTCTCAACGTAATCTTTGCCTTGAATGCAAAGTTCGTGATAATAAATTAAAATAATTTTGCGAAATAATTTATTGCATTTGTTATTAAATGGAAATTATTATTATTTAAAAAAAATACACATTACATTTTTTGCAGATTGAATTAGTCACCAAAATACGAGCGATGTAGACGCTTTGATTAATTACAGAAAAATGGGGTGACATTATTTTTTTTTTTCATTCTGTAGCCTCGAAACTCGAAACACGAAAAACAATTTGCTTTCCGACTCGAGAGAACTATGTATAAAAACAATGAATATTAATATAACAACTGAAAGTGGCGATAATTAGTAAATGATTAAATGATTTATTCGCAACCATATTATATGTAGTGTAATTTAAGTTATACTAACGATTTTGGTGAGCTGAATCCGCGATGATGTGCAGAACGTTTGCGACGACATCGACGCCTCCGTCCTTGCAGGACTTGGCAGTCACCCGCTGCTGAAGGTTGATGATTCGGCCAGGGAAGAAGGGCGGCCGCAGAATTTCAGCGTCGGTGAGCCATCGCTCGCGACCGAGCTGATCATCGAAGATGAGATACTTTATGGACCAATTTGATGCCATCACGATCGAAATTCCAGAAGAGCAATCAATTTACAGAGCAAACTTGTCTCCAGCCGGCTGTCGTGCGGACGGGCTGCTCTGTCGATCGTGTGTGAAGCAGAAAGCAGAGGCAGCTCTGGACATGGACACCGCGAGCCGCGAGGAACCGATTGGCTGGGGAAGCCTCCCTCCCTCCCTCCGTGCCACCCCTCCTGCCGCCTGACTGGACATGGGCACTGACGGATCGGCGCCCGGAAAATAAAACAAAAGACAAAAGACGCGTGTTCCGGTCTCTCACAATCAGGCTGGCCGCGAACCCAGTGCCAAAGAGCGACATTTCCATTTCCATTCGGGCCTCCGCGTTTTTTATCCTCGCGCGCAATGGAGTTTTTTTTTCAAGACAGGGCCGACGATGAATTCAACTTGGACGTCTTCCACGATGACATCAAACGCTCCATAAATTCCCTTGGTCAATGGAAGCAGGTAAAATGTGTTATCAATTTTTTTTTTGCATAATTAGCTGATCCATTTTTTTTTTTAGAAAATCGCTTCGATGGAGAACGAAATCACAGAACTGAAAAAGAGAGAGCAGTCTTTGCAGAAAGCGTTGGCAGAAGCTCGGGAGAATGAGAAGAACGAAAGAGCATCGGTGATCAAACTGACGGAGGACTTTGGCAAACTGCAGACCTCGCTCGATACCATGATTGAAGTGAAAGGTGCATAAATTAACGCTTTTTTTCATGAAAATTCAATTGATTTTTGTTTTTATTCCTCAGTCAATAATGCAAAGTTGGCGGAGAGGGCTAAGATGTGTGAAAGACAGGTTTCCGAACTGTCAAAGGTGACTTCTTTTTTATAACTTTTGGACAAATATTAATAATTGATTCTTAGAGGTTGGAAAATGAGAGGCATGCCAACGAAATCTTAATGCAGAAGACGTGCACTGAAATCGCCAATCAGGGTAGCAAAGATCTACAGGCAGCTCAAGCAGAAAGTAATATTTTGTATATAAAAAATGTTCCATGATTTTAATCTTGAATTATAAAATTTTTAGTTGAGCACCTGCACGACCAATTGAGGTCAAACCAGGAAGAGTTGAGAAAAACCAACCTTGAGTACCAGGCGAAAATGAGAAACCTTGAAAGGTCACGGAAAGAAGAGCTCCGTCAGACTGCTCTTGAGGTTAGCTGAAATTTTAAAATGAAAATTTTTATACAGTAAAAAATCCTTTCGATTTCAGTATCAAGACAAGATTGAGAGTTTGCAATCTGAGCTTCAGTCAACCAGGACTCACTGCCGAGACTTGCAGGAGAAAATCAAGGTAGACTCTACCAACTTTCAGAAGGTACGAATAAAATGTTCTATTCAACAAATAAACATAAATTTGTTCAAATTTTACAGAAAATCAAAGATTTGGAGAGGACTTCCATGAACCCATTTCTGCGGGCACCTGAGAAATCTACATCAGGGCCAGGCAGGAATAAGGTTGGTGGACGAAAAATGCCCACCCTGGATTTTGTGAACTCCACGTCTGACGGTGAAAAAGGGACGGACAACCAGTCCTACACAAATCAGTCGACGCTGAGAAAGAGGAAGTTGTTTGTGCAGTCAAACGACAACTCCGACGACGATTTCATGTAAATTACAAAATCTCATGTTTTCAAACAAGGGCCAATTCAGCCGAATTTTAATTTAATCTTTGTGAATAAACACTCAGTTGAGTTTACAGGTGTCAATAAAAACAATATTTTTAAATATGAAGATCACAGTGTAGATCAGAACAATCTCTTCTTGATTATGTAGAGAACACAGGCCATGAAGAAGGCAAATGCAAAGAAGACAATCACTTTGTCTGTCAATTCCCGTCGGCCGTACTTGGCCAGCAGCTTGCCCGACTGGTTTATCACTCCGCCCATGTTTTTGAACTCGTCCTGTGTTGACTGTAGAGTGTAGGATGAATTTGCTGTAATATTAACATATTAAGAAATTTTAAATTATCCCATCACTTTTATTATACCTAATGAATCAAGGGTGTCGGCACTTCTTTGCGAAGTTTCTGCAAGGTGTCTACTGATCGAGAGCAAGTGGTCTGTGACATTAGCTGAGGCGTTCGCCATGCTCTGCTTGTCTTTGTTCAGTCTGGAAATGGAAAATACTCAGTAACGTAAAAAAATATATTTAAATCTTTACCTTTTTCTGCTTGTCATGGGCTCCTTTTCATTACTGAAAAGCTGCTCCTGGTTGTTTTTGTCGATCAAGTGCTGGCAACTGACGGATGCGTTTCGGAATGAAGTCAGTGTGCTGAAATATATATGTTTTTTAATTTACATTGTACCGATTTTGATTAAAAATTTACCCAGTCAGCATTTGTCTGTGACTTCTACTCTCCTCAATGAGCTGCTGTCTGTCTTTTTCAAGGTCCTGCTCCTCTGCCAAATTTTCCAATTCCTGAATGTGCTTTCGAAGGGCGGCGATTCTGGTCCTCACCTCTGCACTCAGGGAGTCCAAATTTTCTTGCGGCCCTGTGCATGTCTGCAGCTCCTGTTGAATTTCAGCATTAAAATTATGTATGTAGGGCAAAAGGCAAAAACAAGGTTGGGTCGAACCTGAATCAGGGCTTGAACCTGCAAGCTCTGATTGATGATTTCCTGCCGAGTGACGTCTGCGTAAAGACTAACATTTTCCTTGCTCTGAAGGCGGTGCATTTTTGACCCAGAGGGCCCTGAAAGGGTAAAAGTTACAGGAAATTCAGAAAAAATGTTTATTTTGACAGGTCAAAGTACCCATACACTGTTGAAAACAAAACAAAACACAAAGAAATTTTTCAGTTAAGATTTTTGTTTAAAGAACAAAAGATATTGTAAAATTTAATGTAAATATTTAATTACAACATAATTGTTTCAGGTGTGTGAAATTTTCTGCAATTAAATCCAGAGAATAAGCGGTAAATTTTATAAATTTCACTCTGCAAGGTTGACAACATTGCAGTCCGTGTGTGGTTTGTTTTTGTTTTGTGCTGCCACCTGCTACGCCATTGCTGTTTTCAAGTGCGTTCTTCACATCTGTTAGTGACAGATTTTGTTTCGAATTTAACTTGAAAACCTCTAGTCTATGTCATTGATTTGATCATCAAGAAACTCCATTGGACTGAGAGGTAAAAATTATTGGATTGGTTTGTGAACTAACCCTTTTATTTCAGTAATATTTTCATTGTGAAAACTTTCAACTGTGTCGTCGCAGAATTTCGACTGTGCGAATTTTTTAAAACGTCGTTTTCATGTCTCTCGTCTCCAGTTATGATCAATCAATACATATTATATTTTATTATTTCTTGTTTACATAAAACATCTGAAATTCTTATCATATCAGATTGTACTACATATAAATATTTTTAAGAAATTTTATTTTCAGCTGTTTTCTATCGAATTCACAATATTTATTATGTATTTACATTCCAGCAGTCGTCCGTCGACTACTAGAACCGCCTATTCGTTGAAAATGTGAAAATGGCACTGGGTGAACTGAATCAGAGAATGGAAGCAATGGTTCAAGACCTCTCTGTGGCCCTTGAGGAGTCCTCGTCGGCCCGCAGACACAGAACGTTGGGCAGGAGACGCGCCCGATCAACCGGAAATTTGCGTATGAATAAAATTCAAGCGATCAAATTATATGAAATGAAAATAAATAAATGGAAATTTCAGCTCAGGCTTGCGGAGACTTAAGCGAGCAGTCAAGCAGCAGCCTGGAGGAAACCTTTAGGTCAAAGGGAGTTTCGAGCTTTCATCAGGTTGTAATTATATAAAAAATTCTCTTTATTACGTAAAGATTAAATTTGACTCTTAGAGTGACTCGGACGAGGGCAGTCCGACTCCCCACGGAGGTCATCGCACCCGTTTGCAGATGCCGGCCATAGCCCTCAAGTCTCGCCGCACAAACGGAGCTCCGAGCAGGCACATGAACTGCATTGAATCAGATTCTGTGAATGAGAATTTCTCACCAATACGTCCAACTACGAGAAGGTAAAAATCTCTAATCTAAAAATTTTCCTCTCATAAACTTTGGAAACAGGAAGAGGAAGTTCAAGCGAATGGCTATTGACCCTGAAATCGGAGGTCACTCCAGTCTGAGGCCGCCGCCTCCACTGGTCTCAAGTTGGATCGGCACTCACAGCAAGCACCACCATGGAACTCGTAGCAGCCTCCAAGATGCAGCCAAGTGAGTTTTGTAGAGCACAATTTAATGGAAAACTTAATTTGGTCAAAATTCAGTATGCTGCTGTGTGGAAAGAGGAAGAGGAGCGTGCGGGAGAGAAGCATGTCGGCAGTTGAGGGTACTGAGCACCCGAACAGACGCCTGCTGGCTTTCCAGAAGCTCAGCCTCAACAGTTCTACCGACTGCAGCAGCATGGAGTGTGGCCCTGACAGCTCTGCTAATAGGTATTTAAAAAAAAAATGAACATGGATTTTTCGCCTCTAATCAAAATTATAAAAACAAAAATCTTTTACATGGGTCCAAATATCAGAGAAATGATTCTCGAGGAAACATTCTGCCTTTAAAATTAAACTAAAGAATCGTTCCTTGAGAATCCTTGCGCAAGAATATTTTCTAGAGAAACTTTTTTCTGATATTCGGACCCACCCTTGTGAATTATTTCATCATTTGGTATATTTAAAAGCCAATTTTTTTTTCAAGTGACCACGACAGCAGTTTGAGCAGTTCTGAAAGTGATCCTGGCATTTACACCAACGACGAGGGTCGTGAAGGTGATGATGAGCAGAGTGACTGGGTCGGCGATTGCTCGGCAGGAGCTGAAGGGTGGTGGATGAGGGACGGCGATCCTGGGGGCAGTGGCATCGGTTGCAAACCCGAGACAGTCTTTTCAGAGGACGAGCAGTCATATCAGCGGAGATTCCGTCTTTTGCGCACTTCCATGGTTAGAATTAGCAAATATTAATGTGCATTAAAACGTTTAATGTCTAAAATTTAGCAGAGTGGGCGAGAGATCCGGTCTGGACGGCGCAGGCTAGAAAAGGGTCGGCCCGGATTCAGCATCCTCTCCTCAGCCAACGAGAGACTGTCCAAATTTCTGCAGGATCCGTGCCAGACTCAGCTAAGGTAGTTGATAGAAGTAATTTTAAGAAATCTAATTTAAATTGTTATGAATTAATTTGTCCGTAGGTGTTTAATTATTAAAATAAATATTGAAAAATAAAATATAACTCGATCTTGTTCTTATCAAAACTGGTAGATTTTAGTTTAAAAAAAAATTTGGATAATTCATGTAAAAAAGCAAATCTTACTGAACTTAAAACCAACTTTGGTCCTTTGTTCCATTCGTAGACTGCACCCAATTAAAAGTGGAGAGCAGGAGCAGCTGCACCAGTTGGCGCGGCTGTACTCGCTGAATGTGCAGCACAGTCAGAGTGGGCCCGACTGCAGCTGTCCGGTGCTGATCAAGACGAGGCACACGATGCGCGTCGTCCCAGGCAGCAGCACCCACTACGCCTCCAGGGGCCACTCCTTGAGCGACTACAAGCGGCGCAGGCGGTGCCCTGGACCCTCGACCAGCGGGGCCGCCGTCTTCCACCAGCCAGCGCCCAAGCCTCTTGTTGCCGAAACCCTGCAGTCCGCCGAGTCCACCCCGACCGAAAATATCAACACAGACTAATAATTAGTCTGGAAACTCCCTTGTCATTCTGTCTGTCTTTGTAGGTTAATTAATGCACTCTTGGATAATAATTTTTGGTGTAGATCTTATTTGCTGTCTCCGTTAAGGCCCTATCGACACCGGTGATTTAACTTAGTGCACCACCTTTTTATTTGTAAAAATGTTCTCATTCATACTTTTGTGCTGCCATTTTTTGGTACAATCTAGTTACTTAAAAAGGAGAATGAAAATATATATTAAACTTTTATTGTGTTTTGGAACGCTAAGACTTGTGCATGAACAATTAATGAGAATTTTGAATGAATTAATTATCTCTCATTGGAACTAAAGTTTTTAATAATAAAAAAATCCTTTAAAAAGTTCTGACGATATTTTTCAAAAAAGTACGGCAAAGACAATGTTTGGACTAATTAAAATTTGATTAAGCTGAACTTCTGCTTACATTGAAGTTACAGACAGTAAAATAATTTAATGCTTTTGAGTAGATTATTTTAATACTCTTGGTGTTGATTGTTTGATGTATTGAAAAAATAACAACAAAGTACGTGGTTATAATTACATAATTTATATTCTGCGTAAGTGTACATATAGACCAGAAACTTCCTATTTACTAAAAGTGTTTATTCCAATAGTCTGAATCACGCGCTTTAATTGTAAAATTATTTCTTCCGCTCTTGGAATAAAGATTCAAGTCTCCCATTTGTCCAAATTTCCCTCTTTCATTCACAAAAACACGTCAATTTAAATATCATCCTTGGTGATGATGTTCCTGATGGAATTTTTGCCTCTGATGTATTGCGGCTTCGGGAAGAGATGGATCGGCTTAAAATCAAACAAGAAAATGATGCGCACGTCTTTGTCCTGATCCGTGATTAGCCGAAGTCCTCCCGGCCGAGACCCGAGTCGGTAGGAGGAGGAAGCAGGGACCTGCGATTGTAGTGGCGGCAACAGGCCATTGTTGTCGCTCGAGGTCAGGTCGATCGTCGGCGCAACCAAGGCTTCACCTGTTCTCCGAGCAGACACGATCATCAGTCATTTATCTATGATCAATTTCGGATAAATTTTGCCGATAAAAGCTCAACATTCTCTCGCCAAGGCTGACAGGCGCCTTAAGCTAATCCGCAAAGATGAGCTTCAAAAAAATACTGCCCTGTGTATAAAGTGGAAAAAAAATTATTAAATCGAAAAGAAAAAAAAAATTGAAAACATTAAAAACGTTTACACTACATGGCGCATTCCTTTCATAAAAGTAAGTAATAATGAGGCTTGTTTGGAATTTGTCTGGAAAAAGTAATTTACTCTCCAGGGATAAAATCTTGAACACATTCAGAACTACTCGAGATTTTCTTTGAAGGATAATTTCTGTAGATTTGATTATTTTATCCTCTCCTTGGCAAAATGCTGGAGGCGACGCTGATTTATTATTAAAAATGATCGTCTAAAAACTCTGACTGAGCCGTAAAAGAATGTCGTTAAACCCGAGGAGGTTGATGCTCATGTAAAAAACAGCTCGAGTGCAGCCGCTTAGAACGACGTGTGCTGGATGGGCACCTAAACATATACAATGTGATTGCCATCATTTGATACACTTGCACTGTGGTTTGTTCCAAGCCTGAGAAAGACCGAAAGCGAAATAAAAAAAATCTATATTTAAAAAAGTTTTTGCAAAACATCAAGAAACTTGATCGTGTATAAAATATAATTAATAAATAAATAGTTTCTCTCTGCGGAAAAAACATATCAGGAGACTTTAACGCTGGAAGCGAGCAAATGATTGCGACGCGCATCTCTTATAATTTTAATTTGACTCATGTAATCGTAAATTGCAAATTAAATTTTCTCACCAAGTTCTGACGGCCTACAGAGACCGTCGTGCGCCAACGAGATGACCAAACACGAAAACAAAACGAGCTGCATTTCACGCCGATGCCGGAGAACAAGTGAGACGGAGGAGCTTCTTGCCCGGAGGCTGCCTTGCGAATGGAATGACTCTCGTGTGTGAACACACAGAAAAACAAAACCACCAAGTTGGAACTAAAAGCAATTTCCAACGTCCACTGACTTTTGTAGAAAAAAAGAATATAATTTTAGAGTGAGCAGTAAAAAAGGGGAGATGGGCAATTTAGAATCGCTGAAAACCTTCGTCTTTATATATAAATGTATGTAATTTTCCTTTGCCTTTGGAGAAAAGGTCAAAATTTTATTTAATTGTTTTCTTTTTTATATATTCAATTTTATTCGTATTGGAACTTCACTTTTTTCAAATGGGGCGAATTTTTTATTGATTCTCGAGCCTTGAAGATGCGCGGATTAGTTGACCTCGGTCAGGTGATATCATTACGACGGCAGCGCAGGGTACAAAGCCTTTTAATGACCGACCGCTGTTGTATTGACGCGTGTTAAAAATTTCAAGGCTGCGGCGCAAGAGAAAATAACAACAAAAATTATTATGTACTGCACAAACACATATTTTTCATGTTTTATTTAGAAAAAAAAATTACACTAAGACAAGAAGTACTTTATCATAAGTTAGCTTACAATACATTTAGGCAGTTATAAAGAAAATGAACTTGAAAAATATCACGTTGAGTATAAGTAGAATTTAATATTTTGATTAAATTGCGCCTGTTCAAATTCTAATAATTTTTTGATTGAACAAATTCACCAAATCATAAAGTTTGTGGGTTCTGGTTGTTGCTGTTGTTGCTGCTGTTGTTGACGCCTGTTGTTTAACAAATTCAGGGGCCCTCCGTTCAAAATCCAGTTGAGCGGCCGACGGACCACTTGGCCTGGGTCAGTGTCCTCGTTGGCCTGTTGCGGCCTCGGCGTTCTGATCCACGCCGGGTTAAGCACAAAAGCAGGCTTGTGTGGCCGCCTGTTGGGCTTCCTCCTTGGGGGCCTTTTCGTTGTGGTCGGCACTTGGCCGTTGCTGCTGGCCGCCTGCGAACCTGCATTGGCCGCCGACTGGCCGTTGTTTGACGAGTGCGCGTTTCCAAAACCGGCGGCCTGCGACGAACCGCCGTTGGCCCCAAAAGTGGCCGTCTGCGAACCGGCCCCGGCGGCCGATTGGCCGTTTCCGGCCTGTGCGCTTCCGTATCCGGCGCCGAGGGAGGCGCCACCGTTGGCGCCGAAGGTGGCCGTCTGCGTGCCGGCGTTGGCCGAGGCTTGGCCGTTGTTGACGCTGGCGCCGGCGTGGCCGGCGGCCAAAGAGGCGCCGTTTCCACCGAAAGTGGCTGACTGAGATCCAGCATTGGCCGCCGACTGGCCGCCCGAGCCGGAGGCGGCCGAGTTGGAGGCCGAAAGGGACGAGCCGCCGTTGGCGCCGAATGTGGCCGTCTGTGAACCGGCGTTGGTGGCGCTGAATCCGTTTCCGGCGGAGGCACCGGCGTGTGAGGCGCTCAGGGAGGCGCTGCCGTCCTTGTTGAAGGTGGCCGTTTGCGAACCGGCGTTGGCCGAGCTGAGGCCGCCGCCCGAGAGGCCACTCGAGTGGCCCGAAGAGAGAGAAGCGCCGTTTGGACCAAATGAAGCACTTTGGCCGAAAGTGGCCGAGTGGCCGCCGGCGCTGAAGGAGCCTGCGTGGGAGGCGCTGAAGGTGAAACTCGGTGGCTGGTGAAGTTCCGTCTGGGGGTGATATTGGTACTGCTGCGGTTGGCGTTGAGGGTAGCTCGTGGCGAAGGGTTGTGCGAAACTGTGCTCCAATTGGCTACTTTCGTCATTGAAACGGGTACTTGTGTGGCCATCGGAGGGAAATGTTATTTTGTCTGCGTCTGTAATCAAAACAATAGGAGTGAATTATTGAATGTTCTTTTTGAGGTATAAAAAAAATTGAGAATATTAAAAACAAAATTAATAATTAATTATTTTCACATTATCATTAAAAGAAATTAAATAATAAAAAATAAAATGATTAAAACAGTAATATTAAGATTTTTCTTTAACGAACAAATATGAAATAAAAAAAAAAAATATAACTTTTTAGCTAAATTGTCAGTTATCTTGAATTTTCTATTTTAGATCTAAATTTTAACAAATTCAAGTACATGTCACTGCTTGGCGTAGTGAAGTTTTAATTCTGAAGGGAGCATTTATGCAACCCGCGTTTCACGCACGTTTACACAGTTGCGTTCGCCTCTGCAACCTTGAATACTGATTATCACACAGATCAGAAAAGGAATAATAATTTTCATATAATGGGTGGAAGCATTAAAAGCGCGACCGATTGGCGAACGTGGCTGCAAAAAGGCAACGCTCGTAATTCTAGGAGTTACGACCTTAAAACCATTTAAATTTCTAAAAAATACTTTAATAGCAAACACACCATAAAATAACCATTTTTAAAGCTTATTAAATTTGGAAAATTACTTCTTGGTAATTTTACTTTAAAAAATATATCATCCTATTTTCACTTTTGTGAATAGTCGAAATTTAATTACAAAGTAATTATGCTTAATTTCTGAAATAATCTCTGTGAAGCTCATTTATTAATAATTAATTATGTGATCTTTAATTTGCCTTGTTATATTCACTAATGAGCTTTTGCATGCTCTAGCAATTAAAAATTCCCATAACAAAATTACTTGATTTGAATGCAATCTTGATTGAATAAGAAAACGGCTGCTAGACAATGAGATTGCCTTTTTGCAATTAAAAATGCAAGGATATTAATTAAAAAAATTACTCACCGGCCGCGGAAAGTCCACAATGCAGCACCGCCAAAAAGACAATCAGCACCAAATCACAATTAAACCTCCTGTGACGCATCTTTTCTCTTCTTGTTATTCCCAAAATTAGTCGCAAAAAAAAATCAATTGTTGAAAATAAAGTGCAAGAAGCAAACACAATGGACAGGCTCGAGTCGAGTATTGACAAGTGGACACACCTGTGCGGCATCTTATATAGCGAATAGACCGTGGTGCGATTTTCTTGCGCGTGTGGGATGCCCCGCGTTAAAGCGCTATGGGCGCGCTGACTAATTCGAGAAAAGAGGGATCGATCGCGCTTGTCAACGCGTCGCGAATGTTTAATTAGTCTGTTGCCGAAGAGCCAAGGTTGGTACGGAATAGTTTCAAGTGCAATTTTTATATTCTTCGCGTCCGTCAAACGAGGCGGATTTGTCGCTCTCTGTATTTGAATGGACGAGTGAGTTAAAGGTCACGATGAGCCAACTTGGTACCACGCCGCTAATTTATTGGATCATCCATTCCGTTGATAACACACACGCATGGGAATTTTGCCTGTTTGACCGTGGATTGACCTGCCTCACCAAAGACCCTCAAGCGCCGAGTGCAGACGTGCGGAGAGTCAGTCTGTGTAATAAAATTATCTTCTTCAATCACTCGCAATGCACATGGCAGACAAAATTAAAAACAAGATTACATTTGAATGTAATATTTTCAGAGACTTCCAATTGAACAGGTGGAAATAAAACATAATATTTTTCAGAATGCAGGTGGATGGATAAATAGATCAAAGAAAAATATTATGGATGAAGCTGAATTTAATTTTTTGTGTAATCAATGTAATTTATGGCCTGGCCAATTGGAAAGAAGAAAACAAGCTTATTAGTAAGGAAACTGCTTCATTAAAACCCCTGATGCTAAAATTTATTGATAAAAAAAAGTATAAAATAGTCAACAAAATAATTTTTAAAATTTATAATAAAACAAAATAAAGTTTAGTAAATAAAATTAATTTATAATATAATAGAATTTTATAAAATAGTTATAAAAATAAAAAATAAAATTATATGAAAATTTAATTCATTTAAAAATTAATATATCAACTATAAATTGATTTGTAACGTGTACATATTTTTTAAAAGAGATTCTATGTTAAAAAATTAAATAAAACAGAATAAAATCATTGAATTTTTAATTTTTATTATATCTTTCAATATTTGGAAAAAAAAATTTCGCCAAGTACATTGATATCTTATTTCAAGTTTGGTTTATTCAACACACCCCAGTCTTGAGCTCTCCAACAAGTTTCCCAAAAAGAAACCCGTATCAGCAATTTTCCGCGCACCACCACCCTAATAAGACGACTTTCCCATTTTCTAAGGCCTAGGAATTTTGTCCACGGCCGGAACCACCGGCTTCAAAATGTCAATGGCCCCGTTAATAATTTCGGGAAGTTTGATCGGCAGCTTAATCGGCGCTTTCAAAGTGTCGTCCGCCCTCACGACCGGCGCGGCCGTGGTCGGGGCGGCTGTGGTCGGGGCAGCGGTAGTGGCAGGGGCCGCAGTGGTGCTGGTCATGCAGTTGCAACCGATGATCATCTGCAGGATCTCCTGCTGACGTTTGATCACCTGGTTCAGGAGGCTGGTGATCGTCTCAGTGATCTGCATCAAAATGCCTGAGGAGGAAAAATTAAACGAAGAAATAAATTATTAATTAAATGCAAAAGAGAAAAATTAAATTCAATATTAAGCGATTTGATTGCTAAAATTCACACCAAATAACTACTTTTGTGGAAAAAATTTTAATACTTAGATTTGGAAAATAGTGTATTTTATATCATTTAGTGATTCAAGCTGTTTTTGTGAGAAAATGTTTTAAAGAAGTAGTTTTTTTTTCTGAAAACTGGTAATTTTTTGGGAAATCCTATTTCAAAACGGGTGAAAAATATAAAATTAAAAGGGATGATTGAAGTGAAAACTAATAAAATAAGTGATGTTAGTACCTAAATTTTTACTTCACAAAAGTTTAAGCTTAAAAACAGTTATTTTAGTTCATTTCCAAAACAATAGTGACCACTTATTTTCCTCCATTATTTTAAATTTTCTTCAAAGAAATATAATTTTTGTTATGAATTTCATTAAATTAAATTTCAAAATTCCCAAATTGAAATGTGTTTGGTATAGAAAATCAATACCTGGGTACTGGGGTTGGGCAGGGGCTTGGAACGGCGTCGGCACTCCGGGGGTGGTCGAGAGGAATCCCAAATTGGGGAAGAAGGAGCCGAACGAGGGCTGCTGCTGCGTTTGGTGCTGGTGCTGGACGGCCCTGCGCAGGTTGAACAGTTGGTTCTGCAGGATCACGCCGTCCCTGTAGAGCGCTTTGTAGTCGGTGGGTTCCGTGGGCTCGGTGTCCGAAGTCAACCGCATCAGCGTCTCCTCGATCCGCTTGCCCAGGTGGAGGTTGCACGAGGCGAGGCAGGGCTGCACGTAGGTTGGGTTGACTACCGAGTAGGCGACGCAGCGTTGCGTGCACCGTTCCACGTTGAACTCCTCGGGCACCTCGGGCACTATGGGCACCACAGGCTCCAAAGGCTCCAGCACTGCAGGGTTCACATTAGATCGCAGAACCGTGTATAGTTTTGATACTCAATTAAAACAATATGTAAATCATCTCAAATAAACTAATGATCAGCACGACAGAATAAATGAAGTTATTTAGTAAACAATTTATGAAATTCTGTTTGCTGAGCAAGGTTATTTAAATTATTATCAAACGTTCAAATAAATTTAATTTTAACTATCAATTCAGGTGTTCTAAAACTAAACAAATTTTACAAATATGTTTTTTTATTTAAAATAAATTAGTATTAAATACACTTTTTTAAAGAAAATAAAATTTAATAAAAAAAAATACATAAATAAATGTTCAATGTTAATGTTTTATATAAATAACAAGATTATTAAAAATAAAATCAAAAAATCAATTTATCTTTATAATTACCTGGCGTTGTGGCGGCCAAAGCGGCGGCCACGCAGGCCAAAAAGATGATAATCGAACGCATCTCTACAACCTCGTCCTCGAAAGAAAAGTGACCGCACCTGGTCACCACTCGGACTATTTAAAGCCTGCATCGACGAAAACAGATCGGCCGAGACTCATTAGTGCTCGCCTAATTGCTCAAATTGCTCATTGTTCAAAATAATATGATTATATACTATTGTAACGTTTCCTTCTTTTCCTTGACAAGCAAGAGTGTTCTTTGTTAGCAACGCCCGTCTGAGAATTTAAATAAATTCAATTCTTATTTCCACTTTTTTAATTAACTGCGCTTTAAAAAATAAATCCAAAATCTAGAGTGGCTCATAAGACAATTGCCATTGTCGCAGTGTGGATCGATTTCAAGATTGTTGCAAAGGCGAAAACATTAACAGAAAGTTCTCTTCCGTCGTTAGATGCGCGGCACTTTACTCGTAAAAAAATTTTGACAAAAATTGATGATCTTAAACTGCTACTCGGAAGATAGTTTTAACAATAAAAGCTCATCACAGATTACTTTCCAGCTACTGATCTATTGATAATATAAAGGAGAGAGTTGTTATTATAATTTTAAATTGTTTGAAATTCACAACTATTATTTAAAATAAAGGAATAAGTTTTGGCTACATGTTTTAATTGCAATTAACGGTAAAGTAATAAATATTCCTCAAAGCGTCGGCATTATATTATCTGTCTATGGGACGAAAATCGCAGCAGCAAATATAAAAAAAAACGCAACCTGGCAAGTGTGCAGCAACCTGGCCAGCAGCGGTGTGTTTAAATAGATTATAATAGAAATTAGCAACTCACGGCAGATCTGACAGCCAAAATAACAGTGATACAGACAATTTAAGTGCCATAAATATATCCGTGAGGTTAAAACGTGCCAAAGTTTCATTCCAATCAATTTTTACTGTCGAATATTTGGCTTTTGAAACTATTTCAAGATCGGTAAAAAAAAAACAAGACCAGTCGAGAAACCTATTTGCTCATGCTCTTGATTATTAATAAATAATTATTACAGTTTCCTTTTGTCATATCTAAAGTTAAACACGTGCTAGAGGAGGGATTCTTTCTGTGTTGAGTTAGTTAGCAACAGCAGTGAAGTCTATAGAAATCTAATTCTTTTTGTTCTCTCGCGGCGTTAGTTCTCGTGATGTCATTCACCTTGGGGGTCGCGTTTCGTTGTTTTCCAAAAATCGTGGCCGGGACTCGAAATCCGAAACCCGCAGCGGCTCATCCTAATCGGCGCTCGATTCCAAGGCCGCGGGAGAGAAAGAGTTGCGAAAAGTAAAAATAAAATGCACACTCTGACATTGCGTGTGCCCATCGGTCGTTGGAGGCGCGGCATTTGACTTGGAGAAGTTTCGATAAAAAAGATATTATGCTAAACTGCTCCAATAAGTGACCGGCTGTGAAGTCGGAAGATTTTTTCCAATCGTCTAAGTTCATCAAAGGTTACACAACTTTCCAACTATATTGATAAAATATTATAAGTGAGTGACCAGAATGTCAAGAGAGGTTAAACTGTTATTTTCGTATTTAAAAAAAAATCATTGCCAATGACGTTATTAATGACGATATTTATTAATTTAATTAACAGCAAGTCTGAAGAAAGTTGTAACAATAATATTTTGATTCATCCAATATTAATTGTAGATGGCACCGTTGCCGCTTGTCTTAATTTTTGAGTTTTAAGTGGAAATATTAATTATTTTAAAACAGAAATTTTAATCTGTTTTAAAAATAATTAAAAATTTCAAATAAAAGTTGAAATTTGGACATTTTAATTCGTTTTCCGAGCATTGGTTTTCTCGCTTAGTTTCTGAATCCACGTTAAAATTCTTTTGAAAATTTAATACAGAAACTGAAATACAGTTAACAACGCCAACACGGCTCAAAATTTAAAAAAAAAACACACACTAACAAATTAACAACCTATTATTATCATTGTTTATTCTTCACAAAGTAGTCATATTATGATGAGATTATAATAAATTTTGCATTGAAAAATTAATAAATGAGATAATAACTGAACAATATTCGCAAATATATGAAATAAATGTAAATATTAGTACTCATTTAAAATTTTATATAACAAAAATACTTTAGTTACCAACGTTCATGAATTATAAAAATTATAAGCTTTATTATTTTAAATGTTATTTTATAATTATGACCACTTTATTGTTTTATTGACTAATGACTTCCTTAACGTCGTCTTCCACCAAAAAAATTAATTAAAATTCTAGAGCTGCCTTCTTATAACCAACTGGCGCGTTTTCCTTGTCCACGTCCCTCGTCGTTCGTTCCTTCCTAACAAGCACCGATTGCGCCACACAAACAAACAGATGGAGGCTACGAAGCAAAAACACACACAAGCATTCATTACTCTTCGGTATTCCCACTCATCAGCCATCATGTACTTGAAATTTACAGAAAATTATCTCCGCTGGCCGCAGACGCGAACCATAAAAGAAAAGCGCGCAGAGAACGCAAACAAGAAGAGCTCTCGATCCATCGATCCCCTAATTCGAATTTCAAAAGAGAGAGAAAAATCCAATTGAAAAAGGCTGGGATGTATCGAGGCAAAAAACAGAATCTGCACCAAAGGAGAGGAAGACGAAAAGAAGAAGAAGGAGCGAAACAAAGCGAAAGAGTGAGGAGTGCGCGGGTTTGAGACTTTTTCCGCGGCGCTCGATCGCTGCAACCGAGTTTATATAAGAGGCCGGAGCGCAAGGTTGTGGTCACCAGTCGACTGCCAGCTGCCTGTTCACCATGATCCGACCGGCGGCACTCGCTCTTGTCCTCTTCGTGGGCACCACCCTCGCCGCCTCCATCGAGAGGGTCGAGTTTGCACCCCTAGGTGAGGAAACAGTTTCATTCTCCAAAATATCTTCTCCATTTAATTTAATTTGATGTTTTTATTACTATTCATTCTGACTGGTCTTACCAAGGTGAATAAAAAATTTAATGTGTGCAGAAACAGATTCAATACTAGCAATGATCTGTTAATACACTTTTTTGCATTTTTCGATATTGTTTAAAAAATAGTCATTTTTGTTATTTTTTCCTCAAATATGAAATAAAAAATTAAAACGTTTAATATTAAAAAAAAACTTTAAAAGCTATTAATATGTGATAAATTTAATTATTACTTAAAATTTATAGGTTATAATTGTAAAAAAATACAAAAATATGTAGTTTTAAATTATATTTTAGTATCTAATTTTAATTATTTATTAAATTTTTTGTGACTTACAAACTTTTAATTGGCTTGTATTAATTAATTTTCAATTAAAATTAAATTATACTTATTTTAAATGTGATTTTTAGGTTATAAATAAACACACAACAGTGAACGAATGTTTAAATATAAAATTAAGTAGAAAGGTTTTTTATTTCAATTTTTTATTTTTCATGCAGTATGACGAAATGTGCTTTTGCATTTTAAGGACAAAACAACATTGTATGCAACTTTGTCAGTTTACGATTTGTCCAGTGACCTTGGTGGGTACCAGCACGCACTCGCAGGGCCCCTCGAAAAAGGTCCAACGCACCTGGTGCGGCTGCTCTGCTGGTCACACACCATAAAATAAGCCACACTTCTTTTTTCAAAGCGAAATTGTTCAGTTCCGAAATAATCAGTTTGACCTTTCACAATTCAAAATTAATTATGAATTATTTCAAACGGATCGTGGGATTTGTTTGAGAGATTTTTATCAGCAGATATATATGCGGAATCGAACGTTAAAAATAATTGCAAAACTGCATCGGTACCAAGCAAGGTTAAGCGAAAGGAAGGCGATCGAATGATGAGCCGGTCGTGTTGTTCTGCACATCCGTTACTTTTATTTGTTGCTAGCTGTAAATTTAGACTCAATTCTTCTCGCCGATCATACAAATTAGCCTGGCGATTTCTTGGCAAAACCCCAGAGAGAAAGAAATTCCGCGGAAAATGACGTGTTTCGACTAATTGATGCTTTGTTTTCTCACGTAATTAGCCTCGGGAATTTCGCATATGAAAAGAACCGCGAGAGCTGAAAAGAAGATTTTTCAACTCCAGCCGGCCGAGACGTTGTGTTATTCTTTTGATGAGAAATGAATATTTTAATTTACAAAGGAAAAAAGAGTGCTGGTTTTAAGAAAGCACGGTAATTGCCCTTGAGAGCAAATTCCACGAAAAAATTAGCAGACCGTTGACACAAAGCTTCCGGTCGGTAAAGTTAGCAAAATAATTAGCGAGGCACAAATTTTCAAATGGACAATATGGGCAATCCGACCCTACAAAAATCAGCCGTTAATTATATTGACGAACTTTAAATTTTGAATACTTTCAGCTTCTAATAAATTTACCTATTTTTCTTTTCATCAAAATACATACCAAATATTTTAATATAACAAAGGAAATGGTGACATTAAAAATAGACTTGGCCAGTTTTGCCTGTGTACAAGAAAACCTCAAATTAATTATTTAAATAGTTCCTTATTTAAATGAAAATATGCAATCAAATCCATAAAAATTTATCTTAAAGTGCAAAATGAGAATGTATTAAAACTTATATACTTTTAAATTTTATTTGCCTCTCAAAAGACCTTAATTAGCAATATTCTCCTGCGAATCTAGCGCATTTGATACACTGGATGAACACTGGAGCCACATAATTTGACTGATTCTAATTCAAGAATATAATTATAGTTTTTCTCAAACTCTCTTTAAATAATTGTCTTTCTACATGTGCAAAAATTTATTTTTGTCATTTGTACTACACATTTTGTTTGTTTAAAAAAAACTTAATCAGTGTATTTGTTACTTTTGTTATTAAATGGAAACGAAGATTCTTTTCAATTTTGAATCCGTCTTGCGTTAGATATAAGATATTATTTCTAATTAATTTTTTTAACTATCAAAAAAACCAGAAAAAGATATCCAATCATAAATAAACGGTGTTATTTCCAGCCAGATTTTGTTTTGATGAGATACAAATCACGTCAGAAAATGACCGGTTGGGAAGAGACCAATTTTTGCGAAATAAATTAGCTCCGGCCGAGCGGCGCCTCGCTATCAAATTAAAATCCGCAATAAATATCGCGCCGGGCAATTTCCGCGCCGGGTCCCGATTTTCTCTCTCTAAGCTCGTCTTCGGCAGGTCGGTGTCTGTTACCAGGTGCCCGTCCGTGTGTATTTTTTCTTTACTCTGCACGTTCCAAAGGAAAAATAATATAAAACAAAATGATCTGGTTTCTCGCACAAAAGCGGCCAATGGGGTGCGACGCTTTTCCGCAGCTCGGCCAATCCGCGTTCAATGACCAGCAGGGAAGCTTAACAACAAGCAACGTCTAGACGTGGAGCACAGAAAAAGGTGGAGGTTGCAAAGTGCTCCTCACCTTGAACCTGTAAGGAGATTGTTGCCCGCGGCCGCCGACGGACCGGTTCGCCAAAAGAAAAGAAAAAAAAACTCTCGTGCGTACGCTGCTGCTGCTTCTTTTTATTGCAGCAAAATACACATTCGGGGGCCTCGTTGGTGATTTTAATTTCCGAATCGGGCGCACCTGACTGACTGACTGACGAGCGAAGCAACAGTGAAAAATCGTAATAAAAAAGGCAGCCAAATGAATATTTATGAGCGTCGTGTCCGAAAAACTGCACGTCTCGTTTGGAAAATTGCGAGGCCGCAGAGCAAATCCGTGTGTTGGTTTCGGCGCGTCCCACGCGCCGAATAGCGTTATGTGAATTATATGCCAACCATAAAGAGCGGTTCCTCCTTAATTTGATGACTCATAGCCTAAAGCCTTAACTTTGAAAACTTTTGGTTGATCTTTTAAAATCTCTGCCTTACTTTCTGAGATTTTTATGAATTTATGTGCATAATTTTAACTTTTGATGTGTTTTTTTTTCTGAAAATATATTTGGATTTCATAGCAAGGCTATTCAATGTCAGCGCCACCATAAATTTTTGAACATAAAATTAAATTTAACACAATTTTATTTTCTCAATCTTTAAAATTTTGTAGGAAATGAATCGCTAAAAAAGCTTGTTTTGGAGATATTTTTGCTTAAAATTATAAAAACCATTAAAAACGATTTTACCCAGGACTTTTTAAACTGAAATTAAATTAATTTTTAATTAAATTAGCGCCAAAATAAATGAAAACATTTTTAAAGTCCGTTTTTCCTTTCATTATTTAGTTTAAATAATTTTAAATATAAGGATTTTTAGTTATTTGGTCTAATTTTGTGGTATTTTGAAATTTTATCATTTCAGAAGAATTTGCGCGAAGCAAGCGCCGTCCCGAAGACGTGCCCAAGGACCGTCCTCAGGTGGTATCCGGTGGTGCCGCCGCTGCTGGCGGCGGCGGCTACGGTTTCCCTGGTTTCCCTCCGTACGGATACGCTGCAGGTTACGCAGGCAACTTCGGCAACAACTTTGGCAATAATTTCGGAAACAACTTCCCTAACTTCCCGGCGCCCTTCATGCCGTTCCCGGCGCCTTACGCCGCCATGCCCTTCGACTTCAACAGCGTGTTCAACGCGTACATCAGCGCCCTGCAGCAGTACACGGACAACCTGCAAAAGCTGCAGTTCCAGTTCCAACAAAACCAACAGGCCATCTCTTCTAGGTACGCGAAAGACAATTCGGACAGGTATTTACCCGACACTCACCTTTGGGTGCTTGCGGCGGTTATTTGGAGTTTTAAAATTAAATTTTAAGAAATATAATGTGGGGAAAGCGCTGGCAGCTTTCAAAAATAGGCAAAACATACAAAAATAACAGTAAAATTTAAATATTATTGAGTTTTCTTGATAACAATTATATGTTAAATTTAAATTAAAACCGCAACAATTTGTATTTAAAATAAACGAATTATTTAGCTTTGTAAATATATTTTATAAATTATATATTAACTAAATTTTAATTTTAATAATTTTTTTCCAATTAACCAAATATAATTTTCATATTAAACTTAATATTTATTAAAAATACTTATTTCATAATAATATACTTTTTAGTCTAAAATTGATTTAATTCATAATAAAATATTTATTAAAATTTCTATTAAATACTTATAATCTGTACAGTGTATGAAGTTGGTTAAAGGAAATTAATCAAAAATATATTTAATAATTATGTATCAATTGCGTCGTTTTGTCTATTTTTTTATACCTGTCAGCGGCGCAAGTGCGGGCATCAAAGACGGTCGCGGCATTTTGTCCGACCTGCGCGAGGCCATCTGTCGAACCATATTAGCTAACTTTGGCCGTGACCCTTCTGTGTGCAGCAACCCCGCCGGACCCAGCTACTTTGTGGGCACTGCCAGTGGCGGCTCCACCAACCCTGGACAGATCTCAGTTTCCGCTCCACCCGGCGCCGTCGTCCAGCACTTTGAAGGGTGAGTGGTCATTTTGAAAATAACTTATCTGCCAGAGTTGGTGCGTTTTTATTTCAATAAGTCGACTTTTTAAAGTCATTTATTTTCTAATTATAACTGAGACCTTTAATTATTTGGAATTTTTATGCTCAGTTCATTCATTTCAAACCTGAGAAACATTCTTGCACACAATAAATTTGTGAAAATTTCCAAACTTCTTTAAGAGATAAAAAAAATATAAATGAAGATCCTAAGATTTCAAATATAGCTTCTTTAGATATTTATCAAACTTTAACAAACCAGTTAATGAAAAATATCATATTTAAATTCAATAGAAAAAAGTACTTGAAATTTCATATGACACAAATTTCAATATTAAAAAATTTTAAACAGTGTAATAATTCAATTTAGAAATTTTTAAAACGTTGTACTGATTTTTAATGTTTAGTTTTTGAAGAAAAGAAATTAATACGATTAAACTTTAATAAAATTTGCAGACCTGGAGGTCTTCAGGGCGTCTCCGTGTCCTCCGGCAGCGGCTTCCCTCCGTTCAGCGGTGGTGCCGTTGGCGGCGCCGCGTTCGCCGGCGGCGCCCCCTTCTCGGCCGGCTCCTTTGGCGGCGCCTCAAGTGGCACCTCTAGCGGCGCAGGCGGCGCCCCCTTCTCAGCAGGCACTTTTGGCGGCGGCCCCGCCGGCGGCAGTGGCGGCGGCGTGTTCACTTCATCCTCGTCAGGCGTGACCTCGGTCAACGGTCAAACGGAGACCTTCCACCAGTCGACCACGGGCCACGTGGACAGCAACGGCCAGGTCAGCTCGATCACCGTGACCAAGCCGTGAAAACAACAGTGTTCCATTAAATAAAAGGCGCGCACTACATCGACCAAAACAAGTTCTAAAAAATCAAACAAAAAAATACGAAACAAAAAAGAAAAGTAATTATGTAACCGCAAAGTGTACTTATTAAAATTAATTAACACCCGCGACGACTAAATTTGAGCAGCTTGGGGAGTGTGGGGGCGAGTAATATCTGCACTTTGTTAGCACGGAATTGGAGAAAAGTTGGCATTTGCTGATTGAAAAAAATCGATCGAGTAGTAGTTCGCAACGATGCACGCGCTTCTTTTTAATAGGAACGGGAATGGACGGAGAGATGAAGGCGCTTTTGTTCACTTTTTGTAAGCTTTTTTATAGTAAAACTTAAGAGATAGCACGCAATTTTTAGTTCAATTTCAATTGAGATGTCTTAATGAAAAACAAATCTCATCTACGCAGACACGCAGTATTTCCGCGAATTTACGAAAAACAAGCTTCAATTTACATTAGTTGTGTAATTTATTTCGAAATTAGGCTAATGGCCTCTCTCGAGAGAGGCAAATTTTTATTTATTTCGTATAAGACCGCAGTTTCCTCTTGTGCGATAACCTCAGCCGTCGGATGATTCGGGAGAAAAACAAACATCCCGAAGAGTTGGATGCGTTTGAGGTTGTTTGCACGTGACCAGGCAGCTTCCAACTGACCCCTATTTAGCCTAAACAAGGTTGCAACAAACAGATATTCTAGTAGAAACCGCTAAACTGGCAGTGCATTGCTTTATTCATATTTGGTAAATCTTAAAATCTTAATATCTTAATAAGTTATAATTATAGAACTAATTTAAGAAAACCCGTTTAAGAGAATTTATTATTTTTATTAGTGAATTTTTTAAATTGACTACGTGCAACGAATGATAAAAAATATAATTTCATGTTTAAAGCACTCACTACGGTTAAGTTGTTTTGAAAAATATAAAACTTTGTTCAACTTTGCGTTTCAATTAAGAATTTTAAAGATTAAACATTGACTAGCTTTTCTCAAGGAGCAGCGTGGGCCGATTAAAAGACATTGATATTTTAAGAAGTTTTGTTCATTTTGATTCGGCTTCTGCTGCTCAAATAATTTTAAGTGAAAGAAGGCATTTTTTTTTCAGCGTAGATTAAATTACGTTACTAGTTTTAAAATCTAATTATAAGACAAAAAATAAACGTTTAAAAAGCACTGAAAGATCACGAGCAAGCGTGCGCCTCCTCTTCCCTCATCTACAATAAGCCATAATTTATAAAAAGCGCTCGCTGGTAAATGACAGCAAAGCGCTCTCTTTTATATTTCGTCAAACGCATCATCTGGAAATAATATTTATTATATTGACGCATGTGATAATTATATATGTACCCAATAAGTTGATCGAATAAAGCACCCGGCATGTCATCCCACAGTGTGGAAACCGTCAGAGTTTTATTATTCTGCTCTCCTCACTTTTCTCTTTATCAAGGCATGGCGCAGAGTTTGACCACACAACACACCACCCGCCGATTGATAACGCAACCGGCCTGAGAATTTCGTAATATTTCATTGTTCCTTTGAGAGATGAACAGCATAAATTGCATCAGCTCTCCAGAGATTCCAATGAGTAAAAAAAGTTGGAATATTCTTTAAACTTTGGCAAACTTTGCATTTATAAATTGTAACAAAACAAAAAAATAAATTTTAAACAGCTTTTAACGCTTTTAAGATTAAATTGATGATTTAAGGAATGCTTAATCTATAAAACTCACGGAATAAATAATAATTAGAACATGAGATAATAAATTTTTCTAAATATTTACAAAAGTAAAAAATAAATATTCAGCTTTCCTTGCCAAATTTATATTTTAGTCTGTATTTTATAATTTATTTAATAAATCATGTTTTTTATGTTAATTTATGGAAGTTTTAATAAATTTCCTAATTGTATAAAAATTAAGCCCTGATATTTGATCCAAGGTTTGCACAACAGTTGTGATGTGCAGACCTTCTTTCAAAACAAGGAATACTGTGAAAATTTTAAATAGAACAAGTCTTAACATTAATTTCATGCTGCAGAAGAGCAAATAATTGGCAATCATCAAATTAATTTAATCGCGTTCTTTTCCCGGATAAACGTTGCTTAGCAGAAGAATCAAGTAAGATTCAGGGAAAATATGTATTAAGAACAAATCTCCGTTAATTATGTTTTATGTTCACCCCGCCTCTTTATTTCGACATATTCAAAAAGTTTGATAAAGTAATCTTAGAAAGCACAGACACCGATCAGAACTTCTTGAAACTCTTCTTGGAACCAGCTCCCTTGGTGATTTTCAAGACGTTGAACCTCACGGTCTTTGAGAGGGGTCTGCATTCTCCAATGGTGGCAACGTCACCAATCGACACGTCTCTGCGAAAATAATTCAATCGTGAGCGTTTAATATGCAATAAAAGGTCTAACAAAATTTTACCTGAAGCAGGGCGAGCAGTGGACAGACATGTTCCTGTGCCTCTTCTCAAAGCGGTTGTACTTGCGAATGTAGTGCAGATAGTCGCGCCTGATGACGATGGTCCTCTGCATCTTCATCTTCTGGATGACGCCAGTGAGGATGCGGCCTCGGATCGAGACATTTCCGGTGAAGGGGCACTTCTTGTCGATGTAGCCTCCCTCAATGGCCTGATGAAAACGAAAGAAACTGTCATTCTTGCTTATAATTTTATAATTTACTTTAACACCACAAATTCCATGTGAAAAAATAAATGTTATAAGAAAATAAGACCAAATTTGACAAAAACGGAGCAAAATTTTTATGTATTTACGCTTAAATTTTGCATTTAAAAGCAATTTTATTAACAAAAATTATTTGCATCCATTATTCACTATTCAAAGTTGGCTTTATTTGCATGTGAGGTTAATTTTGAATTATTATTAATAATGAAAAATGAGATGAATGTCCATAGCAGACCCTGAGTAAGACAAACAATGAAGCAGTTTTTAAACCCATGCACATCATTAAATTGGATCGTCGAACCAAAGTTCTTCGTGAAACCTTCAAAAATTATAAATAAAGAACTGAAGCACCAAAAGCACATTGATAAAAAATGCTGACGACAATATTGACTGGAATAGTTGATTAATTTTCTATACTAGGTCCATGAGCTGCAACCATAAAATTTTGTTTGAAATTGAAATTAATAGCTCAAGATTTGGCTTTTACACATCTGAAGTTTTAAAATGCAGAGCTAAATAAAAAAAATATAATAAATGACCGAATTCTGCAATCATCCTACGTTATTTTGGCATCAGTATTTATTTAGAATAATTTTATCAGACTGTTGATGAATTGAATAATAAAAATAATTATCATGCCAAAACTCGGCAGGCGTTTTTAGGGAAAATTTGTTAATAACTTATAAATAAACCATTCATTTCTCCTTCCACCTGGACTTGGATTGTGTTAGTACGAATGAACCCTGAGATTTGTGTTCCAAAGCAAGAGCAAAACCACCGATCAAGCACCACCGCCAGCCAGCGCTGCGCCGAAAGTGACAACAATTGCGACAAACCTCTCTGGGGGTCTTGAAGCCTAGGCCGACATTTCTGTAATGCCTAGTCTTTTTCTTAAGACCGGCTTTCCTGTTCAGGAACACGGTCGGCTGCTTTTGGAAAGCCTTCTCGGTCTAGAAAAAGGGAAGCAGGAGGATTAGATCGGTTCTGCGGCACGTACCTCGCGTGGCGTTTTGAAGCCCAGGCCCACGTTACGCGTGTAACGCAGGGCCGTCCGCTTTTTCGTCGCGAGGGCCTTCTTGCGGTTCAAGAAAATGGTCGGCTGTTTCTGGAATGCGCGCTCGCTCTGCAACGTTAGCAAAAGTGGTCAGGGTCCGCCGAAAACTCTACGAGTTTGCAGACAGAAACAAAATTCCACTAGATACAAAACAATAAAAAAATTAATGATGTTTTTTAATCACATTAGAGGAAAAAAAAATTAACTGATTTTTGTTACAAACTTTGAGACATTAATAAGAATATTGAAATAAATTTGATCTTCATAAAAATAAATATGGCACCTGATAAATTTTCAATGAAATAAAATTTTGCAATTATGTAGAAGAACGAAAATATGATTTTATTGCTTAATATAAATTTAATTTATGCTGAATAAAATGAGATTTATTTTCACTTAACAACAATTCAATTTTAAGAATGTTAACTTCTTCAGGCAAATTTGAATTATTTCTCATTAGGATGTTTTTTTTTTTATCAAAATTGAGAGGAAAATTAAAATATATTTTTCGTTATACTTATTTTTCTCTAACAAACTTTTACACGTTTTTATGAATATTGAAATATATGAATTTGATTTCAATAAAATAAATATGGCAAAAATTGATAAATTTACAAAAAATTGCAATATAATAAAACACGTGGAAAAACTGAAACATTAATTAAAAGAATTTTATACTTCAATAAAAATAGTTTTTTTATAATTTACAACAATTGAATATTAAGTGTTAAGCTTCTTCAGGCAAATTAGAATTATTTCTCATTCTTAACACTCAAATTTGAATATTCAAAAAAGTTGTCATGAAAATAACAAGAAAGGTTCTGACAGGCCTTCGAGCCAAATCCACGAGCGGATTTGATTTTTTGCTTTCCGTTGAAAATACAACTGCAATAATCCCTGGATATCTCCAGGAGGTGAGAAAATTTCAAAATTTGAAAAGCTCATGGAAATTATTTCCGAAAGATGTTGATTCTTCTACGCTGGAAACGCGACTCGAACGAGTTTTTCGCCGCAGTGGAATTCAAATGGTTCAACTCGGACCGACTTCTCGAGCAAACTGCTCGTTGGATTCTGAGCGAATTTGCAGACTGCGGCACGAACGGTGGCCGGAAATTTGTCCATCTCAGCGACGACGGTTTGGAAATCAGAGACGATTTGCACGACTACTGGAGTTGTTCTTTCGTTTCAAGACGAATCTTGTCGTTGGTTTAAAAATTGTTAATACAATCGATTTGTAATTTTCAAACGAATTTTTCAAAATTCCAGCCCACAGATGCTGTGGAAGTTTCCGCGATTGAAGGAATGATCGCTCGGAAGATTATTGACGCTAAGAAGCTGCTCCTGGACGAGTCAACTTGGAGGAATGATGAGTTTAATTTCGTAAGATTATGTTGAGTGTGAAAGTTTAAATGTTATAATTCAATTAATAAATTTGATGTTTATTTTCCGATTTCAATCTGAAAAAAGTTCAAAATATTTTTTAACACAAAATTAGGAGTTCAATAATGTCTTTTTTCTTTATTTCAGACCATATTTAAAAAAATTGAAAATTATTGATGCTGTTAAATTAAGGAAAGCCTTGATTGACTTGATTCCATATTTTTGACATTTGAAAACACGTTTCCCGAGGGCTATTGACATGAGCAGACAGAACAATTTTTAGTGGACGGATAATAAAATCCAAATCAGCCCGATTTTTTTCAAATCGGAACATTTTTAAGCACAAAAATTCGAAATTGAATCTTCCGTATTGCAAGCCGAGTGAAAACATTGGCTCGGCTTATGCCAGGGAGCGCGTCAACAACGTGGTTTTCGTGAGGGTCGATTTTTGCTGTTTTTTCACCGCTTCAAGTCCGTCCGACACATTCGGCACTCGCAGAATTTCTTTAGCCGTCGATGCACATTCAGTAAAGGCCACTTACGCTTCGGAAAACTAATTAATTCCTCAAAAACTTACTTGATCCGCCATGGTTCACGTGGACTCTGGTGCACTTTTGTGTTGGATAAGGCGGAAAAAGGCAATATGGCGTCCTCAAGTCGAGTTTCAAGTTTCAAGGAGCTTTTTCTCAATTAATCTGCATCGACCAATCACAGCGATTCTTTCTCCCACCCCACTGCCTCCCACCACAATTTTAATTCGCTCTCGTCTCCCTCCCTTATTTCGTCGCTGTCGGGAGGTGAACCGTCGGAATTTGTCCCAATCTGCTGCTGGAAAACACACCCTTGTGCTGAATTGACTCCCTCTGCATTATTTACCAATTGAAATTTTTGAAAATTTTCTCTAAAAAGAGTCACTGCAGTCCCGAAACACGTTTCTTTCAGTCCCGAAACTCTTCCAGACTAATTTTTGCCTGGAATTTGTGCTTCGCTGTCAGACGGATGTGCTTTTGGAATGTGAACATGCACACTTGAGGAAAGGAATTTCGCATGTTTTTAATTGAAAAATGGTAAGTTTCGTGCGATTCTCGTATAATTGTTGTATCTTTTTGTGTTCTCAATTTTCTGAACGACGCCTGTGATGAGGAAAGAAGGAAATTTTTCGCTCATTGCGGATATTTTTCCAGGCGCCCTAGTTTAGGGGTTGCTGAGGGAAGAAATCAGGTCATTGCGAGGGCAGTTCATAGAGAGTGAAGTTTATCATTGATTTTACTGCCCTCAATTTGCCCAGCCAGATTTCACAGATGATTAGTTTCATTGGTTTTGAGATACCGCAAGCATCTTTTAAGCACTCTTAAATTGATATGGCAATGCTGGATGACCCTGTGATGTAATTATGACGACCGATGAGCCATGAGTCATATTCATTTAATATATTCAACTGGTTAAAAAAAAAAATGGTCACTTTTATTTTCCTCGTCACTTCTATATTTACCTTTGTGAACTGTGCTGTGACAAATATTGCAGAAATTTTCTGCATTAACTTTTTGATTTTAACGCAATTCAACAATTTAATAGAAAAGATTTGTAATCAAAGTAAAATATAAAGCTAAAAAAATTATTTCCTAACAATAAGATTCTTGTAAAAACCTTTTTCTGCAGTTGATCGCCTTTTTCTAATATTTGATTTAAATTAACAGGAAACCGTTTTTGAGATGGATTGACATAGAGTGAAGTAGATCGAAAATGGATGAGTGGACGCTGAATGACCTGCTGGAGTGCTCGGTGTGCTTGGAGCGACTGGACCCATCAAGTAAAGTGCTCCCTTGTCAACACACCTTTTGCAAGAAATGCTTAGTTGACATCAGCGAGACACAGAAAGAGTTGAGATGTCCGGAGTGCCGGGTTTTGATCGAATGTGGAATCGACGAGCTGCCGCCCAACGTGTTGCTCATGCGGATATTGGAGAGCATGAAAAATTCTTACAAGCAACATCCAAAGGGCAACTCACCATTGCCTGTGCCCCAGAGCAGCAAACACCACCATCAGCACAGTCAGCAGCCACGGCAAGCGCCGTCAAATTCTGGACCGAAACCGGAACAAAGTTCTGTTGAGGTAAAAAAAAATAAATTTAATTAATTTTAGTATTCATTTTTGTCCATTTATAGCCACAAGCAGCTATTCCAGAGCATCCATGTGCAAGAGCCAAGTTTACTTTTGCTTCACCCAAAGCTGGGTAAGTACAGGTTTGATTAAAATAAAACAGTTCATGGGAAACCGTAGGAAACTGTTGCAAAATTTTGTCCTCTAAAGATTTGTGCTTCGAATCTAATCTTTATCATGTTTGCAGGGATCTCAACTTCAAGAAGGGTGATATGATATTGCTGAGGAAGAAAGTTGATGCCAATTGGTACCACGGTGAATGTAATGGCAACAAAGGAGTATTTCCTGCCGTTTATGTTGACGTGCTTACGCCATTACCTGCACCAGTACCACAATGCAAAGCTCTCTACGATTTCAAGATGAATTCTGAAGAAGAGGAAGGTTGCTTGACGTTCAAAAAGGTAACTCAACAAAACCACTTTGATTTTATTCTCTAAAATTTCTTTTGTCTGTCAGGGTGATATTCTGACTGTCATAAGGCGAGTGGACGAAAACTGGGCAGAAGGAAGAATAGGACCTAAAATTGGAATCTTCCCTTTGGCGTTTGTTGATATGAACCACGTCGCCCGATCGCTAATGAAACTCCCTTTGAAGTAAGCATTTTTTTGTTTTAATATCATTGAAACTGATAATTTGTGTTTTCAGTCCAAGTACTCCACCTGCACCTTCAAAAGCAGCTCCCTTGACGCCTGTGGGAAGAGCAGCTCTTCCAACACCAGAATCCCATGCCCACAATTCATCCCACGGTGACACAAGCGCCTTTCAATTACCTGCACCGAGCATCTCACCCCAGCACAGCGATCAACAGAGTAGTCTTACGCCAAGGACCGCTGCCATTTCGTTGCAGACGAAAGCAAAGAGGCAAAGTCTGAATCTTTCACAGCCCTCCAGCACATCAGATAGGTAATTAAACACTTCAAGTACTTTTGGTTGAAGAGAGCAAATTTGACTTTCTATTAAACATTCCTTTATTTTAGCTTAAAGAGATTGACAATATTCAATAGTAATTTGACCACGTTACAAAAGTTTGAAATACTTGAGATCTAACTAATTTGTTTCTTTTAGTGTTCCACCTCTTCCCCCGGCTAATGATGTTTCGACAAAGCCTCCTGCGGATACTGAGAAAATACACAGAAGTCGTGGCTCTTCGAAAAAATTGTACTCGGACCACAGAAGAAACCTTAATTTACCTGCAGTTTATGTAGCTTTATACCCGTACAAGCCTCAGAAAGCTGACGAACTGGAGTTGGAAAAGGGCGTGCTTTACAATGTGACGGAAATATGCCAAGACGGTTGGTTTAAAGGCACTTCTCGTACAACTAACAAAAGCGGAGTATTCCCAGGAAATTACGTCTCTCTTCCGAAGTGAGTGCTTTATTTTTTTCACAAATAAATTTGATAATTTTATTGTCTCTTTAAAGAACTCCTGGTGCCAATGGTCCTGGAAATCAGTCAAGCCCACACCCATCCAACAAAACCAAGCATTCAAGGCCACAAGTTCCTGCCAAAATGGGGAGCAACACTGATCCCTCCGGCACTGTGACCGCCAGGCCTGCGCAAATCAAGAATTCTGCCACATCTCCATTAGAACCGCACAATGTTCAGTCCAGTGAGTTTCTTCTTCATACTTACTAATAATCTATTGTGTTACTGACTTATAAATTTGATTTCCACAGACGCTTGTGTCCCACCTGGACCGCCACCCAGATCGACCAGCCCTAGTAGTCATATTCATGGACTGAGTTCTAACTTGTGGCATTCCCCTGCCAAACCTTCACTTTGCAGCCCTGAAGTTATGGAGAGAACCGTCTCCACAACGGTTGCTCCATCAAATATTTCCCCACTGAGGAATCAAACTCCTGTAGAAAAAGTAAGTATCATATAGTGATATTAGGCGTTGTTTTCTAAACATTGGCAAAATTAACAGATTAGAGATAAGAAGAGCTTAGGAAGCGGACTGATGCGTCGGCTTGTTACAATCAAAAACTCCAAATCGCCGCCAGCTTCCGCTTTCTCTATTGACAATCCTGTTTTTGAGGACAACACTCGTAGCGCAAACTTGCTGAATGACGAGTCTCCAGCAATAGTCGAGTCAGTGGCCTCGATCCACTCTAGGTATAATTCTTTATTTTAACTCCATTCAAAATATGTCCAAAAGTTTTCACACGATGGCTTAATTTCTTTGCTAAACTTTTATTAATCAACAGATCCAGCTCTCTTTGTGATTCCAATGGAATGCCAACAACTCCAATGCCCTCAGGCCACAGAAAATCAAACTCGCTTGACTCCACAAGTGCAGAAAAAGTGAAAAAGAATAAAGCTTTATATCCACCAGTCAGAGAAAGGTAAAAATTGACTTTTGAAGTGATTCACATAATTCTTAAAACCATTTTTCTAAATAGGTTCCGATGCATTGTTCCGTATCCTCCGAATGGTGAATATGAACTGGCACTAGAGGTCGGAGACATAATTTACGTCCACAAGAAGCGAGACGATGGTTGGTTCAGAGGCACTCAAGAGCGCACAGGACGTACTGGTCTGTTTCCAGGTAGCTTTGTCGAGGGTTTCTGAGAATCGCCTAGGCGGGTGAAAATGTTGCTGGAAAGTTGCATATAGGAGGTTTTGCCCGCCGCTTGTAAAGCCAATTGATAACAAACAAAAATTAATTAATACTCTTTAAAAATCAAATTGAAATTTTTCGTGCAAGGTAATTTTAACGTTTACCTTCTTTACAAAAATTTTATGCGGGCTGCAGGGCAACCACGAAAGTGTATTGTACTCGCGTGCAAGTAGGAGAACCATGCATTTTATACTCTAGTTGAAATGACACATACGACGTATCCAAGATAATAATTATTGTGGTTATTTAATATACCCATTAGTCGGACTAAAATCTTGACATAATTATAATAATATGTTAACTGTTACTCTTATTATTCAAGTAAATAGCGAGAAGTGTAATATTATTGAAAAGTTTGATTAAAATTTCGGGTCTCTTTGTGATGCCAAAGTTGAGTACGCAGTTAACAGAAATTTCAAGCAACTGCCTCTTTGAAAAACAAGAAACCCCTGTGATTCGTATATTTATTATTTCTTTAGCAAGTTGCTTGAGACAATTGGATCCCTTTGATTACATTTATTGATTAAATAATATTTGTCCCAACCAAGTTTTCAAATGAGACTGAGTATCGAGCAAGCTTCGAAGTGCATCAAGTATTGTAATGTACAGTATTTCGTCATATTTCATGTATCAAGCGAATTACAATGTTATATATCGTTGGAACGATATTGTAAAATTAATATCACGCCTTGGTGCAATTAACTTTGGGCGCAGGCTACGTAAAACCACACGTTTTGTATCTAGCGGAGTAAGATGTGTTTGTTGTCCCTTCACAATTTTCAAACTTTTTCACTTATGTATGTATGTGACTTGTGAAAATAAATTAGAAGTAAAACCCAATCTTTGTTTTGTTGAATTCAAAATCCACAAACTGTTTAATGAGAAAATTTACTGAAAAAAATCACAATTATTTATTCAGGTGCAATTTCTGCTCCAAATCTTTGTAGTTGTCGTTCAGTTCCACGATTTGTTCATTAAAAGCTTTTTCAACCCTGGCGCATTTCTCTCCCATATCGTGAACAAATGATTCCCACTCTGCCTTTCGTCCCTCGCGCTTTACCATCCAGTTAGTGTCCTAAATAAAAATAATTAACTATAGAATTTTCAATTTAAATAAATTCGTCTTACAACTTCTTCGTGTTCCTTGTCAAGAATTCCATCGCACACTCCAATGACCACTTCCAGGTTGGAATTAAGAATGGGCAGCTTGTTGCCGATGGATTTGATCACCTTGTCTACCTCATGATTCTGGATTTCGGCAACTCGCTCAAGCACCTCAAAGGTTCTGTTAATCTCTCGGTCCTGCCTCTTTTCCTATTTGAATATTGCACATTTTAATTAATTGTCTTTTAAGAAACCATTAATTTGCAGCTGATTATAAAACTGCAGCTCTTTATTTTCCAAAGGAAATTTAACTCAGTAACTGAGCGAGAAAAAAAATAAAAAATTATAAATAAAAGACAAAATATTTTTCAAAACCAAAAATTTATTTCATCTATTAATGATAAAAATTATATTTCAGACAGATTTATAACATTTCTACTTATTGCTTTCAGGGCAAACTAATTCAAGTCTCTTCTTCAAAATTTTCAATACATCATCGACAAAATGCTGCACAATATAAACACCTTTCAGGGTCAAAGCGACCAATTCTTTCATACCATCAGAGGTCATATCAATATACAACAGGGAATAAATGGGGCTAGACAATGTCATTTGGTCCCAAAGGACCCATTCATTTGAAACGTGTTTGTACACCAACAGCTCTTGTCCGTATGTGCCGATTAGAATTTCAGGCTGGCCATCCATGTCAATGTCGGCCACTAGACTGCAAAGGGCGCAGTCGAAATTGCCGCTGTCTTGCAACCCGACAAAATTTCCTAAACCTTCCTTGATTACATTCATGTAAACCGCAGACGGAGTGAGAGTGCTGGTGACCACGAGATTCAAAGATTCTTCGTCGATGGTGAATAATCTGACCGAGGACAAGGGCCCACTGAAGCTGGACGAATGAGTGAAAAGTACCGACCTGGACGCAATGTCCACAACGGAGAGAGAAAGGGACCCATTTTCAGAGGCTAGGGCCGTTATGCGCTTGTCCTGTTCCACGGAAACCACAATGTCCATCCACAAAATAATTCCTGCAGACAAATCGACCAGCTCGGGAAAAAACTCATGCAGAGAAATTTCCTGATAACAATGGTTCAACTTGTCTTCTCGATACAGGTGTATTTTCTCATCAGAGCCAGACAAAAGCCACACAAATTCTTTGGTGTTTGGCAAATGCGTGTGAAACAAGTGGTACGGAATGAAGGAGAGCTCGAGTGAAAAGCAGTTTTGGGCAATATTTTCCAAATTGAATTGCGAACTCGTCTCCCATTCGGAGTAAATGTTGAAATACATTTCACTCGACTGCTTAATGCCGCCGGCGTCGGAGACCCTGGGATCAGGTTGCTTCACAATCGTGATTCCGATGACAAAATCGTCCGAGGTGCTGGACTTGTTGAAAGCGTCCATCGCGATGATTTCGGCGCCACTGGGAATGTACGTGAACGGCACTTCTTTCACGGTCGACTGTTTGTGGCCGCCAACGTCGCAGTACTCAAAGAAGAAGACCTTCCTCTTCAGGGAAGCCACCATCAGCTTCACCAGTCCGCTGGCCATTTCCAGTTTGGTCAGGGTGTAGACGTTGCCCTGAGATATCATCGGCGAGTAGTGCGCGTCCACGAAGTTAATCTTTGACATTTTGATTGCACTCTGGGTGTCCTAAAAATATTCAATGAATTAATAAATTTTCTTTGCAAATATAAATCTTATTTAAATTTATACATTTCTAGAAGAAAAACGGAGATAATTTTAATTTTCTACACACCTGACGTGAAGATTAAAGTTGTCTTTGGCTCTCACAATCAAAAATGCGTTCCATGAGCAATGGCAGGTGCGCGGTACTGGAGAAGTAACTCAGCATTAGATTCTTGAGCTTCTCTCCGGCACATTAATAATTTTTTTATAAGCTGCTTTATTAAATATTCTCAATAAAAAAAATTTAATATTATTTCAGACCTTTCAATAAGAAAATCAGTTTTGTTATTTCACTCTCAAGTGCTTGTTTATAACATTAGGACAATATTTTTTTTCCAATGAACAAAAATTGTATATAATTGCTTTTTTTTATTTACAGAAACTGGTTGAACATTTTATATATTTGTTGCTTCTTCGAGTCAAGTAAGGAGGAAATAATTAAGTGCTGCTTCAAGAGCCAGTCTTTAGTACAAAATTTTATCTCAGATAGCGAGATATACGTAAAATTATTTTGCTATACAAGTTTTCTGAGAAAATTTGCGTCTACACACTTGCACAGCCAAAAATCAAATTGTCTCAGTTCGAGTGGAAGCTGCTGTCGGCCTCGTCCGCGGCCGACTGCTTGTGGGCAAAGTACAAAAAGCACAAGGAGGAGAGGGCGCTGACCAAGAAAATGACGTCGAACCAGCGGTGATAAAAATTGAACTGCAAATCGCCCAGCACCTGGGTGATGATCGTCCTGTACTCGGCCGGCATGTTCATGCGCATCAGCAGCACCGAAGACACAAAATACATGCCCATGATCTGCGCCAAAATCAGCACGATCACGTTGGACGACTTGCTGCTGGAAATGGCGTAGAAAAACTTGGTCAGGGTCAGCAACAGGCCCCTGATGGAGGTCACCACGATGCAGCCGACCAGGAAGAAGGACACGTGTTGCGACCAGAAAGCCACGTCCACGTCCAACTCGAGCCAGTGCACCGTGATTTCCAGCCCCCGAGTCACCGGGTCCTTTTTTCCCACTCGGTCGAAGACTATGTTGATGGTAGAGATGAAAATTTTCCATGTGCAGTACAAGGAGAAAAAGTATCCAAGCAAATTGAAGTAATTTCCCTGCCACGTTTTCGCCCACTCCACCCTTTCCTGCATGTTGTGCATGCTGTGAGACTCGAGGAAAAGTTGCCGGCTCAGTTCTTCCAGGTTCTTGGCCTCGGTTTTCAGCTGGAGGATGTCCTCGGTGCCCGAATTCGAGCCGGACATGAACATTCCCCAAATGCTTCCGCTTTTGGAGCCGGACGAGGATTTTCGATTTAACTTTTTGTCCCTCAACGCCAGGGCGATCCTCTTCTTCTTGACCAGGATCATGTCCATGGTCTGCATCAGTTTGCGTTCGATGGACTGGATGTCCGAGTTCTGCACCTTGCGCATGAAGTAGGCCATGGAGGTGTACGGGTAGTTGACGGCGCCAAAGCCGGACAGCATGGCCATCACGGTGACCCCGATGACGCCGACCCTGCTGATGGCCTGTTCGATGGAGAAGATGCCCTTGCTGGGGCTGAGGAGGGGGAAGGGGTCGCCGAGTTTCCAGAAGAAGTACATGTAGATGAGCCAGATGGCGATGGTCAGTGTCCGGATCCAGCGTTTCCGCACAAAACTGAGACTGCTGACCACGAAGTAGCCTATGTAGAAGGGCACCAGCACGATGGTCATGAAGAGGATGATGTAGAGCACAAAGTGCCACTGGAAGTAGCGCGTTCGCTGGTCGAGGAAGCCGATGATTTCAAAGATGATCAGTTCAAAGAGGGTGCACGAGAGGGAAAAGGTGGCGGAGAAAATCAGCTGGACCAGCGCATGGTGCACTTCGTAGTCGCGGAAGAGCTTCTTGACGAAAAACACCCAGCCACCGACAAAGAACCCGATCTGGGAGATCAAAATGATGCAGCTGTCCTCAAAGAATCCCATTTTGTTTAGATATTTCAGCAGGCGCTCCCAATTTGGCACTGGAATAATATTTAATTTTAAAATTTTGACTGAGAACCGGAACCCAATCTAACAGAGTTTTTTGCACTAGATACTTTTTAGAAACATTTAATTTTGAAGCCAATTTAGATTATTTCCAGTGATTTAGAGGAGCAAACTTAATTCCTGCATTTTTCTACATTAAAAATACAAAAATGATGATTTTGGTCGAAGGATTCATAATCAGCTTTTGACAAATAAGAAATTAATGTATTTTGAGAAACACCATAGGAGAGCTGCAAAATTCATACATTTGATGTCACAGAAAGGGTTTAAAAATATAAATGTGTGCCAATTTAACAATTTCCGTCAACTACACGGACAAAATTTTTGCTGGATTGATATAAAGATTGTCAAGTATGATCACATATAATTATGTACAAAAGATAAAAGATCACAAAAATTCTTCCTTAACACATTTTTACACCACAAAAATATTTAACGCAAATATGGACAACTATGTATGAAATTTTCTACAACCAAAATAATATTATGGAATATTTATTTCTCCCCACTTCACTTCTAATTGTTCATTCAATTATGTCAACATTTCATTTCATTTTTTTATAACTAGCATTCATTTGGTTTGTACTGGTTCGCACATAAAAATATTAAAAAAGAAAAAATTCGTAAACAATACCACTTTCTTAAATTATTTAAGCAATAAAAAATATTTTTAATGCCTGACGCTGCAGTTTTTTCTTTTAAATTAATTAGATTAGGTTCCAATATTCAATGAACATCTTAAATTGAAATATCCAAATTAACTCACCTCAAATTCTTTGAGAAAAAAAGTGGCTTCTCCGCGCAAGAAAGGCTTGTGGTCCAACAGCCTCATCCAAATCTCTCCAACATCTGCAAGAAAATTTTAAATTGAAAGCTTTTACTTTATTTAAAACGTCAGTCATATCAATTAAAAGGAATCTTAACGCGCCGGGTCAGGGTATGGATGTGCCCTTTAAAAATTGAATTTCAAATTTCATTTTCGTACCGTTCAGAACAGCAGCGGCGGAGGTCATGTTTCAATTCCTTAGCGAGAATTTATATATTCCCCATTGCTTTACTTCCGCTCTGATATTAATCCTCTTTCTTGATTGTTGCAGAAAATTAAAATCAAATTAAAATGTTTGTTCAGAGAAATCTTCTCGTGACTCCCTTCAAAAAGAAGGCGACGTCAACAAAAACAAACTAAACAAAGGTCTTTAGAAACCTCTTTGGTGGAGAAAAAAGCCCGCTAATTTTAAAAATGTGGAGCACGTGATACTGCAAATTAAAATTTCTCATTAATATTATACCATTTCTGGTGCTTTTGAAAATGGCTTAAACTACCCAATTTTAATCATTAAATTTCATTCAAGAATAAGAAAGCAATTTGGCACATTTTTATCTGCAATTCTCGAGTCTATTGCACTAATGCTGTTTATCGCTTTTTATAATGCTGCAGCATAATTTCAACAATATGAAATTTTAATTTTAAATCATTGAAACTAAAACATATTTTAAATGATACATTAGATTTACTCCAAAATTATTCATTAATAATATATCAACTTTGTTATAAAAAAATTATATTATCTTTCTAAAATTAAACAGGTTTTGTGTAAAATATTAATATTGTGATTAATTTTTTGGATGTGATTAAAATTAAACATGATGCAAAACCAATATTCAAGGTGATTAATATAATAAGCACATTATATTTAATTCGACTAAAACAGCATAGCCCCGCCAAGCAGGAGAAACAAGATTTTACAAGGCTATTATCTCAGCATGATTTTTACGGTCTTAATTAAACAAAGGAGTCACTCTTAGGTGTTTGGGGGTGGATCTTGCGTGGGTGACGATTTCTGAGAATGTCTTTGCTCTGCAAGTTCTTGTTGTAACCTTTCGTTGGCACGAAACACTTTACTCTGGATGTAAAATGAGCCGCCGTTTTTCTTGTCGTTCATACTAAATAGCCTTTCATAACTCTTTTTCACTTCCTCCGGGTCCAACCTTGAAAGAGAAAAACTACAGATTAAATATCTTCAACAGATAAAAATTAAGAATTATGTATTTATGCCCAAAAAAATATAATGATGTAATAAAAATTTGGAATTATGTAACAAAGGAAATCAGAACTGTACAAAAATTTTAAAAATATTCATACTTATCAACATTAAGAATTTGTTGTGCCTCCTCCAGAGTGATGCCTGATTTCATATTGGCCGCAGCACGAGCGGTTCCTCTTTGTCCATTCTGCGCCCTCTTGGCCGCCTCCTGGCTGGCCGCGTATTCCTGCTTGAGCGCCCTGGCGAAGGCGCGACCCACCACTTGCGCACCGACCACAATAATCTGCGCGAGGTATTTTGCCATTTAATCAGTTGTTTATCTCGTCCAAATCAATGCTTCTAATAACATTTTCACAGGCGCGAAATCTTCATGCTTGCATCTGGTGCCCTTTTGTTGATCTTCTCAATGAGGGGGCGTGGTCCTGTTCGCCTTCAAATCACTTCAAATTCGCTTCAAATCAACCCTCTTCGATTTTGCGAGCAGAAGCAGAGGACCACGCCCCCTTATTGAGAAGATCACAACATTTTGCCTGGACAAAAAGGTTTTTCTCATTTCATATTCTTGTTTTTTGTAAAAAAATTCAGTTTGCATTGCATTCAGTCGTAATTAAATATTAATTATATGCGTGTGCATTTGGATAAATTTAAGGTTGTGGAAAATCGTGCAAATTCGCCTAAATTCTGCAAAATATTTTTCCCTTTCCTACAATATGTACAAACTTTTACCAATGAATTTATTTTTTCAGAAAATTCTCCAGGCTTGCGAAAATTTTTCCCAGAAATGGCGCAAGCAGAGGAGCTGCACGACATTCCGAGCGAACTGTCGTTCAAACCGCATACGTTCATCGGTTTGTTCGGCTTGGACATTTTGAACAACGCAAGTCATAGAGCAATATGGGACGCGTTCATAAACATACGGAGGCATGACAAAGTTTCAGTGCACTACAAGTTATTCACACCCGAGAATGTCCTTCCACCAACAAAGCCGAAAGTATGAATTAAATATCCAAAAAGACCTAAGTTTTCTGTGCTATAAAAAATTGCTTAAAATTTTCAGAGGCATTCTTACGAGTGGTACATTCCAAAAGGGATCCTCAAAAGAAACTGGATGTCCAAGTACTTGTATTCAATTCCTTCTGTGATGGTAATCTTTTACGACCTCGAATGGAATGACCCTTTCTGGAATGAGAGGACTTTGGAATGTGCTTCCAGGGTTCAATCTGTTAGGTATGGAAGTTTAAAATTTAAAATTATGATATGAATTTCATCTTTTTTTTACTTTTTTATATCAGGGCTGCTTTGGAAGGGCGAACAACAAAGATTGCCGTAGTCCTTATTCAAAATGGACCAACCATTCCAACAGTCGACGAGGCCATTACGACCGAGCGAGCGTCCAGCCTATGTGCTGTTTGCGAGCTGAACGCCAAGAACTTATTCCTGCTTCCCAACAATGAGCACCTTCAAGGCTATTCCTTGAGACTGGAAAATGCCTTCTACGATTTGGCCCAGACGTTCTACCACCAGAAAGTACGAACCATTCGGAGTCACAAAGATCATCTGAACAAGACGACGCACCAGTATCTCTTCGTCAGGCACCAGTTCAAGATGGGATTCTTGAACGAACTCAAGCAAGACCCTGCAATAGCAAACAAGTAATGAATTACAATTTTATTTTTTGCATTTCTAATTTTTGTTTTAAAAACACAGGCATTACGCCCAGGCCTACAGTCACTTGCTGGACATTCGGATAGTGGACACCAATGCTCTTGAAATCAAGACGGCCGCCAGTTTCATCAACTTCAAATTATGTCAAATCGCATTTTCTCTGAACACGCCCCGAGATGCCATATCTCATTTCCGCAAACACGTAGAAATATTCAAATCAGTCGTCGGAACCGCTGATTTGTCGTTTGAGCACTATTCGTGGCTGTCAAAACAGTAAGATTGTTGTGTCTTTATGAAATATAATATAATTACTGATTAAATATTTTTTATATTAACTTCACAGATATCTTATTTTTGGAGAAATTTTCAATGAAGCCATTGAACAAGGACTGCCTGCAGTGCAGACGCAGCACCCTGGAATTTATTTCCAACAAGCGGCTCAATACGCCGTCAAACGCAGAGAGGCTTGCCAAAACTTTCCTGTATAGGACCGACTTTTTTAAGTTTGAATTATAACCTCATCTTTTTTTCTTTCAAAAGGAAACGACCAGCTACCCTCATCCTGACCCTCTGGACGGGCAACAGGATCTGGAGTTCTACGGTCAGAGGCCTTGGCGCCCAGGAAAACTAAGCGCTGAGCCTCTGGATGCTTTCAAAGAGAAAGAGGCAGTTTGCGCATTGCAAATCAAGGAGAGTGCTGTCAATCATTCGGTAATGAATTTTCACCATTTTCTATAATATATTTATGCTTTATTTTAGATGCTTATTATATCCATCCTTGGCAAAGCCATCACTCAAGCCAAAACTTACAGATGTCATCGAACGAGAAGACAGCTAGGTTGAGAAAAATAACATTAAATTATGGCTGTATATTTATTACATATAAATTCTAGTTGTTTGGATGGCTGAAGAGTACTATCATACCAAGGATTTCAAGAAAGCTTTGGCGTAAGTTCAAAAATTGATTTTATATCAATTTTATCACCATATTTAGTTTTTTTTTTTTATAAAATATGTTGGCGCTTTATTCTGACTAAAATTTTGCAGTTTGCTGAGTCACATGCTGTGGGAATACAGAGGAGAGCAGTGGTCGTCGCTGCTTTCAAACGCTTTACTCAAAGCTTTGGACTGTGTTTATCAGTCGCCAAATGTATCAGAATATGTTTCATTAGCACTTGAAGCGCAAGCTCCAGCAGTGGCATTAGAAGCCGATCTAAAGAAGTTCCTCTTTCAAAACACGATAAAACTTCTTAAGGTGAAAGAAGAAATACGATTTGGGAATTTGGATTCGAGATTTTAAATTTTTAGGGTGACATGCCAGTTGCACCCGATGGAATTTCCATCAATGAAAATAATGCGGCTCACTGGAAAGCTGCGATTGCCGCCAACATTGAAATAAAACCTTTGTCGGTGGAAATGAGCAACATTACTTCATTCCTGGAAGTCAAAGCGTCATTCACTAGAGAGTCATTCCATACCAACGAGTCACTGCCTGTGAAAGTAATTATAAGGTGCTGCAGTATGATAATTTCATAACTTTGTTTAATTTATATTTTGGAATTTATTTGCAGAAGCAAATGTGTCCATGATGTGCCTTTGAGCAAAGCGACATTAATCATTGATAGCGCTTCTCACAGCATTGAACTCGAAGTCAAACCTGGCAGCAAAGATTTGGCAAAGCTGACGTGTGGCCTAATTAAAGAGTTCACCTGCATGTTTTGCGTCAAAGAAGATGACGTCGGCAAGGAGTTTCACATCCGTTCTATAAATATTTGGATGGGAAATAGCCCTGAAGAAAGTGTGATTCTGAGGTACCTTGCGCAAGACAATTTGAAAAGCAAGGAGATCGAGCTATTTGGGTAGGTTTAAGAAAAGTTGAGAGTAATTTTATTGCAATCTAGATGTGAAATTTAAACTTTTTCCAGGTCTAACTCAAAAGATATCTTCATGTTCGAGAACTTCCCCCAACACATAAAATGTAATGTGCTGGGAAAGAATGCGCACTTGGAGATCAGTTGCTCGTATCCGACTCCGGCACTTTTGGGAGAGTGGTTTCCAGTTTCAGTGGAACTTGAGAACAACGAGAAGTCAATTATCTCATCTTTGATTGTCAAAGCTTCCCTCTCAGATGCAGCAAAAGACGATAGCATGCACGAACAAGCATGTAAGAAATTTTAAGAGTAGCTATTTATCGCTGATAAATTCAACAATAATTTCTGACATTTCTGTCTCATTACCTCAGCCTACTTATGTATCGACCCTTTGAAAGAAACTTCTGGTCACAACACATCCATTTCAATAGAGCAAGGAACTTTGAAAGAAAATACCAAGTGCTCATTTTCTTTCCATTTCAAATCACTTTTGCAAGGAACTAAAGGCGTTGCTTTAAGTGTACGTATCTAATGTGGTGGATTTTGAAAAAGCAAAAGAATTTTATTACCATAAATCTAATCAATAATTGATGTTGCTTTCTTCCCTCAGGCTTGCTATACGCTAGGAACGAGCACAAAATGTGAAACAAACAAAATAATTAACATTGATGTTGTGAAGCCATTTGACGTTGTCACAAATTTTCTTGCGCCAAAACTGGATCCAGCAACAAGGGCAAATACAAAGGAATCGTTTGTCCTCATGCTCGAGTTGCGTTGCTTATCCCCCTGGCCCTTGTTGATTGAGAGCACTAAATTAGAATTGGTAATTTTTTTTTGTCTCTTTTAAAAATCGCGGCAAGTACATATTTTTAACTGTTAAATTTTTAGGCTCCCCAAATCACCTGCGTTGATAAAAACATAAAATCATTACTAGAAAATGAAACTCTGAGCACTGAAGAAGTAGGAACGGAAGCGTTTCATGTCACAATTGAAACAGAGCGAGACCAACCGCTGTCTGCGGGATTGTATTCTGTGTGTTGGAGGCGGCAATGCATGTAAGCCAAATTGAGCCAATTTGTTGCAATCTCTAATCATTTCAATTTCTACAACAGCAACAGTGTTTTGGCAAGCAGCAGCATCGTTTTGCCAACTTTATCGAGGGTCGACCCTGCTCCCCTATTTGTCGAATTGGAGTTGCCTGCAAACGGCTGGGTCGGGTCGCCCATGGCTGCGTTGTATAGGATTCACAACAGAACTGATCACCTCCTCGAAGTTGAAATGAGTTTGCAAGCTAGTGACGCCTTCATGTTTTCTGGTCAGAAACAAGTAAGTCGGTTATTTTCATAAACGACTAAATTTAATACCAATAAAATGATTTTTATTCCACGAGGTTAATTTTAAATAATTTGTGTATTTCATAATCTGTCTTGCAGATGAAGCTACGGTTGATGCCTAGCGTAGTTTACACATTTGCATACAATTTGTACCCTCTGCTGTCTGGTCTCGTCGCCCTGCCTTTGCTGAAATTGACACCTACTGAACTTTCATCTGACATTAAAGCAAGCCAACTCTCAGATTTGCTTGAAAGATCATTGCCCTCTCATATTTATGTCATGGTAATTTTCATTTGTATTATTTTCCTCTTCTGCTTTTACTTCCAATGCTTACGTGTTTTTTATAGCCCAAGGCAAAGGGAAAGTCGGAGATCTCAAATTGAAGAAACCGAAAGAGCCGCAGCAAAGTTTGCAGAAATACATTCTCGCCAATCAACCTTCAAATTTATTGAAGATTCATGGTTAAAAATATTACCGAAAAAAATTTGATTTAAAATTATCTATGACCTTTTAAATTGGTTTTGTCATTGTGATCATATAGCTTTTTCAAAGAATTCAGATTTTATTATTAAATTTTTTAGCCCTGTCAATTGAAGTTATGTAAATATATTATTTGCTTTTGCTACCAATAAAGAGCTTCATCTTTATTAGCGTGTCTTTTTTTTATAAAATATTTAACTAACAATAAATTTAATGCACAAAAATATTAGCAAAACCAGCAAGTTAAATTTGTTTACTTTGTATTAAAAAAATTAATTTTTAGCATTGGGTTAACAAATAAAATGATAATTTTTTTATTTCATTTTTATTTTTTATTCATCAATGAAAAATATTACTTTATTCACACAAACCAGAAATGAATTAGAAGTACCCCCAAAAATTTCTTGTTAAAATATTTTTTAGAAGCCTTTTTTCCTTAAAATCTGTGGATCGTTGTCCGTTGGTTTGGATTTCACACTGTTTGAAAATTTTATACGGAGTCATCTTTACTGTCCAGTTTTGTCACAAAAGGTCAACTTGTCACAAAGTCTTGTCCGTACATAAATTTTAATTTTTCTTTAGTCAGTCATATTGTGTTTAACAAAAGTAATAAATGGTCCATGATTATATCGCAATACAAAAATCCACTAAACAGTCGTCTGCAAAAGGCTTCCCTGATATTGTGTACACAATGCTCCTATTTACCAGCAAAAAGTAATATCTCCATTCGACAAATAATCATTAAAAGCAATAAATTAAATAAATTAAAATGCGCAAGAAAATTCCTAACGGAGTGATTTTTTAACAGAAGCACCAATGAACAGGCGGCAAACGCCCGCCTTCTTATTTCAAGTGAAATTCACAAATCAAATGCTTCAGTAATAAAAGAGAGATTCAGAATTCCTTACAACTAAAAACAGAGAAATGAAAGGAAGAGAAATGATGTGCGCGTCTTTTCGATGTATGACCATGTATCACCCCAGTGTTCCGAATTTCTACTCAAGAAAACGTAAATTGTCTCAAATTTATTTCTATGACTTGTGTTTGTAATTAGAAAAATGCGTCACTTTTAATAGTTTAGTTTCTAGCGCAAATCACCAAAAAACGCGAGAATTTAAATAAATTAGAACTTGTTCTAGTTGAAATTTGCGTTCGAGCCAATTTGCGGCAAATAACTTAAGAGTTTGGGAGGATAAGAGAGACTTCTTTCACAAAAAGTATTGCTTCCTCTGACTGGCATACATTAAGGGATTTAGTCTACTCCAAAAATAGCTTGATTAATAAATTTCATTGCAGGTTTCGTAAGTAGTGTAGCAGTTGTCTCCACTTCTGCCCCGTCTTCCCGCCTCGTAGTATTGGGAGAACGGAGAGCCGCTTGTCTTCTCCAAAAGCATACTAGCCGAGTACCTGAAATCGGGAAAATGAGAAAAATTAATTTAAATTAAAAATTGATCATATTTTGTTAATCCACTTAAAAAAAAACTAATTGTTAATTAAAGCTAATAGCTAATTTACTAAGCGGTGCGATTTGAAATTGAACTCTATTAGTGATGAAATGAAAGGGAAAAATAACTCACGTCGAAAAGAGACAGAGAGATGTACTGCCACCCTGGAGGTCATTCTGGCAGCTCTTGCTACCCTCGCAAATGTACAACTTCTTGCACTCATCATTTGAAGTGTTAACGGATCTCATGAAAGTCTACATAGACAAATAAAAAAATTTCTAAATGAAAATCCGCTATTGAGATTAATGGAAGAAGTTGCATTTTGAATGCACTACCACGGGTGAAATTTAAAAAAAAAAACCTTATTTAATTAAAAAAAAAATATTTCACAAATTTACCTTGAGGAGATTGATTCCAGCAACACCAGCCTCAGACATGACGTCCTTCTGTCCGATCGACCTGGCCTGCATGGAGCGCTGGCTGAAAGACGTTTTCAGAGCATCCAGAAGATTGACGACGATGTTGATGAACTGCGGAATTGGTATTCATTAATAAATAATTGGTTCGCATTTATATATACGTAGTTGGCTTATAATTTTATTTTAGTTATCCAGCGCGTTTGCATTGCGAGCATTAATATTCAATTGCAGCAAAATTAACAGTAAAACGCTGGTAGAATTTATTCAGAGAGGTTACACTGCAAGATGGCATATCGTTGTTTTTAAAAGGCAAGTCTAACTGTACACATACCTCGCCAGCCTGTTTGGCCATAGTGGACACCTGTTCCGGATCCTTGGAGCCCATCACTGCCGACAAAACTGCAGTCAGCACACCCTGCGGCAGAATTAATTCCGTGCTACTTTTAAAAACTGCGAGATGAATGCGACAATTTACGTGGTTAAAATAAAATTATAAGCCTGGGTTAAAAAAAAAAGAGTTATTTCCGCCTGAGAAACCAAGTTTAAAGCCAATCCACCACTTTTTTTGTTAATAATATCAGCCGTGAGATGTTATATATTATTTTAAATTTAGAGTTCACGGCGTAGTGATTGAGTTTCTTTGCAGCAGATATTATTGGCTTGGTGTTAAATAAAAGTAAACGAGCGTTCGGAAGGTATAACGGTGAAGTAATTTACCTGCAGAGGAGAAGCGTTGTCAACTTTGTCGATGCCGTCAACGGAGGAGGCACCGCCGCCGCCCAGGATGGCTGAAAGAATTTTCAGACCGACGGCCAAGATGTTGGCCCATGGGGAGGTGGAAACTCCCTAAAACAAACAGAATAAAAAAAATAAAAATAATTGTCTTAATTGGTCTAAACAATAATATAATTATAAAATATTTCTAAATTTGATTTATTATTTGATTATAAAAAAAATAATAAACCAATAAGGATTTTATTCTTGTCAGATTATAGCGCAGCTGTTTGAAAAGAAAAGCTTCTCAAAAACAGAGCGTGACAAATTAATCGAGTTTTGATTCTGCACACTTACGGTTTCTGTGTCGATGCTGTCAGACTTGTTGGGCCCGGCATTCAAGGCAGGTGTGAAGAGCATCTGCATGACGGTGCTCAGCATTGTTCCCCAAGAAAATCCATTCTCCTGCAACATTAGCAGAAATGACGATTTAGAATGGGAACTGAACATTTGGACTGAATCTCTATTGTCATTTAATTCATTGTTCACATTATTTTCCCGTGTGTTTTCGCATTAGTTTTGTGAATTTGCTACATAATTGAATGGAAGCAGGCGCTTAACAGGAACTTGATCTAATTATTTTTGTGTTAATTAAAACAGCTAAAAATTAAAATCGACTGTGAAGAAATTTGTGGAAGAAATTAAGATTTGGAATAAATCGGATTAAATTATTCCAATTAAAAGAGTTAATTTCTTTGAAGAAATTGACACTCGAGGAGATGATCATGGGAAATGAAGATATCGGGCTTTTTGCAACGAGGAAAAAGCCAAAAGGGTTAAATAAAGATAAATTCAAGTGTGTATTTGTGTGTAAGTTAATAATAAGCAAAAAGTTCAGGTGCGCAGCAATGCACTTTCTCAAAGGGTGAATCATTTACATGTATCAGGTGGAGAGGAAGTGTAGAGAGAAATTTCCATACGAGATTTTATACACCTCCCGCATCCTGTATGACCTTTCACTATATTACTCTCTTATCAATGAATAATGGCAAATCACTCCTACAAGTGCTGGAAACTATGCGAAAGGAATGCGGATGGCATGCGGGGCTGGTGATTCATTCACAAATGCAAAGGAAAACACGGCACTTCATGTGTTGTATAAATGGATGTGCGGCAATTACATTTTTCCCGAAACGAGCAATGCGTGTCACCCAAAAAGAACCACCTTAAAAGGAAAAATAATGGTGTTGCGCCCGTTGGAATGACAGGTCGGGCCGCTTTTTGAGAAATAATCACGACCGTCGGTCTATTAGGTACAAATATGGGCACATCCTAAATAGAAGCCACTCGAATGAGAAATTTCGTGCTGCCGGCGGATCATGAAAAATGTTGACCCAGTGAAAATAATTTATAATTAAGCCTTATTTGCATCTAGGTAAACAAAATCAGGAGCCTTGAAGAAGTTTAAAATCAAATTTTTGGCACAAATTTTATTTCTTCAAATCTCCATCAATTGTTATTATTATTTTAACTAATTAGTTTCAAAATTTTTTGAATTCGATGTCAAATTTTGCGTAAAAATTGTTTGGTGAAAAAATGTGACTTTGAATAATTTTGCAAGGAAAATTGTTACTTTGAAGCAAAATAATTTAAAGACTAAAAAAGATTTTTGTACTAATTCTTGTCAAAATGATTTCACACCTCTTAAATTATGGCTGCAGCCGAAACATTTATTGTATCGTTTTTTCATAAAAAATAAACAACTCACAAAACCCATTGACGAAAAGCCGACTTTCAATTCAAATCACCATATTTTTTTTTTTTAAATGAGTTTGACCAATTACCTGAATGCTGTTGCTGGCAATGTCATTGTCGGCCTCGTCCTGCCTGACCAATTTCTTGTTCGGCCTGTCGTATTTGCGCTCATCGTAGCTGTTGCCATAAACGACGCTGGCGTCATGCACGGACGAGATGCGCGCTTGCCGTGAGCTGCTGGGAGGAGGGATGGCCAGGGCAGGCAAGACCAGGGCGTTCACGGAAATCAGGGCAAGGTACACCAAGCTTAACGTCCTACTCTTCATCTGCGAAAAAAAGAAATGAAAAGACCGAAATTATTTCTACACCTGTCGAAAAAATCATGGAATCAATTTTTTATATGTTGATTAATTGAAAGAAATGAGAATTTTTTTTTACTTTCTTGCCTTGAAGAGCAATGGCCGCCGAAAATCCCCGTAATCAAAGGATTGACGTTAGTATTACGAAGCAAAATATAAAAATAAAGTTAACCACGACTACTTTTTGCATTATCACGCAATATTTCTCTCGCATTCGTTCAAAATCCGCTTGCAAATAACTGTTTGTAGGTCAACGCCGCGAACTTGCCCCGCAACGCAGCATCCAGAATAATAATTAAGATCTAATGGCACTAGGATATAAACGTAAGTTGTAAAAAGTTATAAAACATAAAAAAATGCCAACGGCGGTTCACTAGATTTGACTAGAAAAAAACGCAAATGTTTAGTAGATATAAAATGTGGGCTAGATTTTGGCTTGCGCGTCTTCCAGTAAGTTCTTTTCCTTTGTAGGCTTTACAATGAAAGTTCGTCTTGCTCACCGAAGCACGTTTTACACCGGCTGAAAATTTCTTTCATATTTGAAGCTAAAAATTTAAATTTATTTATTTAAGAAGAAATTTAATTAGAGCAAGTAAACAAATTTTAATTAGTTGCAATTATTTATGGCAACTTGTGATGTGTATTTAAGAAAGAGCTTTTCGCGCTGCTAATATACTGTAATCGACACAGCGGTAAACCGTCATAAATATATATATGGATGTAGCCAAGACACACAAATCGCAGATTCGAGTCAGCAGAGTCGACGAACTGGCACACATGCAACTCCTAACAACTCCCATTCCATATATATATTCTGCATTTTTTCCGGTTCGAATATTTTTTATCTGAACCAATTTTTTTTTCTTTTAAAACCAGTCTGCGATACATGATTACCGTTTCACATGTATAATCCTATTTCATTTCCCGATTCATCAATTAATTTCCGAAACCGGATTTTGAGTTACTGTTAATTTCTATTCGTCTCCAGGTGCATTTTCGCTCAATCCCGTTAGAGACACAAACTCCCTCGGTTATGACGAAATGTCGTGTCTCATTGTCAATACGCATATGAATGAAGTACAATCAGATCTCAGATAGAGACACGAAAGTTTTGTGCGGCAAATTGCCACATTTCATTTTGGCGAAGACAAAAGAGACGTGCACGGTGTATGATTTTATATATGAATCATAAAGAGAAATTTCCACTGGCCTAGTGCGACGGTAAAACCCGCCGTGTTTGATTCGTACGCAGCAAACTATAGAAAATTTATAATCTCGAAATTATTTGCGTTAGGAAAATATCTCCGGGTTTGATGACTTTTGAAGTAAGAAATTCGTTTGACAAAAAAATTGCAGGTCATTCGGAGACACTTTAGAAATTTATATTACCCTGAGAAGATTATTTCCGTTTGCTCAACGAATTTTTTTTTAAAGAAATATGTTTTTGAAGCAAGAGTTACAGTTTTATCAAGAAAATTTTAACCTGGATAAAAAAATTAGCAGACAATTAAATAATAAATTAATGTGTGAAAGCTGCGCCATTAGTAAACCGTTACTCATTGTGAAAACCATCCTCGATATAAAAGCATTTGGCGGAACCGAAAAAGAAATAAAACTGATTAAATAACCAAAAACATAACCCACATTTTATAAATTTGGTTTCAAGTAATAATATAAAATGAATTAAAAGAAAAATGTATTGCATAATAAGGTGGGGCCTTTCTTTTAAAAAACTTCAATTTTGAATAAAGTATTCAAAAGACAGACGTGAATTTATGATTTTAGATGATCCCCAAAATAGTGAGAAGAATTGCATAATATATTTACCTTTGAGGAAGTGTCTTTCAGGTCTGGGAAGGTGAACGAACTAGGCAGTCACACAGCTTGCGAGTCCAACTGGGAAATGAGTTACGCGGCCGCCTTGAACTTGTCTTATATACTTGACCGACTTTGCGGCGGAGAAGCAGGCAGGGGACTGAAATACCTGAAGATGAACGGTTCATGCGATCAAGGCGCACTCAGGAATTTCGAAGCGCCTCAAACTACCTGCGCGAGTGTTTCTGTAAAGGTACCCAGTACCCTGCCTGCAACGGCTCTTGCAGCCGCACCAGCCAATCGCACAGGTTTCGCGTGAATTTGCAAGAATATTCATGCGCGACTTTTTTAGGCATTTTAATAATACGACCCATCACTTAATTTTTTACGAGTGACCTGATGTGGAACAAGTTCGGCAGGCGAGTTTCGGGCACAACACCATTAAACTAAATAACGTGCGTGCGGTACTTCCGAATTTGTCACGTACCCCATTCAGACTAGGATTTCTCGCAGCATCCGCGCAGCTAATCAAATTTTTTGCACGAGTCATTTCAACACTCATTTTAATTTTGGAAAAAATCTATAATTGTACGCAGATGGAATAAATAAAAATATTATTTCATTGAAATTGCCTAAAAATACAATTAATGAAAAAATCCAGTTAGCAAAAAAAAAACTGTTTGTTTTTTATTTTTTTAACGTTGATTTTTATCCTCCTTTTTTCCTTCTAAAGAAAGTATTAGTTTATTAGTTTAGAGGATGTTTGAAAAGTTTCACCAACATCCATCCTCAGTGCAAGCGTCTCCTGACCGACAAGAGCCGCTCTTTGCTTATTTCATTTTCGCTCTGCGCCTCTCGTCACGTCAGACACGACATTCAGGTTCTCCGCGCGTAACCTGGCGGCGCTTATCAGATTGAACGGCGCTATGGGAATCACACAATTAGCTCTTAATTGGGACGACCCATTCTGACGTTTTATATATAATTTCTACATTAATTAATCACTTCTTCCGTTTAAACGGTTTAAACAACAAATTGGGCAAAGAAAAAATTACAATCTAAAATAAAAATATATTATTCAAGGAGCAATTTGGCAACTGAATCTATAGATTGAAATTTGGGATTGACTTATTTAGCCCATTTCAGCACAAAATAGGAATGAACAAAGCGACGAGAGAAAATATATCATGATTTTTACTACGAATTTTAGAAGTTTCTGTTCAAAATATCAATATATGACAAATTCCTTCTATAATCCATTTTGAGCGCAAATCGGTAGAAAACTTTGACGATCTTTTATTTTGTAAACTCAGCTGTACTTTAAAGCTTTCTATTCTACATTAATTTATCCTGAGAAAAAGCATCCACCAGAATTTTAGAAATAGAAATAGGTTCCGATTGCAGAATAATCATTTAAAAATAGAAGCTGTGCAATTTGATTAATTAAAACTTCTGGAAAATTACTGAAAAGTAAAAAGATTGAGATTTTATTTCGTGCATGTTATGTTTCTTGAAATAATGACCAATTCATTATTCAATGAAAATTGTAAATTATTTTTATCGGTAAAAATTAAGAATCTGACAGTTTTTTAAAATAAATTAAGATATTGGAAATGGAATTTTTCAATCATGTCACATCTACATTATAATATTAACATTAAGTGCACTTTGTGCAATAAAAACATTAAAATTTATAAATTAGGCTATTTGTAATTCATTGTACACTTGGAATTAAAATTAATTATTATGAAGATGGTAAAAGGTTCATTCTGTACATCTGTAATATTTGAAATAAGATGAGCAGAATTTCCACTCATCCTTGATTGTTTTACTGTATGTATTCATTTGTGTAGCGCAACTAATAACAAAGACGTCCAGGATTTTAATAGATTTTTTTCATAATTTGCCGAATAATTATTTAACTATTATCTGATTTAAGGAATTTGCCAGGCAACCTACCTGGCAAACTAGAGGTTCTGAATCAAGACAAAATGTGGAAAGGAGAAAACCTAGTGTCCTCTTATTTTTATCCCTCTTCCTCCTCGTCGCCACTTTCTTCTTGTTCTTCGTCTTCACACTTTTCTTCGTCCTCCTCCTCACCCTTGTTCAAATATTTGGAAATGTCTTTCACCAACACCTTTCTTGGTAGTATTTCTATCCAAAAATGAAAAATTATTGAAGGATCAAAACTGTGAGACATAATATCTATGTACCTTTGAGAAAATCATATTCTTCTTCAGTTTGAACCACATTGGCAACATGCTTGTAGCCCAAATTATTCATCCTTTTAGAATCTTCATAAGCTCGCTGAGCAAGAGATTGGATAAATAGCTCCTGAAATCAAAAACATAATTATGTGCAAAAATTCGAGCAAAAATTCGGCATTAAAATACTTGGAACTTTGACTTTCTTCCAAGGGTATGTGGTAATTTTTTTTTGTCCTTGCTTTAAACTCACCGTTGCTTTAGTAATTAGAAACAGAGAATCCTGTCCTATACTTTCAACATCAGGAGAACTTTTCATTATGGTCCTTATCCGAGATATGGGCAGCTGGAGCCCAGACTTGGCAGCAGCTTGTTTTGAGTTATTTAACGCCATCCTGAGAGCGCTTTGTCTGAAAAATGATCAAACGATTTTGAAGATTCATTCCCATTTTTCATGAAAAGCAACAAACCTATTGGGAACAATCGCTTTTTACGTCGAATTTAGAGGAAAATGTAAAAGCCGGGAACAACAACAACAAAACAACCTGCTTGGCGGCTCTTGCAAAAAACGATAACGCCCACCAGATGGCAGGTCAAGTCAGCCTTCAAGAAAATAGCGGGAAATTCAGCCTGAACAAGAGATTGCAGCAGCAAAATGATGAGGACAATTTTTTAAATTAATTAAGTTTGCTATGAAGGTAAAAAATTGCGCCAATGTACATAATTTTTATTTCTTTTATAGCGTTTAGTGGCTTTTACTAATGAAAAAGAACAACACTATACATAAATAATTTAAATTGTAAGCTAGTAAACAGGAGGCGACGACTTGTGAAAAATAAATAAACAATTTAATTAGGATTATTGGATTACTATATTTTTAATAAATCATGTTCAACTATATTATATTTATGCATTGAGTAGCCCTTTTCTACTAATAGGACTAATTTTCGGAGTTGGTTTTTTTACATGACATTTGACAACAACTTTAAGTTTAACTGGGCATCGGAAGCAGTTTGCAAGAGACCTTTCTGCTTCCTTGGCTATCAGTGAAATTCGACTGCCGCCACTGGACAAAAGCATCTTCATGTGTCTTTCTAGCTTACAGTTGACCACGACCGAAATGTACAAAAGACCTAAAAATCAAATTACAATTAATTTGAATAATCTGAATATGCTAAATTTAATTGATACGAAAAGCAACCAAGGGTAATAATTTAATACCTGCTTCAGTGTAATGGAAGAATTCTGTTTCTACCAAGACTTGATAAGGCACCTCTTGAGGCAAATTGTCTAGTAATTTTTCTCTTACGGCCTCGTCGACTAATTGCTTGCCTTCCTGATCAGTGAACATGGCTGGGTCAAACTTCCAGGGTGATTGTTTTGCATTCATCAGCATATACTCCTGCAAACAATTTTTGTTTAGTTCATAAATCAGTGATTTTTAACAATATCCACCTTGATATCACCAACACCTTCTCCAGACAAAGCAGAAACCATGAATATATCAGAAAATTTTCTCCAGCCTCTTTTGCTCTCAGAGTCTTGTTCTCTTTCTTCGTCTGCGTCGTCTTCATTTTCTTCACTAGGGTATTGCGTATTTCGAAACGGCAATTGTGTCAAAAGTTGACCTTCGGTAAGGCTTTCAGCAAGTTTCAGGAGAATCCTTTTATGCTTCAATAGATCAACCTACAAAGTAATGAAAAATAATTAAAAATTACTGCACATTTTGATTAATAAGCAGAGGATGAAGGGATAAATTTAAATTTTACCTTGTTAAGAATAAGGATGGAATGCTTATCTCCTGATTGCTTCAGCATGTGAAGGACTTTAGGGTTCAGATATTCTCTAGTCCATTTGTTCGATACATCGTGAACAACGGCAATCATGTCCGCCTCTTGAATCGACTCCAAGGGAGCCGAAATGAATGTTTCGCCAAGACTGTGTCTAAAAGAAACAAATGCTTATTACATAATTATTATAGATTTGAACAATAATACTTTTTGAGCTCTGCATTTGTCACTAATCCTGGAGTGTCCAGGAATACGAGTTGCGTGTCTCCTGTGTTGTCAATGGCCTGAGTTTTTCTTGAAGTTGTGTGCACTTTCATCGACGTCGCACAAACCTACAAAGATTTTATTTTTTTTTTTTTAATTCACAAATGTATCTAATTTTTCTGATTTTCTTACCCTTCGTTCCATAATTTGATTAATCAGGGTGCTTTTCCCTGCGTTGGGCAGGCCGATCATGGCGATTTTCAACGTCTTTTTCGCTCCAATTTCATCGATGACCGGTTGAGAAAATCCGTGATTCTCGACAACACCGTCCTCTTGATGGTTTAATCTGCTGCCCATCAAGCTTACTTGTCGAAAGTGAAAGCCTTTGGACGACAGAGAGGAAGCTTTGATCGCTCGAATCATAAAAATGCACCTCATTCTGGACAAATTATTAATAAAAAAACAAACAATCTAAACAGTCCTAAAAAGCAGCATGTTTTGAACAGCAAACAGCAAACAGCAAACAAAACACGAACCTTTTAATGATCGGGCCTGGAGGGGAAGTGGCGGTCAAGCCCCGCCTCCGCACTCTACACTCCACTCGACTCGGCACACGACGGGGTGGCTTTTCAAGTTGAAACTTGTTCTTGCATGCCCGTGGATCCCCCTTCTGCAGTAGTTTCGTTCGGATCTCCTCCTTGGACCCGGAGGCGTGTCAGCTTCCCGAGAAATATCAATACTCTCGCAAGTCCATAATCTGTACCAAACTCGATGCAATGTTGGACGCTGCTGACATGACCCTTCGCCTCCGCAGTCCCGAAAGTTGAGACAAAAATTTTTGCGAGTGCGTCGCCGTTTTCATGTGAACTTTACAAAGACGTGGTCTGCCAATTGATGGACAAGCAGGTGCAATTGATGCGCCCATAGATAATCTGCGACCGCGGCTTGTGTTTGTCTCTGGGATCACTTTTTACTGTGGACCAATGTGAAAGCTAAAGATGCGAAACCTAATGTTAAAAGCCCGATTTTGGATTTTCCTCGCCTTCTTCGCCACCGTCTCTGTCGGTAAGCCCGATCGTCTGTGACGCTTTTTATTTGGTTTTCGGAATTAATCGTGAGACAGGTTGCTCTTATCAACCCTTATCTGTCGATTAGGATTAGATTTGAATAATCGCCGAATAATTTATTATCATTTCCGTGATTGATTTTCGCGGATGTCGTTGAAAGAATTTTCAATCGGAGAACGAAATTTAATAGAGCACGTTTTTTCTGACTTGAAAATTGTATCTAAATTCTAGAATCTCTTGGCAGCTGTTCGTGATCTAATTTAAGATTGCCTGCTTCACTTTGTTTAGAAAAGTTGATGGAATCAACAGGAGCCCCATTTTCTGGCCATCGCGGTTCATTAAACGCTCTTTTATCTTTTTATCGTTCTTCACACGCAACGAAAATCAATTTTACACGGTTTTATCAAATCTTTGGCTCAACAGTTTCCACAAAAGGCTGAAAGATTCATATTTCATTTCAATTTGTCACAGAAGAACTCTTTTAGTTTCCATAAATCATTTGAATATAAAAGAAATGTTTAATTGTGAAAGAATTATAGAATGTACAACTTGAATATCAAAAGAAATTTCCATAAAGTTTAATAAAGACGCATTAAAAAAATTTTAGAGCAGTGACTAAAGAAATATGGGACTTCAGATAAGAATTAAATTTGTAGTAATTAAAAAAAAAATATCTATAGATAGAATTACAAATTTTGTCTTTAAATTATTGTTAGTGTGTTTTCTATTCTAATTAGTGTCTTTGTGTGGTGTTGTAAATCGTGAACAAGTTTCAGGTTTTAATTTTCAAGAGGTTTTTACGTCGTTTTACTGAAATCGTGCGAGAAAAACTTGGCTTTAAAGAATGGAATTTGTACACAAAATTTTACTTTTAATCAAGAAATTAATTTTAAATGACTTAAAAATTTTATCTTTTTGTGTCACAAAAAATAAGAAAACATAGACCATTTATGTTCCTCTGTTTGCACTAATTTCCGTGTTTTAATTAAGTTTTTTAATTTTTTTGTGACACAAAGCGGTACAAATTTTGTCTCATTTAAATTAATTTTCTTCATTAAAATTCAAAATTTTGTATGTATTTCATTATTTAAATCCAAGTTTTTCCTGCACAGTTTTAGTAAAACGACTTAGAAACCTCTTATTTTTTTTTTTTTTTTTTTTTTTAATTAAGCGAACCTTATTTTTTTCCCTACAAAAATTTTAGGTAATTTAGGGCGCAATATACTTCCTCTCTTTCTCTTCTTGAAACCTTTGGAGTTCACTTTCGTTATTATTGCCTTGTTGATAGTTTAGCCCGTGGCTTAGCCGAAGCCACTCAGTCAAACTTCCGCAGCGCCAGGATATATTATGGAAACAGCACAAAAAGCTTCACTTGTATATCTAATTACATCGTAAAAAACGCCCAAAGCATCCTTTTTGACGGCAAGTTATGCAGAGGGATTAACTCGAATATAACAAAGCCGTTTATTGTGTAAATTCCATCCCATTATTAACGGAGGCTTTAACAACATAGGAAAACTAAACTTGCAAATTGCGAATTTGCACCACAATTCTTATGACCCTTTTGTGGAATAGCAGCAATTTCCAGCTCTCTGAAAAGTAATGTTCATTAACTATGAAAACGTCCGGTTTAGTTATAAAATCTTCATCATGCAGTTGTACAAATCTTTCCTCAGGCACAATTAATTCAGAAAAGTCTATTGTTGAACAATTTCGATGGAAACATTTTTATAAAATGGACATAATATATAATTTATAACTGATTTAAAACTAAATAGGATAAAATATTGTTTTAATATCTGGAAAATAACAATTTAGCCGCTGAAGCCATGGACTTAATTTTAAATTTGTATTTCAAAGTTAAAAGCTAGTTTTTTCAGGGATAGGCAAAACAGAATTTAATTGAAAATATTTTAACAAATATATTTAATATTTTTATTATTATTGTTAATTTATTAGTGTGATTGTGGGTTTTTGTAATTTTTTTATTTAGAATTTTCAAAAGAAATCTTTACGTGAATTCAGAAACTGAGCGAGAAAACCACTGCTCGGAAAACAAATTAAAATGTCAAAATTTCAACTTTTTAATTAATTAAAAAATTTGAAATATTAATACTTTTTTTTCTAAAACAGATTGAGATTGATGCCGTTTGTCTCTGTTTGTCAATTTTTAAGTTTTAAATGGAGAAATTAAATATTTTTGAAACGAATCGTAATTTGTTTTTGAAAAAATTATGATTTCCAATTAAAAGTTGAAAATTCGACATTTTAATTCCTTTTTCAAGCAATGGTTTTCTTGCTCAGTTTCTGAATCTACGCTAGATTTCTTTTGAAATATTATTATTATTATTATTATTCGGCAAATAAACTCGTATTAAAATGAAACTGTATGAATATTTGATTGCAGACTTTTCATCCTGCATCGAAGTGCACTTTGAGAACAAAGATGGTGGATTCTTCTTGAAGCAGACGCTCGGCAACCACAGCCTGAGCCAAGAGGCTGCCGGCAAGGGTGGCGCCGACGACGATGGCTCGAGCGACCAGGAGGAGGTGGTGCTCAGTCGCGAGCTGTTCACCGTTTTCCAGAGCTCGCAACCCGTGTCCATCCGCGCCACGTACGGCCCTTTCTCCACCAAGCAGACCGTGCCTGCCAGGTACATTGTCCCGGACCCGCTGGACGTCCCACCGTCGGCGGCGCCGGCCACTCTGCTGCAGGAGGCGCTCGACGCCGACCTCTACTCGCACAACCTCGACATCAGCTCACACCTTGTCACGCCACAGGTCAGAGTTTATCCATTTTATTATTCTAAAATCTTGTATCACTATTTTTAAATACAAATAAGTTTGAAATTTTTATACAAAATTCCTCCACTTCCTTGTTTACAAACGTCAAATCCAAACAGTGTGTTTTTTTATATTCTTATCTTTAGTCAACCAAAACAGACCAAAATTATAGATTTTACAGAGAAAAAATCACCAAATATATCACAATTATTTAGATTCAAATTTACTAAAATGTATCAAAAATGTACATTTTTCTTCTTCTTAAAATTGAATTATTTGGTGTTTTTAACTTTCCATAAAATTTTAAGTAAAAAGTGAATGAAGTCACGTCCTTAATTAACAAAATCTTCCTTAAATTGCAGATACCACGTGACAATCCTGTCCTGCGCGTCCTTTTCCACACCGGCCAGCAGAGCTCCGTGGCCGCCACGACCGGCGGCGCCAAAATTGCCCCCATCGCCCACCGCCAGCAACGCATCTGCATCATCCTGAGTGCAACCCTCGAGGACAAGCCGGCCGAGGTGGCTGCGTGCAGCCCTGGTGGCGACGACGGCGTGTGTCTCGCCCAACTCACGGTGCCCGCCAGCTGGTGGCCACCCCTGCCGGGACCAGACTACTTTTCCGAACCACCCCATGAGACTAAACCAGTCAATAAGGTAGGCACACTTCATTCTTTTACTTTTGTCTCGACTTCACTCACAGACAATTTAATTTTGTCAACTGACGGGCTTTCAAATTCACAAAGAGAATTTTTCCTCTGCCAAATATTTGAGTTTCGTCGTGAAAAAAATTAATTACGAAAGTAAGGGATGAAAGTTTGCTTTTTGGTGGTCAACCCTTATCTCGGAGACGAATCTTGAGCTCTCACAAAAAAGAGACCGAGAGTGTGCAAACCTCGAGTATCCCTCTTTTTTTTAAGGTCTCTCTTAGTGAGTTGTGTGTCAAGCAATCCGAGTGAGTGGATGAGAGAGCAAGCCAAGAGGCAGAAAAAAATCCCGGCGTGTTTGCCAAGCGGGAAAATAACTGAAATAAGACACCCCGCCGACTTTATAATGGAATATGAACATTACTTCACTGAACATGATGACTTCATATTTATTTTTATCCTTGGCGCTTTAAAAAAAAATCAATAATTCGCAGGTTCCTCGCCGCTTGGTCGCGATCGCCTATTCGGTGTTTGAGCCGCGTGGCTCCGAGCCGTGCGCCCCATCGCCCAGCACCCGCGTCCAGATCCAGCCGATGACTCCTCTGGGAGTGGTTCCGCTGGTGTCTTCGGTGGCTCCGTATCGGGAACTGCGAGCTGACCCCGGCCTTGCCATGCTTCTGCCCCACGCACCACTTTACCCCAAATCTCGGTTCTACGTGCCCCTCTTCATCCAGCCTCGTCCTGGCTCGCCTCAAGTTTCCGTTCTTGTCGTCAGGTAAAATATTTTTTGCACCTTTGATAATTCTATAAATTTTATTGGTTCCATTTATATTGCAGCCTCTATCTTTTTTATTTCATCTAAGTGAGTTTAATTGAAATTTATGGCTTTTATTGTACGCCTACCAATAAAGTTTCATTTATTAGCTATTTTTTAATTGCTTTGAAGACTGTTTATCTTTATTATTTGTCTCTGAAGTGTCACAACCAGTTTTTGTGTTGAAATATTATTATTTAGTTGAATTTAGAAAATTTTTCATCATTTCTCCCAAATTGATTTCAGGGCTCGGGTAAAGAGCGGCCTAAAGGTGCTCGGGGCACAATCCACGTCTGCCGGTTGGCACATGACTGTGGAAACTAATCCGAAGCAAACAACCTGCACAGTGACTGTTTTAAGGACTGAAAACAATATTGCTCCGCTGGCAGGAACTAACCCGCAGACATCTGATCAGCCTGCAACCCTCACTAACGAAGCAGAAAATGAGAGGTAACTCTATAAAACAACTATCAATAACATAATTTATAGTTATTTTGGTCTGAATATTGAACAAATATTTATGATCTTCTATAATTTCAGCAATCCTGTAGAGGAGGTTTTCAACTGGTTGTTTGAAGTTGAGGAAACCTCCGAGCCTTGGGAGGGTGGTCGAATAGTATGGAGCATCAGATACGTACTGGAGGGTGACACGCGTTTCCACGAGCTCAGAACCTCTGCTCACGGAACTTCCCAATTCATCCTTCAGCAGCGAAAAAGTCGTCTTCTGAAGGAGGGCGGTGCAACTCAAGACGAGGATGAGCGTCGTAAACTGACTGCCCGATTCGACACACAAAAGGACGACATTCATGCCGTTCTGCCTATTTCAAAAGTGAGCTCGTCTGAAATTTAATTGCATATATAATATAATATCTGTTTTGTAGACGTGGGAAATTTTGAATACTGCTGTGTTAACTGGGCGGCAAGTTTCTCAAGCCATGAAAGTCTTTATTGTCAGTCGCGCTGGAAAAGTTGCCGATGTCACTCTGCAAGCGTCTTGCAATTCAATGGAGGAGAGCGTGCTCAAGGTTAGCTGATTTTTTTGCTATTTATTCCTAGAGACCAAATAAATCATTCCTTTATGAATTATTAAAGAGCTGCTTGTCTGCATTTTTTACAATCTCTTTTTTGCGCCCAGGTTTCAACATCATGCAGCTCTGTTTATGTTGATGGCTCCGAAGTGCGTGGCTCCAGCAACGCCTCTGTCTTTGTGCAGTACGGCCCATACTCAGGAGTTGCTAAATTTACTGTGTGGATGCCAGAGTATCCTCTGGAGGTTTGGGTTGCTGACCAGCGCCTTAGCCAAGTCAAGGGGTGGCGAGTTCCAGATTATACCAACATTCATTCGTAATTATTTATATCATTAAGATTTACTTTAAGAAATTATATTGTCCTTTTTTTTAATAGCAAAATTGAGAGACCTCCAGTAGATGAGTATGCTAAGCCAGGCATTGGCGGCTGGAACGATGCATTTGCTGTTGACGACAAAGCAGACGAAGGCTCTGAAAAACTTCAATGTCGTTTAAGATTCCAACAAACCAATGTGGAGGTAAAATCAAGAATATCATTTTTGTCCTATTAAAGACAATTTTTCTGCAGGTCTATTCTCGATTTTATGCAGATGACCATGATATAGGTCGAATCTCCTTTTATGGCTCAAGACGAACATGGTTACGGGTCACAGATCTTGTTGTTGGCTCGCTCAGAGTTTCTGACTCGAGAATTGCTTCTCTGCATGGAAAAATTTTGCAAGGGCAGAGCGTTGGAAGAACAGAAGTTCAGGTACGAATTTCTTATTTTGAATCAGCCTAACTGAATTTAAAAATTACTTACTGAAAATCTTCAATTCCGCTTGTTAATTTTTTCTTTTAATTTTTCATCAGGTTGTGTCACCTGTTACTGGTCGAGTTCTGGGAGCCAAGGAGGTCCGTGTTAGCAACGATCGAGTGACGATTAACAGACTCAGGGTCCGAGTTGTGTCTGGTCTGCAGCTGGGAATTTCAACAGACAACACAGCAAATGGATACATTGCCACCATTTCTGTGACACGCAAGTTAACCGCCCAGTATCAGGAGGGCCTGCTGGACATTGAGGCCCACTTCTCGGATGACACCATCATGGCCCTGAGAGATGTGCCCATTTCGGACTACCTTCTCTCTGTTGAGAGTCGCAATTCCAACGTGGTAGCTTTTGCTCCCATGGCCGCCTCCCCTCATCCTAGAGTCATTGCAGTTGGAGAGGGCCACGGAGACCTTCTGAAAGTGAGTCTCCAGCTGCCGGAAAAGTGTGCCGCTTCCTTCTTGTCGGCCCGACGTGGTGCGTCCAAAAGCCAGGCTCAACCAGCGCCTAATAGCATCCTCAGCACTGCTTTTGCCAACGTAGAAGTGGATTTCAAGACCACCCAGAAATCAGAATTTGTTCAAAACGACGGGCACCACGGTGGGAGAATCAGAACCAGTGACTTGACAAAACTGCACGACATTCTCATCGGTAAGTAGAAATTAAATCATTCGAAAATTTAATTACAATAATTTCTATTGTGTCACCAGGCATCCCCTTGAAAGATGAAAACAACCGGGAGCCGACAGTGCAGGCACGCCAGTTACCAGCCAAGCAGCACACACCACTGATGACCCCTCTGGTCATCGGCATGTACGTCTTACTCGGCGCCTTCTGCCTGGCGATCGTTGTCTTTGTCATCTCATGCATTGTCTACGCGTCGAAATTCAAAGAGTCAGAACTTGGACACCTGGTTTTGCACCAGAACCGCGAAAATGCGTCTGCGGCGGTGCAGAATGGCAATGCCAGAATGGGCATTACCCAAAATGCTCATGATTGGGTCTGGCTGGGCCGAGCCACCCTTGAGCGCTCTTCAAACCACTCGTCGGCTGGCATTCGGATCATCAACAATCCTGGTTCAGCGGATGTGACCAGCTTTGACAACCCGTCCCACATTGAGTTGCCATCACATCCACCTATCAACGACAACACGTATACAAAACGCGTCGTGCCACCACTCCGCACTGAGAGCATATGGCGCTCGTAAGTATTTCTTTTATTGAATTAATTAACAAAATTCCTTGCTGGTTCAACACATCATCATAATTTTAATTACAGAAACGAGTCGCCACCTCTTCATCAACATTCCACGGGAACAGAAGCAGAGGCTGCTGCGGAGGTCAGCCAGTTGAGCCCCAGTGACCCCAACTACAAGCCCCCAGTTCCGCCGCACCGCAACCTGACCGCAGCCGCCTATGTGCCTACTCTGGTTGGGCCTGGCGACAGCAACTGGAAGGCCAGGTCACCCCGAAAACTCAACAACCACCGCGTAAAGGGTGTCAAGGGCAGGGACAAGCCCCTTCCGGAGGTTGACGAAGACGACAGCAGCCCGCATTCCAAGGCGAAAAGGGACATGAAACTGGCAATCCCTGACAGGTATGGCGTGAAAAGGGCCCACATAGTCGGCAACCCGATGTTTACCAAAGAGGAGCAGGAAGAATTGATGGCCAGTGACGTGGGCCTCGACCTGAACCTCGGGATGGACTATGAGCAGATTCTTGAATACTTTGATAACCTCAAAGAGTCGAATGCTTGAAATTCAATAATGCCTGCCTAGTAGGAGCACTACTTACTTATAAAAACACACACACATAATTACATTACTTAGGTGAAACCAAAGTATATTAACACATAAATATTTACGCAAAATGAAATCCACCGATTTCGTTTGGATTGTGATTTGTTCGTTGACAGGTCTGCGGTGTGCTTATTTCCTTCCGTCTGTATATAACTCTCTACTGGAATCAAAGGGGAAATTTCGGACCAAACTGAAACTTAATTTAATCTTTTACAGTCATATCCTATTAAGACGGTGTAATAAGTATTGTTTTGCTTAAGTACAATGATTGAGAATCTCTCAGCAGGGCTTTCTCCTTTTTTTATCGTTGATAAATAGGTCGAATATATATATGAGCTTTTATCAGTTCCTAACTGGCTCGCACTGCAGTGATTACCGAGATGAAGCGTAATCAAGTATAAAAAGAAACGCAAATTTAGGCAAACTTGTTTCTAACGTACGCACGCACACATATTCTCATGCACGCAAACACTGGAATATGAACCAAATTTGGTTCCTTATCAATGGTAAAATTAATATATATTATTTAGAATGGATAGTCAATTCTCAGTCAAGCAATAGTCCAGTTCAACGCAAAGATTGTGCTACAGGCGAACTATTTCAAATAAATGGAATAACGTGACCCCTAGCAAAACCTTTGCAGTGACTATATGCATTCCAAAGAAATGGAAACGTGGTGCTTCACTTAAATGGAAAAAAAACACAGTGCAGAATATTACCTTGATATAAACTACTATGTATATAAAAGTGCTAAGCTCAAGATCTATTTGTAAAAAATTAATAAATTAAAAATAAAACAGTGTTGTTGGCACACAAAAGTGTGTCTTTGTGTTGTCAGCATATCAGTGGAGCGCATGCAATTGTGAACAAAGAGCTTTCCAATAATTATTATAAGCGTCAAAATATTGCAATGCGAGCAAAGAAAAATACCTGTGTACATTTTTAGCACCAGCTTTTGCAATCAAAACTCTCGAAAAACGCAATCCGATGAATAATTTTTCATTTCCAGTTTGATTGATTTGAAAGGCAGAAAAAAAGCATTTCACGACGGTTCCACAGTTCCTTTTTATCCCTCGGGAGTTTTGTTGCAACAAGATTAAATACGTTGACCATATGGAAATACTATATATAAATATAAATAATTGAATTAATCAAAATGTGCTTTGTGGCTATACAAGATGTGGAAAATATTAATTGGCTAATTTACACGACTACTTTCGTTAGAATACGATTACCGGTATGTAGTATTGACTGGAAGCCATTAATTAGCATTATTGATATTGGCGCGATATCATATAATTCGTAAATATTATGCAGCTAAAGAGTGTGTATGCGTGGGTGTTATTTATTATAATTTGTAACCTAGAATGCGATACCTGTGGCACCTCTATCTCAGGACATGTGTTGCGAAAAAGGGAAAACTTAATAAAAGAGCTCCACTGATAAATAATTAAAATAAATGCAAATTTCGTTTGCAGATTCTGCTCACTTTTTTGGGAATAAGTAGTACATTTTGCAGCTTCTCTTTGTAACGTCTACGGGCATTTATCTGTTATTTTGCCACAATGGGTTGTTCCTTCTAGTCTGAGATTAATTAAAATTAATGAGGTTTTTCGTGTACAATCCGTCTTCGATTTAAAAAAACAAAAATTGTAACATGCACACAAATTACACTAGTCTGATCTACCTTATTCCCGCCAAGTATGTTGTGTTAATTTAATTATTAAGTAAATTATTGTTTGTCACAAAATGCAGCCATATATCGACAAAAGGATTTTCTTTATTTTTTGTGATTTTTTTGTTCATCTAGAGATCTTGGAACAAAAGCTGATGTAAATTAAATTGTATACTTGCGTCTTTCAAGATCTTTTTATTACCATATCCAATCAAAAATATTATTGTTTAAACTGATTTGTACAAAGACATTTTTCTTTTAATAAATTGATTTTTTTGCTTTGAAAAATAAGAGCATGTTTTTTGGAGATGAAGATGGAAGATTTCAGTTCATTTCACAAATACCAAATATGCATTGATTGTATTTCATGTGCTCAAAATTTAGCGTGGCGAGAATTTAAATCTCGCTTCTTTCTTTTATACAAGTTTTTTGACTTTACAGCGTTTTTTACTTATTGATTTGTGTGAAAAAGATCTGAATTTTTTGTTTAAAAGAATATTAGATATGCATATTTATATTGTTTAATTTTTTAGCCCTAATCAATTTCGACAAACTATCCTAACAAAATTATAGTAAAATGTATTAAATGGGTGTAAACAGATCTTAATTGGACGTGCATACTCATACCAAACACCTATATAAACTTTTGGAATTTAGAGAGTAGAAAAGTGAAAATAATAAATGTTGCGTGGTGGATTGGAATCGACGGCTGTATCAGAAGTTAAAAATATCATAATTGAAACATATTAATTTCTATATATTTGAAATTATTTTTGAAACCTCTGTGGCAAATTTTATCCTCCGTGTGGGACTGAAGAGGTGCCGTTAAAAAGAAGAGTGGAAACTATCGAGACACCTCAAAAAATTATTATAAATTTATAAAGAACCAAAGCTCGATCGTCGCCACGTCAATTGTATTAGAAGAATTCCCTGCCCATCTTAGAAATTGATTTTTGTTTTATTTGAAAGAAATACGGTAAAATAAAAACTAAGGGAAATAGCGCTGTACTGAGAACCCAAACTTGTATAATGACATACATATTATATAATAAATATGTGACGGAAAGCAACTTAAATGATTTTTATTATACATTTTATCCCAAATAGAAAAATTTATATTAAAAAACTCAGGTTTGTGATAAAGAAAAATTCATAGGAATAAACTGTAGCGTAGAGAGCATGTATTTTTCTTTTTGCAATATTACACTTATAACACAACAAGCAATCATAAAACATAAGCCAATTCCAGAGCTCAAGTTGAAAGTAAAGTCCGCATTAACAATAAATTATCGCAAACAAAATCATATATATTTCCTGGTTTGAAATAATGAATTAACTCGTTGAAATTTAAATTAACAGATATATAAGCGTGGTAATCTTGCCATTGAAGGTGCTCTAAAACAACACAAGTTTCCAGGGAATGGTCTATCCAGATTTTTTTTTAGTTTCACACACTGACATCATGTATTTCATCTCACTACCGCCACTCAATAAACTCTATAACATTATTTAATATTATTCTTTGATATCCACAATATTTTCCATAGAGTATTATTATATTATTATTCTATCTCTGTTGTTTGTAACATTTTTAATAAGCGTATGCTCAGTACTGCAGTTGACTAAACTGACGATGAGGATCAAAATACATTATACCGCACTCAATTAACACCCTCTGACAGAGACAATTATTAATGAATAAAATATCTTTCTCCTAGTCAACTATTTGAAGTCGTAGAGATGATGGCAGTCATTTTTTTTTAAATTATGAAAATGCTGAAAACATCCTGCATATTCGTGTTTGATCGTCACTTTTTTTTACAAATTCAAGTCCGAAAGCAAAGTGCGTTCCCATCCGATTTTGGTCCCTACCACGCAGATTTAATTATATAATAACTTTAATTTTCTATTTTTATCTCACTGTAATTTAGTCACTAATGATCAAAATTTAACAAGTTTGAGTATTTTTTTTTCAAATATATAATTATAGTATTTAATAAGAGCATTAAAATATTTTGTTCGTTATACAATAGTAAAATGAAGAAAGCCGCAAGGCTGGAATATTCTGTACGGAGGAAATAATCGAATAATTTCATGTTTTATATATAAAATATCAGATCTTTAGTTTTTGATTAAACCAGCAAGTTTTCGAAACTCCGCAATGAGTAGACAAAACGGGTAGGCACCCCAATCACGTCCGGGACCTTAGATTACGAAGCAGGGACTCGGCGTCGTGACAAGACCAAAATTTTACAATTTTCCCAAAACCTTATAATTTTTGTATTTCAAACGTCCACAGAAATAATCATATCACGCTAATTGAAGTCTCAAGTTTTTCGGGTCTCTCAACTATCGTCATCATTGCCCTCAGAATTGTCACACTGGCACATTTTGAAGCAATCCACTGCCGTGTCATGGGCAGATTTTCGCCACCGCTAGACCATTTCTGAAAGTGTTGGGGGACGTGTTGGGACTCGTCTCAAGCGTCGAATGCTGCCACCGTCGGTCGACACCGCTTTCTGTCCAATCATATTTTTTCGCGTCGAACGGCTGCAGAGAAATTAAAAAAAAAAATGATTACTTATTTGTATGTGCAAAAAAAAGTAGTATTACATGAAGATGTTTAACTGCACCGCTCAAACAACAAAACATAATTTTGAAATATACACAGAAGCAGATTCCCCAAAAGCAAGCGTGAATTAACCTGTAACCTGTGCAATATTAAATGAAACCAAGGTTTTCTTGATTCAATATGATCATACGTTCCTTAAAAGTTGCCTTCAAGCACTTGAAGAAGAGACTTTTGTAATTTTTTTCGAGTTAAATTCAGTTAAAAATAATGCTCAAAATAATTCGCAATGACAGTATAAAAAATGTCAAATTTTGAATAGCAGAGCTACGGATATTTTCTAAATATTTCTTCTTTCAAGCCTTGGCAGAAACAAATGGTGAGAGTCAAGGTTAAATGTTGACTAAAAGTGTGTGGCATTGAAAGATAAAACTGGGCTTGCCTATTTCTTTCTCAACCAATTCATCCATCCCAAAACTCAATGCTGCTTCACAGGGCTAAAAATCAAAACGAAAATTGATATAAAATACTAGCGTCTAATGGTTATTGTTGCGGCAAATAATTAAAACCAACTGGCTAATCTGATAAATCACCTTCTCCGCCTGAGGGAAACATTTTGACCGGGGAGGCCAAAGTAGCCCCTCGGAATGACCATCCTGGCGTTTCCCTGCGCAGGTCGACTTCCTCCGTGGGCCAGCAGAGCGGACAAGTGCGCTGCGTAACCCTCGGTGAGGGGCTGCGCCAACGGCGCCTGCTTTTTCGACACCTTCCCGACTATGAAAATTTCCTTTGGTTTGAGGCCAATGCTGGAGTAGACTGTGATGTCCTTGCTGCTTCCATATGCAGCATGCACAATTAGACCGTGCTCCTGTAGACAAAAATTAAATTAATTATTTTCGAAAATGACTTGTATTTTCAATAATCCAAAATCAACTGTTTGATCTCACCTCCATCAAGCTCTTGAGGTATGCAGCTTTATGGCCAAGTGGATCAGTTGACAAGCCATCAGCAAATGATACGAGCCCGTGCGGGAAATTGTGTTGCGAGAGCCAAGAGACAACCTTCTGCTGTTGCATGTCTGGTCTTCCAGTCATGTAAATTATCAAGTAGCCAAGTTCTTGCCAATGCCTGAACGAATTTAAAAATTGAAGGCAAAATTTTTTAGACTTCAAGGAATTCTCTCACCTCACAATGTCGACTGCACCCGCTCTCACTTTCGGGTCACGGCCCGTCACAGACATGCTAGCAGTGAACGAGCCGTCAATGCTGAACACTACGCACTCAGTTTTTGGTGGCACCACAGCCAGATAAAAATCTACAGAGGTGTGATCACCTCTGAAAAAGGAATAAAAATGTTTAAATTTATGATTTTTATTTTAACTACATACATTTGATTTAAAAAAAAAAAACAAGTATCCCTAATGTTTGAGATCGTAAATTTCAGTAAAAAAAAGGAAAAAAAAGCTATAAAAATTTAAGCAAAGAAAATTATGGTAAATCATTTTATACCTCACAACCATTTTCACAGGATACATCCCATATCCTAATGCCTTCTCGGCTGGGATTGTGTACGATATTCTCCCGTGCTTGTCGGTAACTTCGGTTGAAAACAAGGTCCACTCTCCAGTGGCTATATCCAACATGATGTGAATGTCCACTCTTTCCCCTGCAATCCAGAATTAACCAATAAAATTAGGAATTTAGAATCCAAAGAATTAAAATTTTCATGTGTATACCTGCTAAGGTAATCATATCAAGGGGCCCATACATAAATCTTGCAGTCAGCATTTGCGAGGCTCCTTCAGTTACAATTACGTCATTGGCTCTGTGGTTGGCAGCCACGTTCTGCATCAATGGATGTTAATTAAATGTTTCTGGCACTTTACTCAATTCCAACCTTTAGTTTGACCGAGGTCCTCTTCTTCAACCATTTTTCTCTTGGTTGGCCTGGGTTGAAGTGGGCCAGCTCCTTGTCGTCATTGCCTAGAGTCAACGTCGGGTCCATCTGACCAACTTGGCGAATGATGAAGGCTACCACATCCGAAGATTCCCAGTAACTTGAATGGAATATGTGAGGAAGCGCATTGGTTGGGAAGTTTGAAAGACCGTCCGGACAATAAATAGCATAGTCCATACGTTTGCTGCCCCACCATTTAGAAGTCACTGAAAATGATAAATTGTTGTAATTCATGAAAAATAATTTTCTTCGCTTACAATTGCTAATGGTGTGCAGAGGAAGGGTGTCTCCGTGGCCAGAAATCCCACTCTGGATGCTGGCTTCTGAAAGGCGGCGCATGTGACCAGTGGCGCTCAGATTATTTCCACTAGTTTCGGCAAACATTTGAGAATTTGCTTGGATGAACTCCACTGCGCAACAATTTGTAATAAGCATCTAAATATTTTGCAAATCTGATGTTTTGCTCACATAAATGGTAAGGGTGGCCATTTCCAAGCGGATACTTTTGGTATCTTGCAATATTAACGGGAGGCAGCATTGAGAACCTGGCTGAGATCAGAGGCTCCAATCTTGCAGCCGCAGGATCCGAAGGGTGGAACAGGTTGTAAACTTGGTGAGATTGCGGTTTTGGAATGGGGGCTGAGTGAGAAGAATGGATTAATATTACCACTTTTGGAGGAATTCTAAAAATACCTGTTTTGTCCTCTGCCATGACAATTTTTCTGTAAGCAAGGACCAAAGAAAGAGGGGTTCCAAACATGAAGAAGTCTCCAACGTCAAAGTCCAGCTTATTTTGATCACTGAAAAACATTTTATGTTTTTAATTTTGACAATTTTCTTGAAAATGTGTTTCTTGATCTACCTATTGGACGACGATCTTCTCCTCGGTGGCGGAGCAGATAAATGCCGCTGAGTGTGTGCATCACTGTCCGCCCAGTCAGATTGAGGAGGCGCTTTTTCCTCATCATTAACACTATTGCAACTGTCATGCCTGGAATGGAACTGTGCACTGCGGCACAAAGCGTCGTAGCCCAAAATCGAGCCGATCGAGTCGCCTAGCGAAAAATTGTATTTAGTAAATTTCTAGTAAGAAGAAATTGAACTTACCAACAAAACAGATTTGGCCATTAAAACCGCGGCCTTCTTCAGATCTGGTGAACTCGTGATATGTTGAATTTGCAGTGGCGATCACTTTCGAAATAGTTTCTCGATAGTCTGGAGTTGAGGATGCAAAAAGAGGAATTGCACCAATTGGAATGGAGTCGTGCGTTATTTGAGGCGCGTCAGTACACGAAGGAGAAACATCAAAGCTGTATGGACTAAGACTGCAAAAAAAGGTTTAAATGTAATTAAACAAAATATTTCAATTTCCTGCTCAAACCTTGTTAGAATACCAAGACCTTCGGAGCAAATCGAAGGGCATGGCACAAGACGGATGGCAATGTGACCAATCATGGATGGGTAGTGCTGTCTCGTGACACACTCGAAAGCCCCAGCAAAAGTGGTAACATCAGACTTTTTTGCAGCGACATCATACGAAGCATCTGTTTTGTATTAAAATTTACCAAAATTTATTAAATGAAATTAATACAATTACCTAAAACACTTCCAGCATGGAGGACTAGAATTAATACAGTAACATTGCAGGGCTGGTGGGCTGGAGACGAAGACATAGAAGCGGACATTGATTTCTCTAAACGTGCAGAATTTTGCCCTCGCTCGCTTACAACACGCTGGAGGTACGAGTGGCTAAAAATGCTATCTGCAAGTTTAAAATTAACCATTGTAATTGATTGTGGAAGAGAAACAAAAAAATAATCGACCTTGCTCTTTGTAGCTGGTGCCACGAATACGCGCGGCTTCAGCTTCATCCACTGAAAAGAGTTCCATTGAGCTCCATTTCGCTAAAGATGACATACTATTGCCTAGCTCCTCTGCGAAAAGCAAAACTTAAGTTTAACTGGCGCTACAAATGAGGGTGATTAAAAATACGTTTTCTTTTCATCATCAACGTACTTCTTAAATGAATTCATAAATAATTAAATTGATTGTGAATGAAGATGGTTTTCTAGCATTTGAACTTATAAAAAAACTCAGGCCCTAATTACTTTCAGCTCAAAGCCAAAGCAGAAGTAAGAAGTTTCATTTACCTTTACAATCAAAGAATTCCTCTTCACTACCCGAGTCGGAGTCTCGCACAATGCTTTCCATTCGCCAACAAGGCATTTGAGCTTCAAAGCTCTTGCCTGAAACGGCGCCAGGCGAGCTCAAAGCCATTTTTGAGCTGCTCCTAGACCATGTTTTTTTACTCTTTGAAGTCGTCGTAGCTTCGGAAAACGAATTGTCTTCGGCGGTGGTGGCGTCGTCATCCTTGCTGTCGGATTCGGATTGGATCGCCAGAGGGGTGGGATTCTCTATGCTGCTCATCATGGTTGGTGACGCTGCTTTGGAGCTTTGGGCCTTGCTGACGTCCTCATTTAACCCGCCACTGTCCTCTTCGTCGTCCTCCTCGTCGGCATCATCGCCCTTGCCCATTTTCTTCTTCAGCGCCTCCTGCGTTTGCCGCTCGATCTGTCTAATGTCATCCATGGTCAGTCCGTGCCATTCATCTTGCCAGACCCACGCTTGTGTGTGTGCTTTGAACATTGTTTTTCTAAGGGCTATAGAGGGACCAGTTAAATTCTGTATACAATATTTGTTTATTTACTAACCAACATCGTGGATGAATTTTTCGATTTTGCTCTGCATTCCCCAATATCTAAATTCAACTTTGCACAGTTTGTAGGCACACATCAAAGACTTTCCACTTGCGGTCGGTTGAGTTTTACCCTGGAAAATTAAAATTTGTTCAAAATGTTGTTTTTTTCTCATTAAAATAAAAATTTTACGGCACCTTCACATCCTTCCAATATTCTTTCAGCCAATTTTCAGACAAAGGCCCACGATGGGTTTTCTCTGAAATAAAGAATTTTGGGTCCTCCTCTCTGCTAATTTCGCCTTGGTACATCTGCTGATCTTTCACCACATCAATCAAATCTTAAAATTATTTTCAAGTTAGAAATGTTACAATTTAAGTTTGACTAAATTATACCAACAGTCCTGTTGCGTTTTTCACTGCTGTTCAGGTTAAACACATTTTCTTGGTTGCCGTCGTCGCCAAAATAATAGGTTTCAATTTCTATCGAGAACTTTTCGACAAATGGAGTGGTGTATCTTGTCTTCGTGTACGGGTAAGCGTTCCAAGCCTCCTCTTCGGCGGTGAGAGCCGATTTGGGCAGGAGACTTTTGAACCAGCCTGTTGGACGTAAATATTAAAATTGAACTTTTAAAACTTCAAAAGAATAAATCGAATAATTTATTTGAAGGTTAAAGAAATTTAAGTTTGCAGTAAAAAAAAAAAAGTTTTACCCGGAAGATGACTGCCGACATGGTAAATTTTCTTGGTGTACTGCCCACTTCCTCCGGGTCCATTTTCGTAGGGTTCATTTATAATAATTTCTACACCACTTCCTTCGCCATGACTCTCTTCGCGACTTTTTTTCTATGACATGAAAAGAGTAGAATATTAGTATTTTGCAGTATTGCGAATAAAATTCTGATTTATCAGGAAAAAATAAATAAAAATTAATCAAATTAGTCATTTCTTTATCGCCTTTTTCTATTTTAATCCACGTTTTATTTTTGTAAAAAACTCTGACATTGATTTTTTTCCTGTTGGTTGGCTACACAACCTCAAAAATTATAAATAAAAAATTTTTGCAGTTTTTTCATCCTTAATCTGCCTGATTGTTATTTTAGTTTTCTTTTAATATTTAAAATATTTTTTTTTTTAATTAATTAGAATTACTCTAGAGTTCACAAAATTAAGAAGTACTCACCGCTATCATGTACAGTTGAGCTATTCTATATTCATCCACGGTGAGTGGAAGCGGAATGCGATACTCCTTTATCAGCATTGTGGTGCGTGCGAAAGTCACTTGTAGCTATTGCAGGAAGACACAATCATACTGCCAACACATTCCTGTCAACAAAATGAAATCACTGTTTATATGATATAATAAATCGCATTTTTGTTTTTAAAGCGCAAGAAAGTTGCGTAAATATTTTGCTCAAACATTAATTGAAAGTGTTATCCAAATAAATTAAAAAAAAAAACTATTAATTTTGCAAGGCAAATTTTGGTTGACCTACGAGCCCTGGAAAGCTTTCAAACAGAGGCGTTTGCCGATTTTTCAAAAAAAGTCGCTAAATTAAACCGCAGGCCATTAATAAACACTGAATGTTTCAAAATAAATAAACTCTCGTCCGTGTACTCCGTATGAGAAGTAAATATTTACTTTAGCAGCTTAACAAGTTGGATTTAGATTGCTCAGGCAAAGTGGAGATTGGGCTTCATTAAATAGAAATGAAAAAACTCAAGGTCTAAAAGTTATAGAAATTAAGCACTCAATAAAGTGACTTCACAATTATATTTTGTTATCGAATCCAAATATTGGCCCGGGCAGCAATTTATCACGCAGGCGTTTCCGACTTGTCACTCTCGTTATATTAAAAGGCGATAAATAGTCTTGTCGCACCACACGGAGCATCCACTTGTTTTCTATTTCTACCCATTGTCTGTGTAATTGCCGATAAATAATACTTACAATTAGCACTGAAGAACTACAACAGAGAAATAACAACGTTCTCGTCTAATTTGTTGAGTTGATCGGAAAAAGAAGGTTTTTTTTAATTTTTAGAGGTTTTTACTGAAACTGTGCGAGAAACAACTTGGCTTTAAATAATGGAATACAAACCAAAATTTTGACTTTTAATAGTGAAATTAATTTTAAAATGGCTCAAAAATTAATCTTTGTGTCACGAAAAATAGAAAAACTCAATAAAAACCCGGAAAATTAGGGCAAACAGAGAAAAATAACTGACCTGGATCGCGATTTCGCCCAATTCCAGGGATCATCACTTCAGCTTTTTTGTAATTTTTTAAATTCCTGTTGTTTTCGAATTTAAATCAATAAGAAAATTAGGTCTCCATACCAAAAGCCCCACATGCAGAAGCTCTGTATTTTATACTTTTCGCGAGGTTTATCACTCTCTATCCTTGAAGTGGGCAAGAGTATGGTTTCTCGCAGCATTTTGAGCCCTTGACAACACTGCTCGGCACTTTAAGGGTTGCCTTGTGGCTATTTTCAACTTGTGCACACTTTACACCGCACACCGACTCTCTCGCCTCGTTTTGGGGGAAATTTTTAGCCCTCGCAAAAACAAAAAAACAGTTCTCCCAAGAAAAACAGAGGGAGAGGAAATTTACGAGTTTGGCCCAGAATTTCAGTTCACATTGTTAATTTTTCGTTCCGAAATAGCATTCATTGCACTGTTATTTTCGCCGACGAAAGTGCTCCACGCTGAGGAAACCTCGCAACTTCACAAACATTGGTGACTGCAGAGCTTCCATGAAAAATGCATATATTTGTGTCGGATTAAAATGAAGACCTCGATTAATTTTTTGCTCCAATTAAAAATTCAAGCATGAAAATTCAATCCGCTTATTTTTTATTGAATTAAAGACTATATCAAAGGTTCAATTTGCTCCACGAAAACTGTTTTGATGTTTTGATTACAAAATTTTAATGTGTAATTTTACTTTTGATCAATTATTCAAAATAGAAAAGCAAAAGGTTCAACATAAAATATTAAAAAAGGCATAAAAAACTGTTGAAATTTTAATTTATCAAAGACGATATTTGAATAGGAAACAATGATGACGAAAATTAACAAAAATATAGTAAATAATAAATCACGTTGGAATTATTTATATGGAATAATAAAAATAATAATAACACAAGTATAAACAAATTACTCTTCTCAAGGAATTAAAAGAGGCTCAAAACAACGTGATTGAAGGAAAAAGTGATTTTTTTATAATTATTATATGAAATAATTAAAATATTTAATTTAAGAAAAACAATTAACTTAAAATTATGTAAAGCTGAAAGAATTAATTTTTTAAAACTTAACATTTCCCAGTTCAATCCGGGACTTTTTCAGTTTATGAGCTTTATATTTATTTACTGCTCAAGTATCGTGACAGATTTCTTCAAAGTTGCAACTGGAAAGCAAATTTAATCCTGTATTATTTTCACCGAAAACTTAAATTACATGGATTTTTTTAAAGAGAGCAGAATAATTTGACCTTTTGAAATTTTAAAAATTTCAGAATAATAATCCAGCAACTTCATATTATTAACAACAATCGCAATAATTCCAAAAACACTTTTCAATTAATAATTCTAATTATACATCCGAGGTCAGTAATAGCGCAAAAAGTTATATAGGAAAATTCCGATTTCCTGCGGAACTATATAAAGGTCAGACAGTCATGGCAAAAACTCAATGCGGAAGTTTTGCTCCCCTGGTGATATTTTGCTCCTATTAACAAATCGATGTATAATTTTGTCAGTTTCCCGAATAATATAAACTTTCAGAAATCAAAGCATCAAATGAAAAATAGATCAAAAAGTGCGAGGGAAAAATTTGAAAATCTCGCACTGGACGAAAGACGCATTATACGTGGTACGGGATTCATATAATCAGATTTGAGCCCTGCGGACGAGGAAGAAGGAAGTTGCGCTCCTACCTGACTTGCTTGGCATTGGCGAGGAGTTAATCAGTGCACTGGTTGCATTGTCACCACGAATAATAATCGTTCTGGGCCAGCAACACGTGTGTCCTTTAGATAAACTGCAGCGCGAGGAGCAGCGTCCGCCGAGCATCCAGGCCGACTGGGCGACGAAGAACAAAGAGACGAGGCCGCCGTGCCTCTTCTTTCTCGCACTCACTCGGCTGTTTACATTTGCAGCGAGGGCAGCAAGAATAAAAGACGAAGACGAAGAAAAACCTCGCTGGCCGACTTGCAATGTTGATCAGCGAGAATTATTATTGCGAAGAATAGCAGCGAGCGCGGAGCCACCCCTCGCGCGCAGGCTCCAATAACTCCAGGCCTGCCTGCGTGTTTCTTCCCCTGGTCCCCTCTCGACACCCCCGCTTTTCCAGGCCAACAACTTCCTCCGGGCCCACCTGCCCCCGCAAAAAAAGTTGCCCAAAATTGTAAAAAGTCCAAATTCGGAACTATATTCGAGACTATTTTTATTTCGGAATTTTCTTTGATGGAAAAAAATGATGGTGGAAAAAAAATTATGCTGGTTTGCAGTTGGCTCGGCAGAAATCGATGCACCGCGCCTGGCTGTTCTAAATGTCAAAGGTAACGTGCCAAGGGATGACCCCGCCTTGCCAATTACACGAGCTGCGCAGAGTCTATCCCCACGAGAGAGACGTTTTGCCCATTTGTTTTTATCACCATAATCGTAATTGGTTAATTAAGCTCCCCAGTATTTAAGCAAACTCGCTTTCAACGGAAAGAAATGTTTACGAGAAGAGAGAAAGGAAAATATTCTCGCGATCAATGTGACCTAGAAATGAAAAGAGCCAAATACGAGGACCTCAAATAATTAATTTCATTTTTTAGTGAGGAAAAATCTACAGTTAATTTTTTTTTTAAAGAAAGTCATTTTCAAATAATTTAAACTGACAAGCAAAAGGCAATTTAAATTGGTTAAAATCTAAATCTGGAAGAATAAAAAATTAAATTTATATAAATGAATTAATGGAATCTAATCAGCAGTATAGGAAACAAGGAACAATTCCCAGACTTGTTTTGATGAGGAAATTTAGTTATTTCTTTTTTTTATTCTTTAAATGCGATTAAATTTAAATAAACATTCTTCACTTAGACCAAAAAACATACAAAAGTTTTGATTTTGCCCCCCAAAAAAATTATTTAATTTTAAACTTGTCGATCCGCTTCAACTTTCAATCAAATTGTTTAAAATATGATTGAATGAGACCAAAAAGTAATTTTTTAAATCAAATTGCTAATTAAAATACTTCTCATTAAGCACCTGAATTTTTCATTTTTTTTTCTCTTCCTCATTGCAGCACCAATGCAAATATTAATAAATTCCGAGATAATTTTATTATCTCTCGGCTTGGAACGCGCGATAACAAAGCAATTCAATAAAGACACGAATAAAATTGCTCTAGACCCTGACCTTGTTATATCCTGACCTATCTCAAACCCGCACTTTAGTTAATTATTCATAACCTGCCACACTCTTTCTTGGAAAATTTAATAAATAGAATGGATAATTAAAGTAAATTAGTATTTTGCGTGCTTAGACCTAAACAGTCTGGACACGATGTCAAGTACATTTCCTTTCTTTTAAAATTCAATTAGCTGAAATTTCTCTACCAGCAGGAGGTGTCTGCAAAAACAACAAGTGACTTGAGCTTTTGTCAAAAAACAAGTTTCATCCGTAGGTTCAGCCCCCTCTTTAATCTTTCTCTACAAGGTCTGCGCAATGAAATACTGATGAATTTTCCAAGGGAAACACAAGAGGGTGAACGGAGAATTTCAGGATTTTCACTAGAACTGGAATATCTTATCAAGTTGCGCTTGAAAGTCACGTTTCTTAAACGTGAAAAAGCCCTTTCCAAAGGTGGTGCCTAGAATCGAGGCGTTTGCAACCCTTCGACGTGCCAAATTACTCACCGTTCTTTCAAACAAGTTGGACAGGAAGTCGATTAACATCGTCAATATTGTCACTGTCATCAAAAGGTCACTGTCAACAGTTGCTGTTGTTTATCAGTCATTCAAGCCATGGTGCCATATTGATTCGCACGTAAATGGACCAGAATCCATTATTATTGTTTTCGACGTTTGAAATTCGCGCCAATTCGCGACTCTCGTATTTTGCTATTGATTTCCTCCCCCACCACTACTTTTTTTAAAAGGGCTGTTGCGGCTTGGTTGCGGCAGGTGTTTTGGGCTGGGAGTGGCCTTGTAGTGCGTTACATCTGGCCAAGGTCATTGACTGAATGTTGCCATATTCTTTTTGCACATTAGAGGCGGGGGTGGGACCGACGGAGAATTTTGCAAAAACAAGCGCCCGCATACAACAAAACAAGCGTTTTGTCGATGTGCAAAAAAGTTTGAGCTTAATTATCTGAAGATTTTCTTTCGTACATAATTGAAGAAGAATGGATTTTCTAAGCTGTCGAGCAGGTTTGCTTTGAAGGCGAACGAGTGATGAGGCCGCGGTCATAAACATTCATGACGAAAAGATTTTTCATCGATTGACCCGCGGATGACCCAACTAGATTGCTCCCTTCCGTGGTCGGTCTGTTTCTGGGCGTAACTTTTCCGCCCCAGTCCTTAAATAACCACAAAAGCAGTTCCTTTCGAATTCGATTTTTGCATGCTATCGTCGAGCGAACATGACTCCTTCGTGTTGTGCCACCCCAGTCGACCCCGTCACCAGCACAACCCTCGCAAGTGCCCGAACCGACTCTAGAATTTAGGGTAATGAAGAGCGATAAGGTGAGTTGTTTTCCTGCGAAATTAAATAAAATTCCTTTAAAAACGCGAATGAAATTTCATCTGCGCAGAGCCTTTTTCAAGAAAATTCTCCGGAGAAGAAAAACCAGTCTTGGATCCAATGAAGCGCCCTTGTACGTCTGCAGTGATCAGTGCCCTTGAGACATCAACATGCCGAAGTGTGCAAGTTCTGCTCTTGATCTCGGCCTTCTTCCACAGTTGTATGTGTTTTAAAATTTAATTATATTCATAAAAATATTTTCATAAATTATTTAATTAAAAAAATTATTTGGAACTAAAAATTATATATTTTTTTTTAATAAAAAAATAAAATTTTTTATTTTAATTGTAGATCATGCTTTGGAGAAAATTCACCAACTCACAGCAGACCTCGGTCAAAACTTGACCCTTCCGTGCAAAGACCCAGGTGACGACGAGACTTTCAACTCAGCAAACGTCGAGTGGATTTTCGAAGGCACTTCCGTCAAGGGCAAAAGACAGAGCAACCGTATCAGGCCAGATGGGAGTCTTGCCTTGGTACAACTGCGGGTGGAAGACGCAGGCATTTACGAGTGTTCCGTTGAACCTGATGTTGCAGCCAGAAATAGATTTAGGGTCAATGTGCGAAGTAAGATCAATATTCATTATATTTTCTCCAAACACAATCAATTGAACTAAACTTATCATAAAATTATTATTTTTATCAAAAAAGATAACAATTGAATTAAATTCTTGCAAATTAGAAATTAAAATGGAATAACAAAATTACAGCTCCGCCTCCAGCGTTGGTGAATGTTTCTGTCGAGCCGTCTTCAGTGCTGGCATTGTTACTCTGGAGTGTCTCTGATGACGGAGGCTACCCAGTTCTGCATTTTGAAGGTCGTTTCAAACTAAAGTATGAAAAAGATATCTGGCACCCAATCACCCCAAAAAACATAGCGCCCAATGTGGTAGGTGAAAATTTAGACCTAAGCCCATAGCACGCCCAAAACCGACCTTGTTTGTGATTAAACCTTAATTTGGTCAATTGATAATAAATATTAATAGAATTCCACAAACAGCCTTGACTGTTTTAGAAACTTTAGAATTAACTTGAAACTGATTTTCCCTTTAATGCTTTTAAATCTTGAAAAGCCTCTCATGACCCTCATGCTTACTAACTTGCTGATGTTTACAAAATAAAAACTTAAAAAAAAAAGAAAAGAATAGTGCTTGTGGCTGCAATTTCTAACTTGCATCCTGCACGCAGCGCCAAATTGATGTCTACCACCTCCATCCAAACTCAACTTATGTGTTCCAAATTTGGGCTACCAACCAACTTGGGCCAGGGGAACCTACTGAAAGGGTGGCTAAGACCCGTCATGATGAGGAAGAGATTGGTATGTTTGGTTCGGCACAAGAATCACGAGGCTGATTTATGAAATTCCAGAGCTCGCCAAACTGCTGCTGGAGGGAGCCGAAACTTTTGATACTCGGATTTGGGTTGGAGCCGTTGTGATTGTGATGGGTACTCTGGCCATGTTGGCTGGCGGAACATTTTATTTGCTGTACAAAGAATGCAAATTCTCATCGCGTAAGTAAATTTTAAAATGCAAGTTTGCAAATTAATCATTTGAACTTGAACACAATAATCAATAAGATTAATTTTTATTTTATTATTTGGCAAAAAATATAACGAGCTATTTTTTTCAGTTTTCAGTGATGATGACGACGATGAGGTGATAGAGCTGGTGCCGAACATTATTTTAAACCCAGCCTATTACGTCGAGCCACTGGAACTGGACGAGAATTTCAACGACCACTTTGCAATGCGAATGAACAATAACACTGTCATTCAGCCGGTGCGTGTTTGACCCTTCAGCCACCTTCGGAGCGGTAATTGGTGATTTGCTGTAAGTTGATTGAAAAACAATTTAGAAACGCGCCGTACTTGTTCAATTGCTGTATTTGCGTGAATTTAGAAAGAGACGAGCCAGGATAGCGCAAGCAAGCAGATCAAGCAAGGTTGTAAAAAAAATATTGTTTGCCTATCAAAGAGACGAAACCGATAAGACTTAAGAGCAACAACTGCGCTAATAATTATGTTTCTAGCAGTTTTAAAATGCTTCTTAGTGCAGACGAAAACGTAAAACTGGAAATTAGGATATAAAACTGATTGTGCGTAAATTAGGTAATAACGTAATTTAGAGGCAAAACGCCCCAAGGTGTTCGAGACGCAACAGACGCGAAAATAATAATTTTTGCCTGGTCCTGTTTTCCTCGATCCAGCAGGTGATACTCAAAAGCAGTTCCGTAAAATGCCTTTATGAAGTTCAGGGAGAGTTTTGTCAAGTTAAAAAAAAAGAGAAAAGGTTAGCTGCTGATTATTTTCGAACATTAATTTCTGCAAATCTAGAGTTCATTTTCTGATTTTTGAGAATTTTTTAATATTTAAAATTTAGCAAACAAATTTAGTTGACATAACATTTTTTAAATTATTTTGTATTTTCATGCCTCTGAAAATTTGCAATAGTTGCACATATCGTACATACTTAGATTGCAGCATCAATTTTAAATGTTGATTGAAAAGTACTTAATTGGAATGAGTGTTAGGGCCGCCCTGAACAAATTTTCGCGTCTTGGGGCATTTGCAGTTACACACCCTGTTGAGCTGTCAGTGTTAGGAGTAGCCATACGTGAATGTAATTTGTGTAGAGTTATGATGTCTGTGTCATAACATTTGACTTAAATACTGTCTGTGGGATTTTAAAATTGTCGAGGCCACTCGACAAGCTTGATGTCTCAACGCTACGTAACTATTTCTCTTTACTTTCCTACCCAAGAGTGATATTAATGCTTCTGAGGAAGCCTGATCTAATCTATGCCAACTTGCCGAACAACGTTTTCTTACAAATAAGTGCATTTTTCTTTTCCTTTTGCTCAATATTTGTAATTCTGGTTCAAATGATTTTTTCGCATTTTTTTTTCTAACCTACGAAATGTTGAATGTTGTTGCAACTCTTATACTTCACACATAGAAAAATTAAGGTGGCCATTTCCCAGCTCTGCAATTAAACATGCTCATCCCACATTTTTTATCCCGCTGCGAAAAATGACGTTAGAAAGCCCCTGAGTTTTTGTGCTGCACAACAAACTGGGGTTTCCAAGCTCAAAGTACCAATGTGATGAAGCTAGGATATTTTAAACAATCTTTTTGAGTGCTTCAAAATGTTCAAAACCGCAGTCAGCATAGGTGCTGTTGGCCTATGGACTTGTTAAGATGGAACTGCCTCTTGAAAACAAAATAGCCGAAGTAGCTGGTTAGGCGCCGCAACTGCCCCCACGCTCCCCATCTTGTGTTTAGTGCTGAGCATAAACTTAATTTATTGTTCCTTGCAGATATAATCACGCTGAAATATGCAAATTCGTTGGCTTATTTCAATTAACAAAATTGTTAATATCAAAATTATAATTTTAATCTCTTCATTGCAGAATATATTGTTTATTACTTTTTTTAATGCCTGAAAAGTCTGATATAAACAAATAAAACATTACGAACAACTACTAGAATTGGATGCCCCAATTCTGACCATGAAAGTCTGGGAATAAATGAGCAATAATAATTTGAAAAATTTTGGTCATGCATAGAATCGTCTCCAAACAAGTGCAGGAGTTTTTTGCTTTCACTTATTTCATCTGAAAACTTGTGCTGTGTAAAAATATTTGAAAATTCGCAAAAAAAAAAAAATATCAGAAAAAGTAAATAATTTGGATTGTCTCCACTAATATGCATAATTATATTAGTTTCATAATTATTATAATATGTTTCTTTTTTTACTTTTTATTTCGTGTCGCTCAACATTTGAAATTTTGAGCATGTTCAAATATTTGCACACAAACAACATCAATACGCGGAGCGCGCTAACGATAGTTAAAAAAAATGCTTCAGTCTTTAAGTCTCGCATTCTTTTTTAATAGTTGCTCATAAGCGGAGCTGGATTATTTTATAGCAAAAATAACAAACGTTTGCTTTTATTTCAGAACCAGTTAAAAAATAAATATTTAACTACTTTTTTATAAAATGGTGATAAAATTTTCAGCATTTTTTTAATTTTTTTGAGATTTCAAATAATTTGTCCTTTTGGTCGCAAGCAGAAAATATTAAAAAGCATTTTTACAAATTAAGCAATTTTTAAGGTGGGCAATGCTCGTTTAAGTTTCATCACAAAATAATCATTTGATGTAAGAATAATGATAGTAAAAATGATTTGCTGTCATATCAAGGCGCCTTAACGTAGCAAAGGATGTATTTTTATGTGCTTGAAAAAAAGTAATCAACGTAGAGCTATTTGTATGACTCAATACGCAGCTAGCGCTCATTTGATTCATGATCAACTCACTATGTCATTCCTCATCAGATTAAAATAAACGAAAATTTCATTGGTACGAAAAAACATCAGCAATATGTGATATTTGTTGAATTGTGTGTTCAGCACGGGCAATGCATTAATTTAATGTTAAATTTGTATGATAGCGGTAGAGGTGGAATCGAAACGAGATGATCATGCTTTTTAGTCAAACGAAAAGACTTTTTGCATCACGGCTGCGATCATTTATTTAAAAAAAACAAAAATGCGCGGCAAAGCAAACTGAGAAATGGTTGTTATTCGAAAGCAAAATTGATGTATGTACTTGCAGCTCTTTTGTCAACGAGGATTGTACTGATTGTGAGCAAAAATGTGAATAATATTAAATTTGGAAGACCCATGTGTATCTAATATTGGTGTTTTTTAATTAATTTCTAGCAAATTCATTTTTTTTTTGTTAATTTTTTATTTAATACAATTTTTTAAGTCAGTCAGATAATATTGTATTTAGATTTGAACAGATTAAAAAAAAATTAAAATAATTGATGGAAAAGCACACAAATATGTAGCAGATGTGATTAAAATATTTGTTTGATTGAAAACAGATTGAAAAAAGATTAAACATAAATGAAGCGAACTTTAAACTTTTTTATAATAATATAAATTTTTTGGGTAATTTATTTGAAAGTATCAACAAAAATTAAAAGTTATTTATTTTTATGTTATATAAGTTAAATAAGACAGAAATTAAGCGATTTTAAAGTTTTTTTTTAATTCAAATTTTTTGGTACAATTATATTTTAAATTATAGCAAAATAAAAAAATTAATAGCGTACGTTATTTACATTATATATTTAATTGAAAAAAGACAATAGATAAAAAAAAAAAAATGAAGCGAATTTTAAAATTTTTTTTTTTTTTATCATAAGATTATTTTTGGTATTATTTTTTTTTTAAATATGCAAAAAAATTAAAAGTCTCCAGTTAAAAATAAATATAATATAAATAAAATTGCTTTATATTCGAACATAATTAATAATTTATAATTAACAATTACAAATTTATCACACGCTTTCACTCTCGCGATTTAATTATTATTGCCTTTTCTTGAACCTCCTTGAGCACTTGAATCGTGATACAAAAACATCTGATCAGCGATCGCAGTGTTTTGGTTGCGTGCTCGGGTGGCGTGTGGTCGATTTCATTGGGAAAAAGTGAGATTTTGAATATCCACTGATGTCCTTTCAGGACTAAATTTTGCACACAGGTACGCGATTCTTCAAGGTGGAGGTTGCAACTTTTCCAACTCTATCGATTCGCACTTAAAAATGGTGTGCAAAAAATATGGTACGAGTTTGTCCAGTTTGGTATGCCATGGGCAAAATACTTGTCTACACCACTCCCGATAGCTGCGTATAAAAGAATAAAAAAATATTTTTGAATTTGAATTTTCAGCGAAAGAAATATAATATTTAAATGGTAAAAATTGTGGTTTTAAACTTATTTTATTATTAAATTCATAAAAAAAATTAAATGACAAAATGCAAACGTTGTTTATTTGTTTTGAACTATTCTGGTAATTTATTATTATTATTTTTATTTTAGATGGCTCAAAATCAAGAGCAGCTGTACTCGCAGCTATTGGTTCGTCTTCGGTCACATTCCTACAAAGATGTCATAGACGCGTTGTCCGACATCCGGGCGCTGCTGCAACACAAGTCCCCTGTGGAACTGGCCACAAGTCTCAGGGTCGTCGGAATCACAAAAATTTTAATCAAGATTATTCAAAAGAAGTACAGCAGAATCATGGGTCTTGCCCTGAGCATTTTGAGCACCTGTGCGTTGGAGTTGGAGACAAGAATTTTGGTAGCTTTTACTGAATTAATATGCAAATATACGAAAACAGAATGATTATTTTTTTTCAGCTTCTGAGGACTGGAGTTCCAAAGCTGTTGATGAAAATTAAAGATGAAATTTCAAGTGAATCAGTCCATTGCAGAGTGTGTCGTTTCATCGGGAATCTCGGCTCTCTGCCTGCTGCCTCCATGGAATTTCATGCTTTTGGAGCTGTGCCCTTTTTAATGAAAATCATTGACGGCGGTGAAAGCAATAAGAACTCAGCCGAAACCAAGCAAATGGCCATCAGAGCGTTGAGGTATTTTCTTAATTAACAAAATTGCATTTTTTAAATAACCTCTGCTATGTTTAAAAAAAAATTAAATAGGGAATTATAAGTTTTTTTTTTATATACTATTTTAATAATTCAACAGAGTGCTTGGAGACACCAGAGAGCATAGAGCTGAGCTTCTAAGGCAGGAAGTTGCCAAGCAAATTGCAGAACACCTGGTTTCCGACGACGAGCAGCTGATTCGATGCACTTTGAAGACTTTGAATGCATTTTGTGCAACCACTGATGGTGCTCTGCAAGTAAAAAGTTTTTCTTCTCTCTTTACCACTTTTTAATTTTTTTTTATTTAATCAGGTTATGTCCTCACGTTCGGGACAAGGATTTGAGAATTTGGTGCGCATAGCCAAGTCTGGTCCTCACTCCGAGCATGCCATATCGTGCATTTGCAATATGGCAAATGTCGAAGCGGTTCGACCCGATTTGGGAAAGGTCGGTGCAATCTCTGTTATATTTGACGAGTTGAAAAAAAATGGATCCAAATCAGGTAATTTATTTCTGTCAAAAAAAAGTACCTTTAAACTATTTATATTTACACTAGAACCGAGAGCACTCATCACCGCCCTTGACCATTTTTGCCACGAATGCGTCAACCGAATCCGAATCAAAGACAACAACCATTTTCCCGACTTGTTGGACCTTTTCCGAAGCACCAAGTTTATTCACCTTCACGACATAATCCTCAGAGCCATGGGACGTTACTTGTATGACGAAAAGTGTCTCATGTTGATGGTGGAAAATGGTCTTGTCAAGGTGCTGGTGTGCAAAGTGCGGCAGTACATCCGGACACTCGCCCCAGTCATTCACTGCTTCCGGCCCGAGCAAATCGTTGTTGTCGACAGTGACTCGGACATTGAAAAGTCACCGATGCAGTCGCCCAGTCCAAGCCAGTCACCCAACTACTATGGTCCTTCTAGTCCCTCAACAAGCTCCTTCCGCTTCTCACCCCTGCGGAGTCCCTCCGAGCCGAGCATCAGTGGATGGAGCCCTGCATACAGTTCATCGTCTCTTGCTGATAATGAGAATGAAACTTATTCTCCAGTTTATGATGAAAATAGCGATGACGAGGAAGACGAATATTTGGCACTCCTAGGCTCAGACGACGAGGATAGTACCTCAGTTGAAAGGAGTCGAGTAGAGTCTCGACATCCGTACATAACCAGTATTTTCAAAATGCTCCACCGTATATCCATGTACGATTGGTCCATTCCCGAACTAGTTTCTCCAAGGCTAGTGAACACGATGATGGCCTACTTAATTGTTGGAGAAATGTATTCTCCGGAAGTATCGTCGACCTTGTGCAATATTGTCAGGTATTTTTTTTTTTTTGCCAGATTTTATTCAATTTGATATAATCATAAATTTTTTACTTGCCAGGAGACAAGAGTTCCTCCTTCCGCTAATTCGTCAGAGATTTTCAATTCTGGTGTACAACAAACTAGGAGTCTGGAAACACAACGGAGACTGCAATATCTGCCGCAAAAAAGAATCGACGGCAAAGAAAATTTTATCAGAAATGGTTACCATGACCGACTCATTATGCTCAAGAGGAGAGTTGTCCTACCTTCTCCAGAAAGGCTCGCACAGTGAGAAAATCTGCGTCGCGCTATCCATTCCATACATCATAAGGTTTTGTCATGTAATTTAATAATTGTTCATTTATGAAAATATAATTCTTACAGGTCTGTGAATAACTTCCAAGAGCTTCTCTTCAGTAAAGAGCAAGAGGGACTTTCTCTGATTCTGGACCTCATCAACGACCCGACAGAAATGTCCGCAGCCATTCAGTCGCTCTCCGTTCTGTCAAAAATCTTCCAGCTCAAACCCACCTCACCTGCCCCAGTGCAAACCACAATGCTCCTTTTCGACAGCTACACTCCACAACCAACTCAGCCAACTAACATCGTCACCTTTAAATTGGACGACGACTCTCTTGTCAAGGCTGACAAAGACGCACTGGGCGACGCTTCCGAGTATTTCACCTCCATGTTTTGTGGTGGTTTCAGAGAGTCCAGGGAAAATGTTGTGCGGCTCAAAGAGACCAGCAAAGCGAGTTTGATTTTGCTCCTCCTCTACTCGAAAAGCTATGTCAGCGACTGCGAGTTGACCGTCACCAAGCCCGAGGTCACCGACGTTCTCGATCTGCTGATAATCGCCAACAAGTTTCTCATCTTGGATCTCAGCAGCAAACTGAGAGACTATCTGAAGATTAATTACTACAACGCTGAAGACTTGGCACCCATAATTTTGTGGTGCCATGAGAAGATAGACCTGAACTTGGAGGACGAGGTCGAAGGGATTTATAATGATGCCTGTGCCTTCCTGTTATCCGCGAAAATCAACTTGCAGCAGCGCATACAAGTTTTCAAGGCGATTCTCAGAAATCAGCCCTTGTGGGAAAGACTGCGGGATAGCATTTACACTACGCTGTGGACCACCCTGAAAACTAAATTCCAACCTGATATACCTCTGCAATTGTTCATTAATTGAGTAAAGAGCGCCAATTTAAGTCATTTTTTGACTTTTTGATATATAAATTTCTGGTTTTTCTTCTCTGTAAATTTGCTACACAAAATATTCTGAACTGCTCGCTTATAATTTTATTATTTCTTTTGAATGTGGATGATTTAACAGATTTTGAAAAAAATATATATATATATATATATATATATATTCATTATTTATTTATTCTCCATTTAATTACACGAATTAAAATTCAAGTTGATAAAAATGAAAAATTTAATTCACGCCTGCAGCCTGTTCAGAGTCTTTGCTGTTTTTAATAACAATTAAATCTTTCAAGCACCCTTCGCGATTTTATTTTTGGCGCCACTCCTTAAGGGGAACGAGTGCGAAACTCCGCCCCTTCTTCGCTTCCGAATCAAAACAAATGGGTGACTGTCGTGTTTTGTCTGGCCCGAGTGCGCAGGGCGTGGGGCACCTCGAGGGGAAGACGAGCATGCACAGACGAGTTGATACAGTGCATCGACCCCTGGTATGTGTCAACTCCGGTCTGTTTACCAGTCGCTGAGTTAGAATTGCGTCCACCAATCAGAGTGGGGCTTTCGCGCAGAAACCGCTCGCCATTGGTCGGCTCGGGGATTTTACTTTTGGGATGGGAGGCAGCATCGGGAGAAGAAAAGCAATCACCCGACTACGATCAAATGTCCGTAGTTAGGCGCTAGGGCGACACAAAATGCAGTGCCGAGACTGAACCGATGCGTTTTTATCCAATTTGCATTCGAGAGTGAATATTCGTGGGTGAGTAGGAACGTCGGGACGCGACCAAAAGATTCTTCTCCCTCTTTTCAGACGAATTCGAATTCAAAACGAGTCATTCGGGTGAAAATTTCAGAGAAAATGCTTCTCAAACATCGCGGCATTGAGCCGAGAATCAACGTGCTGGGCTCGCACGCCGCTCAGAAAATGGCAAAATTCGGCCGATTGTCGGTGCAAAGGTTCGAGGGATGAATGAAACTTGCGTTGCTTACGTCCCCGAATAGCGATAGAATTGCAGAAAGACGCAATTCCGAATGATTGAGGTCGCTTTTTGCGCGAGGACGCCGACCGTGCATCATTCAATGTAGCCGCACAAGGGCGGCGGATGTGTTCATTGATTTTGTAAGGGAATGCAGTCGGGGTAAAAATGGCTGCATCCGAGTACAATGCATTTCCAACTTTCTCGATCGGGAGCGTCGCCGCGCCCTTGCATTCATTGGGGAATAATTATTTAATTATTATCGTGTTGAACCCGCCGAAAAGCTGGAAAATGTTGACCAAGCGTGTTTTCCGAGTTGAGGGGATTTTTCGTGACTGATTCGAATAAACGCATTTTGTTTTTCTAGAAGGGAGTTTTGTGTTCGACAAACTTCTAGCAGAATTTTATTTAATTAAGTTTTTTAAATTATATGACTTTTTTATGAATGCAAATTAATATATAGGCTGATTTATACTTTTTATCAGTTGAAAAGTGTCACTAAAATTTTGAAAGAGAAAATCTATTTATAGAATTGGGATCTGATAAGGCGGCAATAAGCAATAAAGATTATCTTTTTTCTCCGCTGAATCACTTCACCTTTAATAAAAACAGCAATCCTTTTTTATTATGTTACATTTTTTGTCACCAAAATAATTTTTAAGGACAAACAATAATAATTTTATTCCAAAATCAAACATTTTAAATAAGATTTAAAACTAAAATAAATATTAATGAGAGCATAAAATATTTTCCTTTTAAAAATTTTAAGTTCAACCATTTAATATTATTTGATTAATATTTGTGAATTTTTATTATTCCAGATGGCAAAATGAGTGACGTTATATCAGCAATAAGTTTGGACTCGCAGTTGGGCTCTCCAAATTTGACCGAGGATCTACTGCCGCACAGCGATTGCAGCAACAATGGCACTTGCAGCGACACAGCCTCGCAAAAGTCGGATGATAAGAGCAGCGTCAGCGGGGATCACATCGAGGACGCCTCGCCTCTGCTTCCGCAGCAGATGGATATTATAAAGCAAGATGCTGAAAGCGAAAGCACCACCTCCGATTATGAGGACTCGTCCGGCATGTATTATGTGCAGGTCAAGGGACTTCCGAGGTTCTACAGACTTGGGGTAAAAACTTGATCAGATTCAAATTATTGCTTTAACTGAAGTTTAAAAATCAGGAGCTGAAAAAACTGCTGACCGATGATCTGGGACTGACCAACTGCTCGGTCAGATCTCCGAGAAGGGCCAGTCCGTGGATCAGCTTGTGTTTCCAAACGAGAGACGAGCAGCAGCAGGCGTTGAACACACTCAATGGATACGACTGGAAAAAGAGGCACCTTACTGCTGAGGTAGTTAAGATTTAGAAGACAAATGAAGACTTGTGAATAAAAATAGTCTTTTATTTAATACTTTTGGAAAATTTATTAGTTCGCTTGAAGCCGTAGCAATTTTAAATTTATGTCTGAAATCTAAATTAAATTTTATAAAAATTTAACTGAAGTAGGAAATTTTTTCATTGTTCAGGTGTTGAAAACTGATCCTCTCAAGCGAAAGACGGATTCTGATATCGACGACGATGGCGAATTGAAGAAGCTTAAGGTGGATGTGCCAGTGGAGGAGCGGATCAAGATGGCCACAGTGCCCTTTTGGAATATTCCATACGAAGAACAGGTATGTCAACTGAAATGTTATGCACAAAATCCGTATTCAAAACGTTTCTCACTTAGCTTGTGAAAAAGAGAGCCGACATGGAGGCAGCTCTCGAGAAGCTGTGCAGCAATTTGGGCAGAAGTTACCCTGAGCTTAGCGGATGGGCTGAGCAGCAGGCCAAACAACACACCAATATGGCCTGTGAGCTAAGTGCCATTAAGCCCTCGCCTGTTACCGACGGGTACAGGAACAAGTGCGAATTTCGCATTGGTAGGTTTTTTTCGAAGGAAAAATCTTCAGTCTTTTTTCTGCTCTTAAGAGGCTTTGAACAAGAAAAATGTGCGCTCCACTTTTAGGGCTCCACCCTGAGACTAAAGAGCGTACTGTAGGCTTTCGTCTGGCCAGTTTTAAAGAAGGCTCGATGGGAGTTGGCCCTGTTTACTGCCTGCGGCACCTACCAGACCGCATGAAAGAGACGGTCAAGGTGAGGCATTTCTTCTTGGCTGCAAATTATATTTTCCTTGTGGCTTGGGATGTTTGCCACATGGAATGCTTCGGGCTACTTCAAGTGCACAGAAAAATAAGAAAAGAATTTCTCATGGGAAAATTGAAAAATTCACATTCTTTTAGCTTGCTTTGTTTCTTATTAACTTGTTAAAGCAACACAAGTTATTTAAAATCAGTGGCAGATTAAGATTTTAATTATAAACAATGCCACTGGTTTCTGCAATTAAATTTTTGGAATATTTAAAAAAAAAATGTTTCAAATTATGCGATGAAAAATGAAATTTTGATCTAAAATTAAAATTAATCATTTCACTGCACATATGAGATTAATGCTGAAAAATGTTGGCGCTTTTGGTAAAAAATTCTTCTGTAGAGATTATAATATTATAATCTTTCCTTTACTTCCCATTGTTCCTTCCATTTTGACCATTTTGTTGAAATATCATTTTAATTGGTCCATCTTTTAATTTTTTTAACCATGTATTTATTTGTTGGGTAAGTTATGCTTATTAAAACTAATTTTAGGCCTTCGAAAAATATGTTCGGACCTCGTCTCTGAGCCCATTTGTGCCAGAAACACACGAAGGTCATTGGCGTCAAGTTACCGTGAGAGTTTCATCCCGTGGCGATGTTCTTCTGCTTGCTGTCATCCATCCACAGAATCTGACCGAAGACCAGCTTGAGGCAGTCAAGGCTGATCTGAGGGATTACTTTGAGACTGGTGCCGGACGCGAGTGCAATCTGACGGCCCTCTTTTTCCAGACGTTTGTCGAGAAGTAAAGAATTTTATTAAAAAAAAATGGCGTTTTTCCTAATGAAAATATTTGTATCAAGGCAAGAGGGAGTGAGTGCTCCGCCAGTGCAACATCTCATGGGCCAGCAATATCTGAAGGAGAAACTGATGGGGCTTGAGTTCCGTGTGTCCGCTGACGCATACTTCCAAGTCAACACAGCCGGTGCTCAAGAGCTGTATGCAGCAGTTGCAGAATTGTCTAATTGCGACCCTCAGAAAACCACTTTGTTGGATATCTGCTGCTCGGCTGGAGGCATCGGACTGTCACTTGCAAAGGTGAGAATTTAAAAATAGTTATTGTTTGTATGTATACTAATTTTCAATCTTTTTATTATTTTTATAATTATTTGTTTTAGCAATGCAAGCAAGTTCTTGGCATCGAGTGTGTGGCTCAAGGTGTTGAAGACGCCAGATACAATGCGTCATCAAACGGCATTGAAAACTGCGAATTCTTCTGTGGTCGTGCTGAGGATGTGCTGCCCACCTTGACGGACAAAATTACCGGATCCCAGGTTGTAGCAGTTGTTGACCCGCCCAGGGGTGGACTTCGTAAGTTTGATTTACATTTTTGACTTGCATTCTTTTACAAATTGTTTTTCCTGCAGACAAGAAAATTGTGAACGAGCTGCGTAAGATGGAGAACGTCAAGCGACTGATCTACGTCTCGACAAATCCAAAAATCGTCATCAAGAACTTCACAGACCTTTGCCGTCCTGGCAGCAAAGACGGAGCCAACTCCGTGTTCCTTCCCATCAAAGCCATCCCTGTTGACATATTTCCTCACACCACTCACTGCCAACTGGTGCTTTGCTTTGAGCGTGTCGATCTCAGCTCGTTGCCAGTGCGCAAGAAACTGCCGCCCCTGATCAAAAGTCTGGATTCGATGCGAGGTAACAACCGGGGCAGGGGCTTCTCCTTCCCCAATAACAAGCTGCGAGGCCAGTACCGCCAAGCCAACAACCCCTTCCTCCTGGCATATCAACAGGGTCTCAAGATGTGCCCTCCCCTGATCGAGGACCATCTCCGTAACTCTCCTGCTGCAGCGCCCGAGCTGCTGCCGCTCGTAAACCCTTTCTCCTTCCCGGAAATCATCTTTCCACCCAGAGCCCGCGGCTTTCCGCCGGCCCGCAGGATTTTCCCGTCTGCACTACCTCCAGGGATCAAGCGGGCCCACCCCGCCTCTTTCATTCAGATCCCGATGCCACCAAATCCGCTCGAGTCTCTGTTTCTGAGGCAGCAGTATTTTGATTTGTCAGCTGCTGCTGTCCCTCGACTTCCTGGCCAGCCCATGAGGGCAAGGGGAATGAGGCGAGGCTTCTCTCGACCCGCCCCTAAGAAGTGAATACGGCAGAAAAGATGCAAATCAGTCATCCCTCTTGCTAGTATTAGAGTTTTCCAAAGGCTTGAGCCGTCCACAGCTACCTTCAGACTGATAAATAAATTTTCTTGAAAGGTCCCTATCAAGACTAGATACTCTCAAAAGGAGTTTTAGGCCAAACTTGTATGTTTTTCAAGTCATCAGACCTTTATTTTCCTCTTAAAAGGAAGAAATAGTCCTTATCCGAATGCCATCACAACTCAATATTTGGGATGAACTCTTTGAACTCTTCCATGCCCCTCACTTGTCAAATTTTAGAATTTTATTTTGGGACCTTGCAGATTAAATATGCCAGCTGACTTTTCAATGCGATGGCACGACTGGCTCTCATGTTTAGAAATTCACTAAGAAAAATTGTGAACGGCTCAATCCTCTGGTTATTTCACAAATCAGGCAGACTGTGCTCGAAATAAGCAATTACAAGTATTTTGCACATTTGATTAAGTTAGTTTGTACGGCTAATATCCAGGTAAACGCCTATATATTTTTCACTTTCCGCGCAGAAATCATTGACCATCCATTTCATTTATTATATGATCTTCGAGTGCCATGAGTTATTTTACCAGCATCTCAAATTAAAGGCTTGGCTTTCAGCACTCAAATTAAATCTCAAAAGTTTTGATATTTACTGTGATAATTAAGCAATTTGTTTGAAGCACAGTCGCTGCTCAATCTATTGAAAGAAAGAAGGTTATTATTTTACGCAACCTTTGATTGTGAAAGAAAAGAAAACTATGGGCTTAGTGCAACGTGGATCATTAAACGACAGGCTGCATTTATCACACTCGACTAAAACACATGAACTGTGTTAAGCTTTGTAATGAGAGCTTTTATCACGGACTACTTAGTAATTTGCCAGCAATCTTTTGGCTGATTGATCACGAAAGAAATTTTCTACTTGAAAATCAAAGTCCTAGAACGATAAATCTGAGATACTGAATGTCAAATTCATTTTCAGTGAGTTTTCATTGCCATATCAGTTGCCAAAGTTTTCGACATTTATTTGACATCTGTGTGAATTTGTCCTGAAGTGTTTAGACCTCTCCAAAAGATTGAGTAGCCAAGGGAATTTTTCGAAAACTATACACGAAAGTCGCTTTTTGCAAGCTGATTTTGGACTTTGATATATCATGTGTACAATTATTATTTATCAGTTGATAAAAGTAACCATCATAAACTCTATAGACACTAGACCAACACACATTTTGCATAAATACTTGACTCGCAGTGTTAGCCGCTAAGGATTAAAAAATAAGTAACCAACTTTGAATGGAGTAACTTATGATAAGAGCCTTACAATTTAATCATAATAGTACTTACGGAAATGATCGATGGTAATTTTGTACTTTGCAAACACAAGGTAAAATCGAGAAACAGTGGATTCGATGTCAAATCAATGGTGTCCTCTCTGCAGTTCTATACCGTAACAATAATTGAATGTGCGTGTTCTTTGGAATCAAACATTTGTCGATTTTGGATAAAAACTTTTTGTAATAATTTTTGTACTTTTGTATAATGGGGGCATGCAAATTGTAGGAATGGTACATTGGCGGCTTTTTTACTCACTTTGTATAAAAAAATGTCATTTGTCATTTCGAGCAATTTTGAGATACCGATAAGTGTTCATACCGATTCAATAATAATTGTCGTTTTTTGTTTTTTAAATTATCCTTTTTTTGCAAAACGGGAGGATTACAATTGTCGATTCCCTTGTACCCATTCCACCATTTTCGTGTTGGTTGATTTTATTTCTTTTTTTGTCTTACAATTCTTAAAATGAGATCAAAATTTTAAATGGCGAATTTCTGGTGAAAAACGAACCAGAAAGTTCGATTTTTTAAGGCGCCACTTTGTAACTCGTTGCCTTCCGCTGCAATAAATTGCCGTTGGGAGTTACCCTAATATCATGTAGTGTCTCAGGACAAGATCGGTCCTGTCCTGAGATTGAATTCGCGTTAGCTAGTGATTGACAAAACCTCTCTTTATTTGTTCCTTTTAAAACCATATCGATTTTGGTGCCATCAGTTTCACTACAATTGGAATCGAATACTGCCAAGAATTATTAGTTTCTAAGCATTTTTAATATTAATATACAAAGAGATCTTTTTACTCGTATATATCTGTATGTTTACAATTAGTTCCCGTTGTGTCACAATAATATTTTTTTTTTCGTAAAATATAGGAGCGATTTGTGCACTTGCATTTTTTGTCAATAATTAAATTGCTAGTTGTAGGGTTTTCATTTAAAGTTAGTGGTGCCGTGTGTAATTTCTCTATTAATTCAAGTAGACATCTCAGATAGTATGATCAACTAATCTATGCAAACTAGGACTGCTGTTTTTAGTATTTATTTTGGTGTTTTTTTATTTTGAAGCATTGCCTTTGTCGAAAATAAACCATTTCACACAGCTCATTGGGCCAAATTTCTCTTTGACACTAATAATGACACTAACCATTTTGATAAATATGTATTGAAAAGCAGTGCATTCATGATTAATACCTACCCATATTTAATTTGTCTGATACCTCAAGCAAAGTAATTAAAATAATACGAACTATATATTTTCATAACATTTCAGGAAAAACGAAACTACTTCTTGTTTTCCTTTTTCTAAATGATTGGGTATTCAACAAATTGAAGCCATAATAATTCAAAATCACCGTCTGTAATTAAAATTTACGATAATTATATTTTGTATCCGCTTTGTAGAAATAAACTAAAACAAGAAGAAGCTTGTTCGTTTTCCAGAAGGATTAAGATTGATTATATATGTAGGAGACACAGGAGCCAAATTTAATGGGCAAAGACAGAGTATTTTGGAAATTTTGAACGAGTAACAAAATAATCGTGTGACTTTTGACAGATCTCCAGTGTCTAAAGTTCAGTTAGAATGCAGCTCCCCTGTAACATGATTGTGAAATTTATTGATTATTGCATTCGTCAAGTCCCAACAGTGTCAACAATTTGAGAGCTTTTGTTTCCTGCAGCGCTCTGACTATATGAACTGCCTGTAACATATTTGAAGACTGCGATGTGCTTTTTACATTAATTTTGATAAATTTACTATGTTAGCAGACACACAATTTGTTTGAACTGATGTAAGAAAATTGAATTTTTTATAATTGATGATAACTTTTCAGCTTTTCTGGAATGCTTAATGAATAAACTTGATTTTTATTTGTAACTTGCTTCGTTTAATTTCAAAAAAAATCCATCTTTTTTAAAGGAATAAGGAAGGAATCAAAGATTTATTTTAATACTTGGTAATTATATTATTATTAATTTATTGAGGAGACATCTATCTGAGGCTACAATGAGTATTATTTCCTATACAGGTAGGAGAGCCGTTTTGTGGCGTTTACATAATGTTGAGATCTATTTCATACTCCACTAGCAGGTTCGGGGGTGGTTCCCTCTATTCGAGGAACTTGACAAAGATAACTGGGAAAAGACCCCGTCGCGTAGGGTCGCCTTCTATGAAGCCCTCCATCCAAGACTCTTCTTCCGTCTCTTCCTTGGTGATAATGATGACCTCTCCTTCATCAAATGACAACTCGTCTGGTTGGTCCTGATCACAGCTGTACAGGGCTCGACATCGCCGTGCTTTGGATCCGTCGGCACGCTGTAATGGGCAGAAGAAATACGGCTGTGGACACCAATGTAACAAATTACACCAACATGCATAAATAAAAGAAGCAAAAAATAATTCATTAAAAAAATTAATGAGGCAGAATTAAAATGAAAATCTTACTCACTAGAAAATTTAAATACTAAAACAGGAAACGAAGGGTTACAAAAATTAAATAAAATTTACACTCCACTCCTGAAATTGGTTTCCAACTGTAAATTATTATTATAACTGCAACTCAGTCAAGCTCAAGTAAGAAAACTGAATGGAAAATAAAAGGTTTGCTATGCATTCATGCGCCAGAGCTAAAAGGTCTATTGAAAAGAATTTACCGTCGACAAATCATCCTCTTCCATACCACATTCAAGAGTACGCTTCTCTTTACGCTGCTGTTAGTGTGATCAAGCAAGTAAATAGATTTAGATATATATTAGATTTGGTCGTTGATAGTCTAGCACAGATACAGCATTTGAACACCCTGACATGAACAAACTCACCCTTCTAGGAGGCGGAACCGGGTTGCTCAAACCCGTATTTTGCAGCGTTTCTCCTGGTATGTTCTCATTCGAGCGTCCATTGGATAGGTTTTGCTGCTGGTTTGGCGTGGTTGGAGTTGGCGGCGGCGGGTTTTGGGGTCGCTGGACCCCAATTTTGTTTCCTTTGTCCCCAGTGGACTTTAAATGAGGAATTTCACCCATAGGTAAGACTAGCTTTGCCCCGACTGGAAAATAAATTGAATTCATAAGCAAATTTTGACAATATTAAAGTTAAACACAAATTTTACCTAAGTGAATCCCAGATGGCATCGATCCACTGTTGTTGATGCTCAGCGAATTGATGCTTTCAAAGTTGGTTCCGGAATCAAAAGTGGGCGACTTCTTGTGGTCTGCTCGACCGATATTCACAGACAAGGGCACAATGGGATCGGAAGGAGTTCGGCTGTGACTACTGGGAAGTGTACCATACACTTTGTGGATTACAGGTGGCAACGGTGCGGCTCTTTTCTTCAGAGATCCATGAAAGTTTGCAGAGGAGACTGAAATGAAGCGTTTCCAGTAAGCTGATTGTGGATAATCTACTTGAGCATAACAAAAAAAGCGTGCAGTTAATTATGGTTAACTGGATTGGAAATTAGACCTACTTTTTAATATTTAGACCACTCAACGAGTGAATTTTTTATTTTTGAAATCATGGTTTAAAATTTAGACCACTCGACGAGTGAATTTTTTATTTTTGAAATCATGGTTTAAAATTTAGACCACTCGACGAGTGAATTTTTTATTTTTGAAATCATGGTTTAAAATTTAGACCACTCGACGAGTGAATTTTTTATTTTTGAAATCATGGTTTAAAATTTAGACCACTCGACGAGTGAATTTTTTATTTTTGAAATCATGGTTTAAAATTTAGACCACTCGACGAGTGAATTTTTTATTTTTGAAATTATGGTTTAAAATTTAGACCACTCGACGAGTGAATTTTTTACTTTTGAAATCATGGATTAAAATTTAGACCACTCGACGAGTGAATTTTTTATTTTTGAAATCATGGTTTAAAATTTAGACCACTCGACGAGTGAATTTTTTATTTTTGAAATCATGGATTAAAATTTAGACCATTCGACGAGTGAATTTTTTATTTTTGAAATTAGGGATTAAAAATTTAGACCACTCGACGAGTGAATTTTTTACTTTTTTAACTAGGGTTTTTGAGCATAATTGAATTGGTTGGAAAAAGGAGCTTGTTGGGCAATCTGCTTACTTTCATGCTTACTACTGGTAATATTTGGTTTTCTGTTTTGGGGTGGTGGCGGAGGTGGCATTTGTCTAAATGAAGCATTGCTAGGGCTATCCAAAGAGGAAGAGTGCGACTGTGAAGGGGTTGTGCAAGTGTCTCCATCCTCATTAACGCCCCCACCTCCTGCAAAGCTTGGCGGTCTGGATCGAGACTTTTCGGGCGTGATGGCTCCAATCTATCATAAAAATAATTATCTTGTCTAATATGCATTTTGTAATATTTACTCTATCTTCAATGATGGTTTCGTCGTCAGAGAAGTCGGTAGATGCTTCGTCGTGCGACAAATTCCAATCAAAGTTGACATTGTCAAACAACACTTTTTGTTGTTGCATGGCCTGGGTCATCTGCAAGTTAAAAAATGAAATAATAATTCACAAGAAAAAAAAAATATAAAGACCAATTCCTCGCAGCCAGAATTTCCCATTTCGCGCGCAATGTCCAGAGGCGTCTTGTTTTCGTGGTTTCGTAGCTGCGGGTCTGCACCGCTCCTCAGAAGGAGCTTCATGCATTCGGGCCGTCGGTGCATGGCACAGTAGTGAAGAGCGGTGTTTCCGTCGTAAGTTGTCCGATTTAGCGATTCAGAGTTTTGCACCACAAAGTCAACTATGTGCAGCGTGTTTCCAAGCTCCTTTGCGACAGCCCAATGCAAAGCACTTTCACCGTTTCCCTTTATTTTTGATGAGGAAAATTAAAAGCTGAACTAAGAGTGAATTATTGCTCATTCTTACGCTAGTCGGAAGAGGGGCAGTGAAATCAGCACCCTCGGCAAAAACTTGAAGCAAGTGATGCAGCTGCCTATTTTCAAGAGCGTTTTCAAGCTCGCACATAACCTCCATTGTGTCCGAGCATGTATGAAGTGCAAATTTCTTATCCAAATATTTAGCACGAATAAATTCATTCCTCTCCTCCCTGAATCAAAGGAATTTTTCCGATAAAAATGAATGAAAATTAATAAATCTCAACTCAATAAAATTTCAGTAAAAAAATAATTTAAAAAATCTAAATATTTTTGGCTTTGATCTAAGTATTTTAACTAAGAAGAATATTTCTAAGACTTTAGTGAATCAAGATGAAAAAACTTACATTGTACTCGCTGCTGTTGGTTTGCTTCCACGAAGAGTGGCTTCCATCACATCATTGAACGCCGAGTTTGTCATGTGCCTTGCAAGCAGCAGTTGAGAAGTGCCAATGTTGTCCAGCGTCAGAGACTGTATCCGTGAAATGTGCACGCCCAAATCTCTGTGAATGCCGGAGCACTCGATGCAGACAATGATGCCAAAGTTTGTTGACAACCAAGTTGCATCTGCAAATAAAAAAATTTATATTTTTTTCATTTTTCAAAATAAAGAGGACTAACCATTTTGAGAGTTGCAGTCACAACACCGGTCGTTGCCCGGCATTTTTTGGATATAATGTATAATAGCCTGTTGCAACTCCAGGAGACTAGGGTTTATTTTGTCTGTCCGGCCACTGTCGCCAAACGCCTTCATCAGTGCTCCTTCCTTGCTGTTCACAAGCACAGACATCCAAGCAAACTGGTCGGCTTCATCCTCAGCTTGGAAGTGATACGTCCGATTGTCTAAAATTTTGGATATTTTTAAAACAGCCACAAATTTTACTATTTGTGTTTACATGATATCAAATCAAAGCATCTTTTGTCATCCGGCACCAGTTTGATTTGGCAGGTGAGGAGGTTTATTCGAGTTGGTTCTTTGCTCTCGTCCCCGTGACATATGTCAAGAAAACCATCCTTCACATGGCACCGCCGCTTCTGCCAAACCTTCCGCACCTTCCCCTCTGACTTTTTTAGAAGGTGGCCGACCCTTGAAAACCCATGCTGCTTATCCCCCTGCAGTTGGTGCAGGGAATAACCACTGCACAATGATGCTGCGCTTGATAAATACTAGAAACAAATATTTTATAGAGAATAATCCGTAGTTTATAAAAAGTCGTACGTCTTTATCGATTCCTGGGGCACTCCTGAGAAGATTCCTCAGCTCAACGAGTTGCCGCCTCTCCTCATCCTGCTTTTGACGGATCCTTTGAAGCTCCGTTGACAAAACTTGAATATAACTTCCAAAATGTTGTAAAGTTTCTAAACCGTCTTGAAAATACCTAGATCCAATTAAAAAAGTAATTAATAACAATTTATTGATGGTGAATTTTGTTTCAATTACTTTGTTTGTGCGTGATAATATTCAACAAGGTGTTGAAGAAGCTCGATTCCCTTTTTGGTTTTGATTTCATTAACTTTAATCAAGTACTAAAAAAAAAGGAATTTGTTAGCATTCGCAATACTTGCGGTTGTTAAGGAATTTTTTCTTACTTCACACATTTGCAGTTGGAACAACTTCCGCTCTTTCTCCATCTCATCAGCAACTTCCGCTGGGGTAACTTCAGTTCTGATAAGACCGGCCTCTTTGGCTTGCTGCTTCTTTTCTTTTTCGATTTTGCTATATTTCGCTTCGTAATCTTTGAGTGCTCGGTCGAAGGGCCGTTTCATGTCGCCCTTGACACCCTTGAGATCTCCCTTCAGCACCGAGTCCAGTGGAAACAGCACTATGTTGTTGAGATTCTTCATCTGCAATTCAATAAGGATCATAACAATTATTGACATTCAGAGGAAGTGGATGAATAAATTTTATATTGAGCGACGACCCGAATAAAATTAATTAAGCGTATGTGCTGATTTGTTGCGCAGAAATTGCATTGATTTAATAATAAAATATTCGAAAAAAATCTCTTACTAATGTTTTCATGAGGATGGAGAGTTCTTTGGTGACTACGGAGAATTTGATGAAGGCCGCGCTTATGTCTGGCTCTTGATCTTTTGTTAGAGATGTGCTGCCCAGTTTGTCCAAGGCCCGGTAGAAATACATTTCGTTGTCCACGTGTGCTGCGAAAAATATCGAAATTAATCAAGTGAAATGCTTGGAAAATTTAATTTGGAAATATCAATAAAATGTCAAGAGTAGAAAATAAATATAAAAGGGATCATCAATCACATTTCGCTTATTGCTCTCCTCAGCATCTCCGCAATGCGTCTGACCCGATGCCTGTCAACCCGTGACACAGAAACAAGAAGACACTCAAGATACTTGACCTCCAATAAAAATTCTGCTCATGCTTTGAATAAATAGCATGGGCATCGAAAAGGGAGATGGAAAATATATTTTATTGATTTCACAAAGAACAAAGTATTTGATCTCATGAAATTGTTAACTCGGAATAAAAAAAACCTTTAAAATTGGAATTTTTAGTATCTTTCAGCTTTTATAAATATAAAATTTCGAACCAAACAAAAGTTCCAAGGTTCATGATTCAAATTATTGAATTAAAGAAAATGATTAATTAAAATAATTAAATTGTTTCGCAAATAATACGTGACGATTTTATAAAAAGAAAAAATATGCAAGCTTTGCAAAAGTGAAGATGAAGAAGACTCTTGAAAGATTTTGGAGGCGCACAGCTCACAAGAAGTGTCATTGACTCTGCGGTAAGACACAAGGGCGGGATGTAAAAAGTTGGCGTTTTAGAAGATAAAAAATCTGACAAATAAAAGATTTTAACAAAATTTACTTACAATTTCCACTGTTGTAAATGGCTTTGACGGCCTTTTTCATCTGTGACAGACCTTCTCGATCGCCATCCAGTGTCTGAAAGTTTCCCACAAATTGAATTACAAAAAGTGAACTCCAATTAAAAAATAATTATTTGAATTCCAGAATAAAAAAAAGAAATAAATACAATTATATAAATAATTATGGTGTTTGAACTTCATTCTACTTTTCCTTGAATGAGGTTTTCTTTCAGTCGGTTACTTTTTTGAGGAAAAGTCAAAATTTAATTCAAAATAAATAGAAATATTTGCAAGAAGTGAAAGTAAAAATTTATGACCAATTTGACTCAAGTCAATACTCAGGCAACAATAAAACGAGGTCGCCCAATTTTGAATTATGGGAACCGTGAGAAGTAACAAATAACGGTGAATAATCAATAATTATCATTTAAACAAGAACTTAATATATGTGTTTTTCAATTTTGCTTTTTAACGTGTATTTTAAAGAAATTCCGCTTTAATTTGTTAACTATAAAAAAAATGCATTTCTATAAATTTAGTGATGCATAAAAGATAATTGCGCGGGAATCGAACGGTCGGACTGCGTAACTTCATTAATATTTTTTTTTCGATCGCAGCGTGCAGTTGACGTTTGTTTAATTAACTGTCACTTGGGAGTGGGAACAAAAGGCAACTTTGAGTGCAAACAAATTTCAGAGAGACGAGGCGTGAAATATTTGCCCAAATAAGTGGGGCAAACCAATAATTGACGGGTACACACCTCTTCCAGGACATTGATGGTCTGTCTGCACTGAGGCATCCGCGACACAAAGGTCGAGGTCGTTGGCGAGTTGTAGTCATCGCGAGTTTCGCTCAAAAACTCGCCGATTCCCAAGAGGCCAGGCATCTTGCTGCAGAGAAGGACGAGAGATTTGTTTAACAAAAAGTAGCCCCTGGCAAATATGTAAACATCCGAATGTGTGTCATAACGCGAGATTATTTACGATCGAGAGAGGAATGCGAGAGCAAATTAACAATCGCGAATGCACAGGGAGGGCGGCAAACGGAAATTGTTGTTATTTTCGTGTACGTACGGAGTTGTTTTGAGGATGAATTACTACGTTCGCAGCAGCAGCCAGGCAAGCGGTCTGTCTTTCTTTTGTTGTTCCAAATAATAATGCTGCGGCTGCTGCGCTGCTCCCTCTGCTGACTCCGCTCCAGTCGAGGGTCCTTGACGTGAGCTTGCCTCCTTCCTCCACTCCTTGGTCCAGAATACGGATAATCACTCCGATCTCGCCCGAGTTCGCATGTTTTCGCTGCAACGGCGGAGGAGGGGAGTGCAGGTCGGAGTTCAAAAACGTCAAAATCGGCGACGGCAGCGCCAAAACGGTGGTCACGACATTGCGGAAGGGGTTTTAAAGAAGGAGTTAGATTATTTAGTGCAATATTCAATTATAGTTCACCTCATCTAAAATAATTGTGTTTAATTACAAATAAATCATTAACAGTTAGAATTTTTAACAAATATTTTGCTCAATTTATGCTTAATTTGATTCTGTTTCCAGTAGAATTTGGGTGATTTTAAATCTCCTTTTTCAACTACACTAATTGCATACCGATCATTACCAAGGAGGTTTCATCGCTTCCATTTTGGATTATTTATTTGTCGGCTGTTTTTGACCCTTTTCGTGAGGAAGCCGGAATCGTTGGTTGATATTCTTCGATCTGCTCACTATTTCGGCTCAATTTCGGCAGCGTTGTTCAAGTTAAAGCTAATTTGATCAACTTAGAAGCTACTCAAGGCCTGCTACTGTCACATTTTTCGACTTTTTCCGATTTAAGGCAAGTATTATTACCAGAAATATTGACTGAATAATTTTGACACTTGGAAAGCATGACCCACGTTGGACCTTTCCAGCAGCAAACAGTGTCATTATATAATTTTTTTTTGAAGATTTTACATACCAAATTCGTTTTAAATCTGCAACGTCATTGCCAATTTAATTAGTTTTTTTACTTTTTTAGACAAACTCTGAAAAATGACTTCTCCACTCATTTACGAAAGGAACTGGGCCGACAAAACCAAATACGAAGACGCCGAAAGGCAGCACTGGGAGCAAGTCTCAAAGGTATATGTAATTATTGAATTGTGCAACTTTTATACTATTAATAGACTAGCAGGGAAATTAGTACGTAATTGGACTTGCATTGTATCTTGTCTCATCACGCTACGTCATCTCTCTTTCTCTTGTTCTCAAAATCAAATGGTGTTCTTTGTGCAAGCTTCAATCAAGCAACAGGACACAAACGCCTCTACTAACCTCCTCATCTCACTCCGCTAACATGCCCAACTCGAAACCAACCCCGAACCCGCCTGCCCAACAAGAAAACGGTAGCGCCGACCCCGATAAGAAAAAGAAACGCAGAAAGAGGAATAACAAAGATTCCTCTGCTAATAATGCCCAGGAAGCAGCTGCTGGTGGCAAATCGAGCGCCCCTCAGCCCCAGCAACAACAGGCTGCGGCTCCGGCACCCGAGCCAGAGAAAAAGCAGCCGGTTGCCAACATGAAAGAAAGGAAGAACGAGGCCAATAAAAAAGGCAAAAAGCAAAACTCAGAGTCCGATAAGGTACAAGTTTGCTTGGTCTGGAACATTCCTAGTTTTTTTCTTTAATTTTTGTGTTCCACATTATCTGAAACTGCAGATTGGGCCGACACAAAAATGCAAACACAAATTTCAAATTTTAATTGAACGCTACATAATTTATAATTTAATTAATGATTGAATATCTTTGGCTATTAGTTGATTACAATATTTGATCTCTTATAAGAGTGAATGCATTTTTGTGAAATCTCAAAATGCCAAATTTGTGAATAAGTAGTTTTTATTTTTCCGTTTAATTCACATTTATGAGTTTTCGTTTTAATAATGTGTGCCTTTTAAATTGAAAATCAAGGGTTTCCAATGTGACAATGAATAAAAGTATAATTATCCTTAACAAGGTACATACTGGCCTGATCAAAAAGAAAAGACTAAGCGTCGTAAGTCAATAATATTTCTATGAAAACTATCACTTAATTTAGATGATAGGGTAAAATTTATTCGTTTCGATGAGTAATTTGTTAGGCAGAAGTTTGATTAGACTTTATCTGTTTTTATTTTAGAAAACAGATGTGAAGTTCTCGTAATTAAAATTACTTGTAGAATGAATGATTAATGAATTATAGGGCCAGAATAGCAATTTAAATGAACAAAAAATTGGACACTCTTATTAAATTTGTTCTTAATTTTTCGTTCCTCTTCGTTTTGATTGCAGTTCTTTGACCTGCATGGAATTGTATTCAATGTGAATTACAAAAATTTGAATCCTTATTTAACTTACCAAATATATAAAAAGCAGTTAAATTTTAAATTTGATACTTTCCTTTATATTATTTGGTTGGTTTGACTACACCTTGTGTTTTTACCGAAAATGGAGGTGAAGAACTCAGGCTTTTTCCTCGTAAAAAATAGTTTTCATTAAAAAAAAACGGCTCTACCAGTTTTGGTCACCTTATTTCATGAGCAAGAAAAATACTAAAAATCAGCAAAATTTGAAAACACCACATTTTAACAAAAAATCTTTCAATGTTTCTGATTTTTTTTCTTGCTCATGGAATAGGGTCGCAGATCAAGACCGAAACTGGTACAGCCGTTTTGTTTCTGAACCAAAACAATTTTTTTTTATGCAGCGTGGAAAAAGCCTGCGTTCTTCATTTCCATGATCATCTCCTCGGATGTCAATTTCTTGAAACAAATTCATTGAAAATACCATAAATGTAATATTCCATCCATCTTATCAGCGTAACTTTCTCATCATTAATTTTTGGCTATGCATGCATGAAAATAATTTGTTTCGTAGCTAAATGACCTGCATTATGTTATACTAATATTTTTGCAGCTAGAGATTGATCCGTGGTTTGCATGCATATTTATTTTCCAAGCATTTAACGGGCAGTGAATCTCTGACAATGTCTTACAGTGTGTTTTGGTGTAGGGTCTCTTGCCTCCTGCTATTAATCAACAAGATGAAAAAATTAGCCTCGCCAGTGAAGTAGCCAAGGCTCGCCAACACATTAAGTCCTCTCTTGAATGTGTGAGTAAAGCAAGAAATTAATTTTTAAACGAGGGGGTCGAGGAGGAAAGTTTTTAACAAATTTGTAACAATTATAAAGATTCTTGCTCGTTGTCAGTCAGAGTAGCTTTTCTTTCTCTTCCGCAGTTGTTTGTTGCAAAGCTGTAATTATCCATAATATTGCTACCCACCTTTTAGAATTAAGTCATTAAAATTGAACGCTTATCAATCAAGGGTTTTTGAAAATCGCACGTTGAGGTTCATAATTGCATCACATTTTCACAAAATAATTCAGCAGCTGTAATGAAATTTGCACTTTCAGGTGGACCGTCTCTCTACCCTGGCTACCAACCAAGGTGGCACAGACCTCGTTCACAGAATTGTTTCCCTGGAGAAGGAAAATGACGGCCTCAAGAAGTGTAAGTCAAAAATTTTAAATGGAATAATTTAATTTTAATTGGAATTGTTTTTGTTATTGAATTATTGTTCAATTCCAGTGGTCGAGAAGATGCAGAAGGCTCAGGACTCACTTGAAAGCAGACTGGCTCAGCTTGAAAAGCAAGCTTCCAACCTCGGAGGCTCCACTCCTGCACCCAAAGCAGCTCCCGCCCCTGCCAAGGCCCCCGCCCCTGCAGATGATGATGACGTCGATCTGTTCGGCTCCTCTGATGTAATTTTTCAATCAAACTCTTCCATTTGTTCTAATTTTTTTTAACCATAGGAGGAGGACGAAGAGGCACAGAAGGTCAGGGAGCAGAGACTTCAGGAATATGCTGCCAAGAAGTCCAAGAGTGGGTTTAAAATTTTTAAACCTAGCTTCTAGAAAGTTATACCACCTGACGAGAGAATTTTTAAATTATGAAATCATGGTTTTAAATTTACAGACCACTTGACGAGTGAATTTTTTATTTTTGAAATCATGGTCTAAAATTTACAGACCACTCGACGAGTGAATTTTTTATTTTTGAAATCATGGTCTTAAAATTTGCAGACCACTCGACGATTGAATTTTTTATTTTTGAAATCATGGTCTTAAATTTACAGACCACTCGACGAGTGAATTTTTATTTTTTAAATAGTTAGACCTTCGTCGTATTTTGTGATTTTCTTAGTCAATTCAAATTTCTTATGGTTATTCGTGTCTAATTTTTATTTTTAGAACCTGCCTTAATTGCAAAATCAAACTTGATCCTTGACGTGAAGCCCTGGGACGACGAAACTGACATGAAGGAACTCGAAGCAGCTGTCAGGAGCATTGTCATGGACGGACTCCTGTGGGGAGCCTCCAAGATGGTACCTCTGGCATACGGAATTCACAAGCTGCAGATTTCAGCCGTCATCGAAGATGAGAAGGTCTCTGTCGACCTCTTGACTGAATCCATCGAAGGAAAGGAGGACTTTGTGAGTTGAAGAAATATTTCCCTTTTAAATTCTTTCCATGGACAAACTATTTTGGAAGAGCGTGGGCGTTTGAAATATTATTAAATTTTGGTTTTGTTTGTTCACAGGTGCAAAGTGTGGATATCGCAGCCTTCAACAAAATTTAAAAGTCTCACAATAATTGCCATTAGAGGACATAAATGTTTTGCTTCAATCGATTCTTATGCTGATGTCATCCAAAAATAAATGTTCCGTGAGTTAAATGAACTTTTTATTCCATTCCATGAGTCTTTATCATCTAAAAATTAATATCAAAGACAAAAACAGGCAATAGTTGTTAAAGAAAAATTTAATTTAAGGAAAACTGCATTTTCTATTTATTCGTCTTAAGTTTATTGTTTTTTATGCAATAGAAAGAATCGCTTACTTGAAAATACATCAATTTTTGGGAGTGTGTAGTTGAACTGTCGGTAGCAATTTTGACAACGATGCTGCCAAAGCGTTGCACTCTTTGCCTGAAAGTTGTTGCAAATCGTCGCAAGCCTCGTCCAGATGATCTGCCTCAGCATAAAATCCAGCCTCAATCAAAATTTGCCTGCCAATAATTTTTTATTCTTAATCATTCTTAAGCTTTTAATTAAAAAACCAACCTAATATTTTCATTTTGCAATATTGTCACATTCCGAGCCTGTCCTGGGACTTTGCGCATGCTGCAAGCAACCAAAGCTCTGCAGTTCGTCATCGTATCAATCAGGTCATTTTGCAGCTCATCCGAGGTCAATTGACCCTTGAGCCAAGCTGAGAGTTGAAGGAAATCTCCTTCGGGAAGACCGGGCATCATGAACGGTGGAGGAGCTTCCGACAAATCCCCGTAGTCATTGATTTGCTCCTTATTGAATAATTAGAAAAAAATATTCCAGGTTCAGCAAAAACTTACAACATGTTTTCGCTCTAAATCGTCATCCATGGATCGCGGCCTTCTCTTCCGAATTTTCATATTTTTCATGGTTTTTATCGTGAGTCTAGTCCGCCCGTTGAAACCTTGCTTCGCCTTAACTTGTGCCACGGCAATCAATGGTCTTCGTCTCCGATTGGCGGTCAGTCGAGTGGCATTGCCAGTGGTTGTGCCGGTGTTATTCACCATGAAGAGTAAAGTCTGTTGTTGACCGGCTGAGAGATTTTGCTATGGCACGAAATAATAATTATTTTAATTTAAAATAGCAAAATTTACAACTTACTTGGAGCATATTTAAGAAAAAGAGGAAAGACAAAAGAGCCAAAGCGCTGACCGCCGCATTGCTTGCCGTAGTGCTGCTGGAAGACCCACTATCGCTTTGGTCCCCTCGTCGTTTCGACTTATTGGTCGACCACCTGTGCCAAAATATCACAAGTTCACTTCTCGCCGACTTTTAATTTTAAAGCAAAATTCGCACCCGGTTGTGGTGTAAAACGACGAATCCATTCGAGCCGGAAAACCTCTGTGCTGCATCCCTGGGCTCCGGAAGGCGGCCGAAGGCGCGAAAACGCTCGTAGTCATCTTGCACACCTCATGTGAGCAACGCCGACAGCAGACTGAGCTTTTTCGAGCCATCCCATCCCCTACTAGAGCGATTCATGTCCTGAATCACAACTTAATCAGTTTCATAATTGTCATTGTCCTCGTTTGGATTTGAGCAGATTTATGTCATAAAATGTGACGCGCGCAAGTTGCACAACACGCGATCGCGGAAGGATTAAACCAATTGTAAAATCTAGTTTATTGTGATAATTTTTATATTTAATCACATTTAATTAGTAATTTAAAAGAAATTGTTTAAAATTCAAACACTTGGTATAAGGAAAATGTGTATTCACGTTGCTATTTCCAATTTAAAAAACTATACGAAAATTTAATTAATTTATAATATTATTTCAATTATTGTTATATTAAATATTTTGTAAAAAGTTATGAAACAGTTCACACAATGATGATTATACAATTAACCCCATAGCAATACTACATAATCAAATCATTTATTGGGAACAAATTGTGCTTGAAAAAATACAAATTAAAAAAAATATATACACAAAAGGTGATGATTCAGCGAAGAATAGTTGCAGGCTAAGTTTTCTGAGACAAAACAATTACCTGACTACAAAGAGAATAATTATATTTCTTATAAAATTTTCAATGATACTCAGTGAGAATTACACAGAATCACAAGATTGTTGACTAGATAACTTTAAGCTATTTCACGCATGTGATTTGCTTTGATGATGTGCGTGATGCGTGAGGCTCGTGAGGGCACTCTACCTTGGCGTCGGCGTGCAACGGGAATTTTTCCTATACTTGCACTAACCCAGTAATCCATTTATATTTATTTTAATTAATATAATGATATAATCTGACCTGAAATTGAATTTCTGGGGGATAATAGCAAATCATATGATAATATTTTATCGACATTTTTATTTTAAATAATCATCAAATGATCAATAAAATTATTGAAATCATTGGTTCTGAATCAAATATATTTTGTAAAATCATAAAAATTAATTAGTTATGACTAAAATTTTATATGTTAATTTTTAATCAAAATAATATGAATAATTAAAAAATAATTGATCACAAGAATTTGTGGTACAATAAAAATTCCTTCCTTTCTATTTCCAGTGTATAATTTTAACAGTCAGCAACTCAGCACCGCTTCAGCTCACAAAAGCGTGCACAAATTTTTAATACGCAGTGAAATATTCCATGGCCCACAGAAAAAGCATAAGTTAAAATGTAATTTTGATCGTATTTCATCATCAAATCCATTTCTGCAGGAATAATTGAAAATCTAAGCAAATTTTGCTCTAATTAGAATTTTGATTGGGGGATCAAATAAATGTGAAATAACGGAGAGGACGAATGTTTTGCCACATCAATTTAGAAAGGGCTCGGGCAGACAGAAAAGTTTTCATTTCATTTCGGATTAAATGCCGATTCCAATCAAACTTGTGCGGCGCGGCAACGATAAAGTCGAGAGTTGCTCCAAACTTGGAAGTGCAGATTGTAAAAATCCTCCCATGCGCTCGGCGGCACGCAGCATCCTCTCTCTCCGTTGATTGCATCAGGCGCGACGAAAGTGCGCGGGCAGATTAGATGATTTAAAGTGCGGAATAACAGGATGGCACAAATATAAATCTAGACTAAATCCAGCTCGCAAGTTGCGAAACAAAAGTTTAGACTTAAACTAAATTGGAGACGAACAGCAAAGCTGCTTATCTGCGCAGTACAAAACGCACTTTGAGGTACAAATAAATAGATTTTTAACATATAAATCAATTTTCTTCACAATATTTTCAAAGAATAATCATAGCAAAAGATTTGTAAATTTTAATTTTAAACAGTGCTTAATAAACACTACCGAGGAAAACTTTCATTCAAATAAAGGAAAAATCAATTAAAATTCAAGAAAATATTATTAGTATTTATTATATTTTAATTCGGTTGATTGATGAATGTTGATAGTATGTTTTTTTAATATCTTTTCTCTTTAAGACACTTTTGAATTCAAATTAATTATTGTTTATTATAATGTTATAATGATTAATGATACTGCTATAATTTAAAAAAATTATTAATTATTGATGCAAAATTCGCCAAAATAGAGGAAAGTTAAATTTAACATATCTGAAAAGAATAATATATTAATTTAAAAAGCAAAAACGGATTCTTTGAGCGTCAAACTCAAATCTGAAGAGCTCTTTCTGAGCCGACTGACTCTCTGATCTTCTTCGGCGTAATTACATCAGCAGCAAACGCGAAATTGCTTCCTGCTGCACTCGAGGTGCACACACACGTCGGGACAAATTGGATCGCCCGCAGCACTTTCCTGGCCACCCTCTTCGGAAGAATGGTCCCCATCTGCAAAGTCAATAATTGGCCAAAGAAAAATATTTCAGGCATAAAAGAAGGTAGAAGGAGATGCAATTTAGCGTTGGATTGATGCGGGGCCAAAGGAGGCAGTCGGCCGCAGAAGAGAGCCGCCCTCGTTCCCTCTCGATCCCGCGCACATGCATATATTCCGCAAAGGAAAAAAACAATCGGTCCGTTTCATAAAGTCGGATGGGAGTAATAAATCCGTTCGTTACCGAGAGCAATAAATGCACTTGATAAAAAGCAAAGCGAGGAAGAGTTGCAATTTAAAAGTTATCATGCGAAATGGGAGCGCTCTAATTCCATCGCATCGTCGGCGGCGCTGAAAGGAGCAAAAAAGCAAGTCGCCTGCCTGCGCTAAAGAGGAAAATCTGGGCGAAAAACAGAGAGCGCCGAGGCTGAAGAGTTTTGTGTTGCCGGGGCCGCCCTGCTTTAATGGAAGCCACTCGAGTGTGAACGAATCCTGATGGAAGATTGAACGAGTTCCGATGCGCCCGACCGATATCCTCCACCAACGACGGGCCTGGTAATGAAGGTATTCTGCACCTCCAAATTGGCGCTGATAACACCCAACAGATTCGACTTGTTGCTCACAAAACTGTTGTTGTTCGCCACAAAACTTCTCTCTGAAGTGCTCTTTCAAAATAACCTAAATTCCAGGTTTAATTTGCCAATAATGAAAACATTCTTGATTCTTATTAAGTGCAAAATTAGTTGAAGAAGGATAGTTTTAATTATTTTATTTAAAGGAATTTATCAGAAATAAAAAAGGAGGCGATTTATTTGAAACGAAACCAGGTTATTGATTTGTTATTTTTCAATATCATGCATTACTCAGCTGAAATTCTTAATTTTTAAAATCAAATAATTAATTATTAATCTCATTTGTTGTGCTGCTGGTATTTTAATTTTTTTTTAGAAAATTAGAAAAAAATGAGCGTTTTTTTAATAAAATATTGAAACTAAATAATAATTTATAACTATTAATGAAATAATAATCATTTAAGTTTAACTTTATTTATTGCATATGCTTATTATAAAAATTGAATTAAAAAGTATAATTTACATTTTTTTTTATATTATACCACTCTCATGGAAAGATTTTCGATTCTGAGTGACATTTGATTCAATCATTTGAGTATGAAATGCCAATAAAGCTGCTTCACAAAATTCAAGCAAAGCCTAAACTACCTCATTCGAAAAGCCATCGAACTGCGCCGCGCCGGCAAAATGAAAATGAATTCCGGCAAAATTTAATCAAGAGTCCGGACCGGCGAGGGCGCAGAAAGCCGAATGAAGCAGAAGTGATTTAATAAAAGTCGGCAGACGCAAAAATAGGCTGGTCCAAAGCATACCGCAGCAGAAAGAGAGGGACATTATTTGATGGGAAAACCTTTTCCTTCTCATCTCTCTCGCTCTCGCGTGCAGGCATCGATTTTGCCAAGCCGTGTGGTTATATTTAAAAGTCAGCGCCATGCCCAGGTAAAGAGAGACGTCCAGATTGACCAACAAAGTGAATGTTGGCCCCGGGCACATTTGCTCGCTCGCATCGCCGGACCCTCTGCAGCTCTCCGTGGCCCGAACCAACATCACACACACATCTCATTACAGAACTATCATCTTGTCCGGTAAACACACTGCATCGAGCGGGGACAAAGACAAAGAAAGAAAAGAAGAGAGGGTGGTCGGCGCCCCGTGTTATAATAAAGTGCTCTGCAAAGTGTACACAGAGAAATAAGCAGCTCGGAGCGAGGCCAGCGAGCGGAAAATTAGGCGTTGTGTCTATATGTTTTGCACCAGACTCTGGCACGGCCACTCAATTACCAAGAGCGACACATGCAAAGCCAAGATCGCGTCCGCAAAAAGCTCCTCCAAATTGTTAATTGCAACTTGCCCCTTGATTACTTATGCACATGTTATCTAAAAAGAAGCAGGTTCGCAGAAACATTAAATTTGTTCGTGATGTACGCAAGGGCTTAACACGCATGGGTTTGTTGCCTGTCACGAGCAGATGTACATCAGGAGCAAAACGCGTACTTATCGTAAAGCTGTCCAAACCTGCAAGTCACGGTACGCACCCTAAATAAGGTAACAACAGTTAATTATAAACGAATATTTAATTAGAATGTAACCCAAGTGGATTTTTGTATAAAAGAAAATATGCGTAAAATGATAATTAAAATAATTAATAATTATAATTACCAATTTTTTTATAGTATTTAGCGGTATTTATTCTGTTTCAAAATTTATGAAAAATGGAATAAAATCATGCGTTTCCTTAATTTATTACAGATTTTATTTGTTTATTTATTCTCCAAAAATTATGATTATAATTTAAAAAGGAATACTATGCTGTGTTAAATTTGTCAAATTACTTAGAGATCATATCATAAATTCATGGTCTGTAGCACACACATGTAAAGAAGGATTTTTTTGTCTATAAATAATCAGCTGAAAGAAAATTAAAATATTATACAAATCATTGATTAATATCTGAATTTATAATTATTTTCGTTTTTAATACTTAAAAAACCGCGACAAACAACAAAGTAGTCATATTAAATTTATAGTAAACAACAATGATGGTAAAATTAGGGCAACAATGATAATTTAACAAATTTTCAATCTCAACTACTCTTTTTTTTAAATAACCAAACTTTCATTTAAATTTAGTGCTCTGTTAGTAAAGTTTTCCAGCAAAGATGAGATTTTCTA